CATGGTGAGGTGGGCTTCTTGAGGAAGGGGCCCCGCTGAGGGTGCCTTGCCCAAGGGGCCTCCAAAAACTGGAACCAGTGCTGGGTAGAACACTATGTAAAGTTGTCGTATGACGCAGCAGGGCTGTTTCATTCTTACTGGCCTGCTCGTTTTGTAAATGAACTACCACACGTCCCTGGGGGCTTGTGGCTCTTGCAAGCATGCGTTGCAGCTGGAGCGGATGGATGTGTGGGCACAGCTCTAAAAGCCAGTAACTGAGGCTAGAACAAAGATATGACCGGGCACAACACAAACCATTTCCCGTCAAATTGCTACAAAAAATGGGAGGCTGTGTGTGGGGCAAGTTCAGAGAGTGTGTGAACTCGCACACAGACAGTGGGGCGAGTTCAGCCTTTCCTAGGAGCAGGGGGCACATTTGTTACCTTATCCAGAACATTCTCAAAATTATCCTGGATAAGAAACAGTTGCCTGACTATTTAGTTCTCATGGCCAAGTATTGCCTAGTTTACCTAATGAAGGATATACTGGCCAGCCCAGCTGACCAGTTTTAATCCTCTCCTGCCCACATGGCAATGCTGGAATAATCCGAGATGTGTTGTCTTGCTGTTGTTTCTGCCACTGTTAATCTGATACAAAGGGCAATGAACTCTTAGAGGAGAAAATGGAACTTGGGAAAATGTAAACATCTAGTTTCTGCCAAAACAAAGTATTTGCTACTGTTTGCCTTTCTTTGCCTGAGACTGAAACTGTCATGTCCATTTAAAATGCGGAGCTGTACTTCCCGTTTGCCAAAGAGCTGATTTTGCATGTGTGGTCAAAGCACTGGATAAAACGTGATTCTTAGCAATGCTGGTGGTAGCCAGTGCATGTTGGTATGAACCTAAATGCTTGAGCAGTAACTTAGGAGGCTTAGGGGAGTGTGTGTGTGTGTGTGTATGCGGGGGGGGGGGGGGGGGGGGCTAACAAACTATGAATGGTACAACTTGATTACGGGGAATGACATGTAGGACCAGCCTTCCCAGGAGACAGGGTGAGGCATTCCCATCAGGCAGCTGAACGGTGGATTGTGCCACTCCCCCTGCCTGGCCCAAGAGGGTACCATTGGCCCCCACCAATGCTACACATCACCCCAAGTGGAAGCTCTGGAGGGCCACACCATTTCTGGCAGTGAGAGTGTGGCTGGTGGAACCTTTCTGAGCAGACGTCTCTCTTTGTACAGAGAGCCACTGAGGTGGAAAAGGCAGCTGTGGGGGTCTCAGGAGAACTTGTCCGGCTTTTGAGATTCATGAGGCAAACAGAGGGTGGGTAGCAGCAAGGGGAAGAGGGCACAGGCTGGGGTGAGGAGCGTGATGGTGGTGGAAAGGGGTGTGATGTGGGGGCAGTGGCTGGCGTGTGCTCTTCCCTGCCAGGGCCGATGACATTTTATATAATGGGGAATGCCTGTTGTGGGTACCTGGGAGGCTGCAATATTTGCTAACACTACAGTTTAATCATTTTGCTTAAGGGCAAAGTAGTTGCTTTAGTTTGCTTTAACTACCCATTATGTTTGTTAGTTGTTTCTCCTTTGCCGGGGAAGGAATTAAGAGAGGACCTTTCTTGGTTCTAATTATGTTTTCAAACCCTATTTTTTAGGTGTTCTGGGATATGTTATGGTAGTTGTTGAATCAGAACCAAATGTTTTGTCATCTTAATGAGCACAGGAGTGTTGCTTCTAGAGGAGGCACAGAATTTTACAGGAGGGCCAAATGTCACAGTCATGTTTATAACACTCCCATATTTTCTCACAATTCCCTCTATCCTTTTTCTTACAGCAGAAAATCTATTTCAGAATAGAAGGACTGAATCACTTCATGAGACTTTCTGGCTGGTAACGCTTGAGGTCCTTCCTATGGAAGCTTGTTAGACATAGAAGAGTCTGAACTTGGTCCATTTGTGAACTCCGCATCCAGGAGAACTGGTAGGAAAGTTATGCCTTGCAGATGTTTACAATTAGATAGTCATGGTGGAAGTTAACACACGATCAGTGCAAAAGCAACTTCACATCCTTTGGGCAACTAACAGATTAATATTGCAATAACATTGGAGGAATAAATACTTGCCTCCTGCAATGCAGTTAATTGAAGTAACCACATTTTCAACAGACACTATCTGTTAATGGCTACTTATTTCAGTATTTGCCCTGCTTTTGCTTAAATTCATGTATAATTCTTAGGAAGCCATTGAAATTGATACACTTGAATAAATGTGTTGTTGTTGTTGTTGTTGTTGTTAGTCGTGAAGTCTAGTCCGATCCATTGCGACCCCATGGACAACATTCCTCCAGGCCTTCCTGTCCTCCACCATCACCCAGAGTCCACTTAAGCTCACACTGACTGCCCCAGTGACTCCATCTAGCCATCTCATCCTCTGCCAACTCCTTCTTCTTTTGCCATCTATTGTTCCCAGCATTAGGCTCTTCTCCAGTGAGTCCTTCCTTCTCATTAGGTGGCCAAAGTATTTGAGTTTCATCTTCAGGATCTGGCCTTCTAAAGAGCAGTCAGGGTTGATCTCCTCTAGGACTGACCGGTTTGATCGCCTTGCAGTCCAAGGGACTCGCAGGAGTCTCCCCCAGCACCACAATTCAAAGGCCTCAATCCTTTGGTGCTCAGCCTTCTTTATGGTCCAGCTTTCACAGCCTTAACAGCCATCCATTGCAATCACAGCCATACATTGCAAATAAATTGCGAATAAATGTAGCATCATTGTAAAAATTATTGTACTCTTGTTTGTTCTGTTGAAATGTTACCATTTTTAAAGAAAGGAACTTAATTCTTTTCTTCATTCCTTTTCTTCATTCCTTTTCTTCATTTTTTTTACTAAAAAAAAAAAAGCAGAGTAGGCAGTGGTGGCAGTGGGTGCAGTGAGGCAGCAGTGGCGGCAGGCGCAGACCTAGCCACCCTGGCCTGGCCACCCCTGGGCTCGCATAATTAAAATTAGATTTTAAAAGTTATATTTTTGTTACCTTTAATCCTGTCTTTGTCTTCGTCTCTCTTTCTCTTCCGCCCACCTCTCTTCTGTTTCCCACTCCGTATTCCTGGTCTGTATATGCATGCAATGCGGGGGGGGGGGGGGAGCCGGCACACGTGCAGTTGAGCTGTTGCAATTTGGGCATGTGCCGGCTCTCTCTCTGCTCTGTTTTAAAGAACGCCTGTGCCGGCTCAGAGTTTTTGGACTCATTCAGTTTTCTCTGAGCGAGTCTAAAACCTCTGAGACGGGCCGGATAAATGGGCATGGCGGGGTGGATCCAGCCTACGGGCCTTAGTTTGAGGACCCATGCTCTAGGGTATGTGTGCCTACCCTCTCATCTCACTCAGGTCCATGGCAAGGCCCCACAGAACTGGGTAACACCTCATGTGAATTGATACGATGCCTAAGAATGGCTTCAGAGATTTGATAGCAAAGAAACCAGTACAGAAAGGATTTTCTGGGAACAGAACCTTTGAAAGAGCATATGAACAGATGAATAAAATTCTGCCATGTATTGGTGGATGGCCATAATAAACTTACCTTTGAGCTTGACTTGGAGTTCCACAATGAAAGAAAGGTGGGACGTAGAAGAATGAATGGACAAAAATGTGGTGGTGATGCATAGCTTGGATGGTCTTTTTCTGGTGAATGATGATGCATAGCTTGCATGGTGAAGATGATGCATAGCTTGGATGGTCTTTTTCTGGTGAATGATGATGCATAGCTTGCATGGTGAAGATGATGCATAGCTTGGATGGTCTTTTTCTGGCCACCCTATGTGGCTCCCTGTTGATTTTGATAAGCAGTGTATTGTAATGGTTAGAGTGCTGGAAACCTGGGCTCCAGTCCCCACTCAGCCATGACACTCAGTGCCTGACTTAGGGTCAGTCATGGCTTCTCAAGTTAACCTACTTCACAAGGTTGTTGTGAGGATAAAATGGGGAGGAAGAGGATCATATCAACCACCTTACATTCCTTGAAAGGAAAAATGGTTGAATATAAATGTAATGCGAAACAATGCCCACCATCTGCTCCTGAAGAATCCACCAACTCCTCAAGGCGGCTCAGCTGGGAGAACTTCTCCTCATCTTTCTCAGTTTTTTTTAAAGACCTGTGTATCCTGAGGACAAAGTGAAGAGGAAAAGCCAGGCAAGGCGGCCGGTTTGCAGCGGATGCCGTATGAGGCGAGACTGAGGGAACTGGGTCTCTTCAGCCTGGAGAAGAGGAGACTCAGAGGGGATCTGTTGGCGACATACAGGTATGTGAGGGGATGTCACACGGAGGTGGGCAGAGACCTGTTCTGCCCTGCAGAGGAGGGCAGGAAGCACTCCAACGGAGCGAAGCTCAGGGAACCAAGGTTCCCTTTAGATGCCAGGAAGCACTTCCTGACAGTTAGGACCCTGAGGGTATGGAATGGGCTTCCATGGGAGGTGGTTGAGGCCCCATCGGTGCGGGTGTTCAAGGATAGGCTAGACATGCACATGGTGGGCATGTCATAGGCGGAGCTGGCTGGAGCTGGGGGTCAGACTAGATGGCCCGGGAGGCCCCTTCTGGCTCGCTCTGTTTCTATGTTTCTGTGTAAGGAAGCTCCTGTCAAAAGGTTCTGAGGAGGCCAATGGCCTGGGGGAACTTTGTTGTTCTGGTTGTATCTTATTTCAGTCTTTATAACTTTTTGTTTTCTGTTTGGGTGTAATATTTCAACTTGTTAAGCAAACGCCTTGGCAGAAAGGTGATGCTTGAATGTGGCAAAGCCTTTGATGGCAGAAGTTCTGTTCTCAGTTACTTTGTGCTCAGGCAGTTTCTCCACCCATTCGTCTCTCCCCTGGGGCATCTGTTCAGCCCTTAGGAGAGCATGATGGGAAGTTCACGCTCCAGAGCTTTGCTTTCTGCTCGGCAAGGAAGTGGTTTAATGACTACCCATTTGGACTGCCCAGGGCTTGCTCTGCCTGGCTGCCCAGGGCCTGATCGGCAGTGGAGCTGCCTGGAGGCAAGCGATGGTACCTGCTGGTTGCCTGCTTCTGCTGTGGCTGGGCTGGTGGGGAACGGCCACGGGGGCAGAGGAGCAGCTGTTCAAAGTTGTCCAAGCCACAGGTAGGTGCCACCAACATGGCAGATGGCAGAAGGCATACAGCTTTGATAGGAAGGCCGTGAATTTAAGATATACAGGTGAGAGGGAAGGGTGGGGGCTTGGCTAGTGTAACTGTAAAGTGGTAGTGCAGCAGAATTTGCCTCCAGGCATGTGCAGAGTATGTTTTCCTTGCCACAGCCAGCCCCCAGGCCTCTGGGATTAGCAGCCCAGGAAAGCATCCAGGTAAAAAGGCATAGTTTGTAACTGGAAAGATCTGGTGTCTGAATTTGCTTGTTTTCCTTTAGCCTGCCCCATGTTCCTTGGTATCATGTTTTTTAGATTATAGAGCTGTATGATTTTTGTGTACAGCTAGAACATTTTAGGAAATCCTCATCATGTCAACATGTTTTGGGTAGGCTTCAGAGAGCCAATATGGTAGAGTAAGTTAGAGTGTAGGATTGGGACTCAGGAGGTCTGGGTTTTAGTCCCTTCTCTACCATGGAGCTCACTGGGTGACTGTGGGCCAGCCACAGACTTTTAGTCCAACCTATCTCACAGGGTTGTTATGAGGATGAGATTGAGGGGAGTGGAGAATTATGTAAGCTGCCTTGAGTCCTTTAGAAGGAAAAAAAGGGGGAATATAAATATAATAAGTAAACTAAACTTCTACTATTGAAGCCAAGAAACTGCAGTATTCGATAGATGAATAGAAATGGGAAACTCACAGGGAGAATCATTGTCAACAGGCAGAAAGAGAAGGTGTGAATGCATGCAGATATATTTGCCTTGGGGAGTGGCATTATTGATATACAGGTTGGGACATAAGAATCACCAGTTCCTGTTTGATTATCCCCCACCAGGTTATCTTCACAGGTTCTTCTCTGGGTGCCCCATCTTCAAAAGTTAGGTGAGCAGTGACCACAGAGAAGGGTCTTTTAGGTGGTGGCACCCTTTTTCCAAAATGTGCTCTCCAGCGTCTACCTGGTGCCTTTGTTGCTGCTTGATAGCTGCTAGGTTAAGAATGTTCTACTTACCTGGTCTTTTGAATTAGCAGTAGGACAATGAAACAGTTTCTTTCACCTCCTTATCTAAGACAAAAGGGAGGAAAACCATTCTTCTCTCATTTCTCAGAGTCCCATACAGTTTTCCTGCCCTGCCCTTTCAACTCAGCATTCTTTTCGGATTTTTTGGAACTGATCTGGCTCAATCCATCTGGTGAGGTATTGCTATCCATGTCTGTGAAGTACCACAACTCAGAAGTACGTCTCAGTTCCATGTGGGGATTGACCTACAACTACTCCAGTCTGGATGACGATGTTTGGTTTACCTGCAGCTGGAATGGCATCTCTGGAAAGAAACACAACCTAACTGGTGGGTACTGTCATTCTTAAAAGTGCAGCTAATGTGGTTGTAAGGAAAAGCTGCAACAAAACTCTAGGGCAGCCTTTCCCAAGAACAGGTGCTTCCAACTACAACTGGTCTTCAACTCGCAGCATAATTGCCATGCGGGTTGAGGATTATGGGAGGTGTAGTCCAAAATGTCTGGAGCAGCCCTGCTGGGAAAGGCTGCTGTGGAGATAGCTGGAGAAGAAATTCATCTGTAGGTTATCTTCATTTTTTAAACAAAAATTCTGTTATAGAGGCTGCTATATCGAAAGATTATAAAAACAGGAAGTAAACTGTTCAGCTTTACAAAGAAATACTTAGCAATGCTAACAGGATTTATGGCTTTTTATTTAAAGTGCCTCTTCAAACCAGTTTTTTTTAAAGCATTGTCATTCCAGTTGTAAACTTTTAAAATGAGAAGGAGGAAAGGAAAGCTTTTGCCATTTATGAGGAAAATTTATGGGAAGGGCCGTAGCTCTGTGGTAGAACATTTCCATGTGGGGGGTCCCAGGTACAATCCCTGGCAGCTCCCATTGCAAGGATCAGGTAAAGGTGGGACCCTGGAAAGAGCAGCTGCCAGTCAGAGTGGACAGGTCTGGGCGAGATGAACCATCTGACCCAACGTTAGGCAGCCTCCCATATTCCTGTGTAAGGCTGCCGGGCAATGGCAGGAGCGATAGGAAGCGTGCCACACCCCACATGTGGCGCCTTCCTCTGAATGCTCCCTCCAGGAAGGCCTTCCCTGTGGTAGCCTCCAAGTTATGGAATGATTTCCCACTGAGGCCTACTTGCGGCCAACTTCGTCTTCTTTTTGGTACCCAGTTACGACCACCCTCTTTGCCAAGGCATCTACCAACTCCAGTAACAGCTAGCTGTCAAACCCCTATGCACCAATAAAAGATGTCAAAAGCATGTTTCTCTACTTTTCCTTTTCCAGTAGATCAAAGCAAAAGTTTTCTAAAATAAAGTATTGAATTGATCTAGGCTCACTTTGCAATGCAGAGTGAGGAATAATAAAGTCGTGAATGAGTAGTATGTATCAAAGCTGTGATCTTTCTGATTGGGTAAGTTAGCTCTTGCCCATGTCAAGAGCAGATTCCAAGCTGAAGCCCCCTTCTCCCTTGGGCAGAGACTGTGGCTCAGTGGAGCAGACCCTGCCTTAGATGTAGAAGTTTCCAGGTTCAATATTCCTGACATCTGCAGGTAGGGCAGGAAAAACTGCCTGGAGCCCTGGGAGAGACACTGCTGCCAATCAGTGTTGGCTGCACTGGGCCCAATGCCCCAAGGGTCTGATGCAGTGTAAGATAACTTCACACTTACTTGTGACTTGCACATGGTGGAAGCCCTGCAAATGAATGCTGAATCCTCTAAAGAGATCAAGAGGTATCAGATTTTGACCCAATTTGTTTTTATGCCTGCCTGCATGGCTATACATCAAGCTACCATGTCAAGGCACCTTTGCTAAACTGGAAAGGCACTGGCCTGCAGCCAGATGGGTGACCACATGTGGAAGTGGAGCAGGGGTCGAACTCAATGGCCTTATAGGCCCCTTCCAAACCTATTCTAAGATTTCCTTCCAAAAAGGAAGGGAAGCGATACTAAGGGAAGTTTGTTCTGCTTGTGGACCAGACAACAGGAATGCTGAATGTTAGTTAATTGGTTCACATGATTGCCTTGAAGCAACCCACGGGGTTGATGAACTCATACTGTCATTCTATGAATTCTTCTGTGTCTTCCTCTGGAAGATTAGTCAGATCTCACCCACTGCTTGGCCAATCTCGTTTATTTCAGTAATGAACGCCAACCCTTCTCTTCTGTGTCTAGCCCACCTTCAAAGTCTGAGCTGTCTAGTTTGGGATTACTGCATTTTGAGAGCGGGAGGTGGATCAGTTTTTTCCACCACCCTGAGCACCCAAAGTCTTGGGAAAGAATGGAAAAGTGAGAGGAACCTGAGAGTGTTTAGATCCAAAAACAAAATAAAAAACCCAGCCCTAGAAGATCTCATCCCAATGGAGAAGACCGAGTGGTTTCCCCCTTTTTTACAAGTGAAGATCATGAAGCACTTGGCAGCTTTTCTGAGTCAGTGCCTGTGAGGGGTTCCTGTAACCCCTGAGACATTACCGAGTGAGTCATGGCATTTGAACATGCAAAAGTGCACAATTCTCACCAGAAATAAGGTAAAACAAAACAGAAAAGATTGTGCACATTTGAGGCACATTTATGTAAAGGGCAGTGAACTGGCAGCAGCCCCTCCAATGTGCTGCCCGGGTACTTTCAAGTGGCTCTCACTCACTGTGAAACTGAGGATCACCAACTCTGTGAACTCACTTTTCAGTGGAAACAGCAACAGGGCTCATGATTTCTGAGGGGGAGGGCAGACAAGGATGGTCCCCTTGCAGGGTCCCTTTGAAAATTCACACGGTGACCAAGGGAGAATGGCAAGGACAGCACAGGATGAGCCTGGTTGTCACGGGGACACTGTGGGCACCGTGTGCCTGTTCCCCCCACTTATCTTCAAAATGAAAAACTTATAAAATACAGTCCTTTATTAGAGCTTAATGGGTTTTGTTATAATACAAAGTGTTTTCTATAATAGCTGATAGCAAGTTGCTTAAATCGAAGTACCAGTCCCTCCCATCTGGGAGAATAACTTCTGCCCATGTGAAGAGTTGATTCCAAACTGACACGACCCCCTCCTCCCTTTCTTTTCCCAGAGTCCTGACCCCACGTTCAGGGTGGTTTCCACTGCTTCTGGGCCAAACAAAGGGAAGGCCTGACATGGCATACTTAATCCACCCTAGCACTGCCTCACTTGGTCTAGGAACTCACTCTCTTCCCCACCTTGCTCTACAGCACTTCTCCCTGTGCCCGAGATGGTTTGGTTCTCAGTCACTGCCTGACTGATCTTGCTTGTTAATCGTGAATTTTCAGAATCACCTGCCACCTCTTCCTCCCATTCTGTCCCCGTTCTCTCACACCCCACATCTGAAATGTCTGGCTAGCAGTGCTGCATTGTGAAAAAGCTGAGCTCCCCAGCCCCAGTGATTTGCCTCACAAATAACCTCCCCCCCCCCCACCACCCACATGGCTTAATCACAGGGTGGGTTGTCATACTGTCACTCATCCATTATCTTGGCTGGAGGAAACGTGGGCCAGACTAACCACCTGTGTCTGTTTGCATCAGGTATTGATGGCTCTGAGAACATCCAAGAGGAAATGGAAGACTACACAGAAGACATTCATTCAGGTGGTGACTGTAGTGAGAGTGAGCCTGTCTCTTGCTCATTACACAAGGATCCAGATAGAGAAGCCTGATTCTGAGGAGGAGTTGCGGGGGGGACAAGGACTTTGAAGTGTCAAGGTTACTAAAAGAAGTTTCTCAGGCAGGGTGTCAGAATCAGCCTGATTTGGAAAGGGCTTTCAGGATGGGAGGGAGCATGCGTGAAATCCAGTCCTTGACCCAGTAAGGCGGTGTCAGGAGCGGCAAGCTGCTCAGCTGGAGGTTCCCTGGTGTTGCCCTCAAGCAGCGAGAAGCACCCCAAGGGTGGAATCAGAAGTCTTCCTGAAAGGGTGGGATGGAGGGGAAGTTTCCATTTTGGATTCAACTCTTTGCATGGGCAGATGCTTCTCCCTCAACTTTGACAGAAAGCTGTTTGGAGTTCATACTGTCCTGTTATCTGTTATGTTTCAATACAAGAACTGTACTTCAAAGGATTGTCTTGAGTTTGAGAACCAGAAGGAAGAAGGGAAGGGGTGCAACTCATGACAGTAACAATTCTTTCTTGCTTGCTACTCTGTGAAGCCCTATCAGAGTTGACTTCCCATGATTCCCTGGGAAATGGGATGGTCTAATCCTTCTCTCACCCCAGCAAGTACTTTTTACTTCTGGGAACTGAAATGAACTGACCTTTTGGCGGAAGAAATTCCAAAGATGTGAATATATAGCTTTTTTTTTCTTTTTTTTTTTTTGGTAAAGCTATTGGTTGTTTTATTAAGGATCTGGAGAGTTAGGTGTGAGAATTCTGAATGGTGGAGGAGTGTGAAATAGTGGATTAAAATCCAAGGGCCATGGATTATTTTGAAAGGTGGAAAAGATTTCCTTTGGATGAGAGTCTAGGGAGAATCGAGTGGGGACTGGTACTGATTTGTTATAGTCTCGCTCAGTGGTTCAGCTTGGGGCTCAATTCCAGGGCCTCACAGCACAGCCCCCAGGGACCATCCAGAAAATAATACAGACATCAGGTCAGCAGAAGCAAGCTTTGTTTTACTCTTACATTTGTGATAATATTGCATGAGTCTGAACATGCAAAGCAGCACAAGCACAGAATAGATATTTAGCAGAATTGGCAGAACGGTGTTTTGCTGAGGTGGGCAGGGAGAACAAAATGAAAAATTAGCATAATGTTTCAAAATGCCAGCAATTCAAATGACTGTCTTAAGTTCCCCCACCCCACCCAATCATTCGGTACAGGGTCTAAAATTACCTAGCTGCACCACTAGTCCCATTGTTAGAGAAAGGAGGCAGGAAGGTGTGTTGGTTCGGTGAACCATAATAGTAATTTGCTGTAAGTCAAGATGCTGAAAGAAGAATGGGACATGGTGTGTATGTGCATTGTTGCTTGGCGATTGTCCAGAGTTTCACAAGCCAATTTGAGGGAATTGAAGATGCTTTTTCAGCAGAAGGGTTTCTATAAAACCAAGTTGGAAAGTATCTAGATTGGCACATTTGATCTTAAGATTGCTGTTTTCAAAAAGAGTTTTTTCCAGCATCTGTCAAAATTATTTTTTAACCAGAATGCAACGTTTTCCTTTCCAATCCCAGATTTGCAATCCATGTGTTTCTTTGTGCAAAAGTGTGTTTTAACTCAGCCTATTACTGCAGGGCAGCAAGAGGACATCTCTGGCCTGAAGTGGAATCAGGAGTCTTTCCGCTGTGATGCCACAATACCCAGTAACTGGACACAAGGAACCCTGCTCTGGATTCAGCATAACAGGGGGGGCCAAGAAGTGCTGATGAGTGTGACCATTCAGCGCTCCCCTCATAACTCGCTGTATATAAGTCCAGCTGCCATCACGTTGATCCTTCCATCGGTAACTTTCAAAGATGCTGGGAACTACACTTGCCAGCAGAAAAATCAGGAGCTCCTTTTCCAGCTGGAGGTGAAAGCAAAGGAAGGGGTGGCTCAGAGTAAGTCAAGGGCAGGCAGAAAGTCCATCAGGGCTTCGCTTCTTGAGCTTTCAGAATTTCAGAATTATGGATTAGATTAGCAAGTGCTTCTTATTTCTTATAGTTTAGCTGTTGTTGTTGTTGTTAGTTCTGAAGTCATGTCCGACCCATTACGAACCCATGGACAACATTCCTCCAGGCTCTCCTGTCCTCCACCATCCCCTGAAGTCCACTCAAGCCCACACCCACTGCCCCAGTGACTCCATCTAGCCACCTCATCCTCTACCGTCCTCTTCTTCTTTTCCCGTCAACTGTTCCCAGCATTTGGCTCTTGTCCAGCAAGTCCTTCCTTCTCATGAGGTGGCCAAAGTATTTGAGTTTCATCTTCAGGATCTGGCCTTCTAAAGAACAGTCAGGGTTGAGTAGCAAGTAAAACTAAAAGTTAAAAATAAGAATCTGTCATGGCTGGCTTAACTTTCAGCTTCCTCACCAGTTAAAACAAGGCTGGCTCCCTTCCATTTCTTGAAACTTACTGGGGCCCACTCACCATTACAACTGCTGCTGCCAAACTGCTGCCAACTTTCAGCAGCAATTCAGTGGTAAGAAAAAGGTGCATTTTCACTTTAAAACAAGAGGTGTAGAGAGTACAAATTAACATTAAAACAAGATGAATGCTCCTTGTGTGCCTTTTAGAATGAAAATGCACCCTGTTTTCTCCACCATGCACTGCTGAAGTATATTAACAATTCCTCTGAGGGTTGCAGGAGATGCAAATGAAAAAAAAAAGTCAGGGGGGTGCATGCAACCTGTAAGTTGTATAGTACCCACCCCCATGTTAAAACATGAATCTTTATTGCTTTCATTTGAGCAGGTTTTGGTTCAACTCTACTGGTCACTTAGAATTCCCCTGATCTATAGGAGTTACTATTTGTATATAGTAACAGTGTTGTTCCACCATTGTTGGTCTGTTGTATCAATGTCACTGTATTTCAGTGTGGTGTGTTTGGGTTTTAGAAACTACAAAGATATGGTCTGTGGTTTTGCCACATGACCCATGAATCCAGACAGTGAGTAGGTAACACTGTTATTTTGGCAGGGCTGAGTTAAGACCTTCCTCCCCTCTTAGACATTTGTGATTTCTTATTGCTGATTGCTAAAATTGTATGTGTTTATTTCTGTGTTGTATGCAAATAGTTTGTATGGTGTGTTACAATATGATTTTTTTCAACATTTTAATCTTTCTAAATCGACCAGAGAGGTTTGGCTATTCAGCAATGCAGAAATGTAATAGGAATGAATGAAATGTATATCTGGTTAACTGTTTTCTGATCCTTGCTGCACTTTAAAGCTGTCTGGCTCCAGTTTCTGCACCAACACTGGATAATTTGGAGTGTGACCCTGGGATATGTGACTGTCTGCCTCAGCCTCCTTTTGTGTTTTCTGCAACACCGGCGTTGTGAGTATAGGAGCATGGACAAGTTCAACTGCAAATACTTCCTGCAACCTGTTTTTCTAGTGCAGTTATGGCAAAACTTTTAGAGACTGAGTGCCCGAACTGCAACCCAAAACCCACTTATTTATCGCAAAGTGCCAGCATTACAATAAAACCTGAAAACTGAGGTTTTAGTTTAGAAAAAACAACTCACAGCCAGTCCAAGAAAATTCCCTCTCTCTCTCTCTCTCTCTCTCTCTCTCTCTCTCTCTCTCTCTCTCTCACTGGCAGTGCACTGACAGGCCAGGCGAAAGCTTGGACGAGACACGGCTGATGAGTCGTGGTTCATGACGTCATCTCCTGGTGCTGCTACTCCTTTCCGAGCATGCGCATGGCCCCTATGTGCACTGTTACCTGATGCTCGGCTGCTGGGGCGATGCTGGGGCGACTTAGTTTGCATGCCAACAGAGAGGGCTCTGCGAACCCACTGTGGCATGTGTGCCATAGGTTCGCCACTATGGACCGAACCCTACCCTGGTGCACACCCATAACCCTAATATAGGGCTACAGTTCCATTGAAAAGAGGGCAATTTTGAAAAAGCCTTCCTTGAGTAGCTTTATCTGCACAGCTCATCATTTCCACCCATTCTCAACACATTCCAACCATCAAAATCATGCCAGGACACCTCGTTTTTCTAACCCTAACCCTACCCTGGTGCACACCCCTAACCCTAATACAGGGCTAAAGTTCCATTGAAAAGAGGTCGATTTTGAAAAAGCCTTCCTTGAGTAGCTTTATCTGCACAGCTCAGCATTTCTGCCCATTCTCAACACATTCCAACCATCAAAATCATGCCAGGACACTTTCTTTTTCTAGCCCTAACCCTGTGATGGTGAACCTTTTATAGACCAAGTGCCCAAAGTGCAACCCAAATCCCACTTATTTATTGCAAAGTGCCAACACTGCAATAAAACCTGAAAACAGCCAGTCCAAGTGAATATATATATCCTTGGCAGCACTCTGACCGGCCATGCAAAAACCCGGACGAGTTGTGCCTAATGACTCGTGGTTCGTGATGTCATTGCCTGACACCACTTTCCGAGTATGGCCCCTCTGCGCTGTCATCCGATGCTCGACTGCTGGGGCGATGCTGGGGCGACTTGGCTCACGCGCCAACAGAGAGGGCTCTGTGTGCCCACTATGGCACGCATGCCATAGGTTCGCCACCACTGTCCTAGTGCATGTAGCTTAAATTTAGTATGTGCAGGAAACACTGTTACCACACAGACTACCCTTTAGACAAAATGATGACCAAATGATAATTTTATATTGTCATGGGAGTTTGAAAGTTGCTTATTTTGATAAACTCCCCATCTTCATTACATAATCTGCTGCGTAGGTCTATGTATGCATATTCAGAAATAATCCCTATTACATTCAAAAGTGCTTACTCTGAGGCAAATTTGTATAGAACTTAAACCTTTGATATCAAAATAATTTAGAACCAGAGACCACAAACTAAAGATTTGGCTGATTCCTAGTTACTTCAAACAGTTGTAAGAAACCCCACTGCTGTTTCTTCCTGCCCCCAAATATCCCTTGTACCCTTTCCCTACCAATCTCTTCTGTCTCCAGGCCTGGGATCCAGAACATCAGGCTCTGAGGGCCCACTCTGGTCCCTGTGAGTTCCCACAAGGCCAAGCTCCATCCCCCACAACTCCTAATAGTTTGGTGGCTTCCCAGCTTTTGTGCTTTCCAGTTTTTCCCCATTCTAAAAGGTTGAAATGTTTATCTTAAAGCTTAGTTACTGGTATGAGAGAGGTGCTGCAACTATTACTCTGGCCCCAATTTGAATTTCCTGCGAAACTGACTATATAATATTATACTTTTAATCTGCACTCTAATGTGGGTAGCTTCCCCTGAACAAATAGATTTTTTTTAATGAACATCCCATGATCACAGCAGCTCAACCAATGGGCTAAGGGTAGGACAGGATATGAGCTCTCAGGTCACAACCCAATTCTTTTAACCTACTTTATGTGGTCTTTGTGAAATCTTTTTAGCAATGTATATTGCAGGCACAGAGGATGTGTGTATGTATGTTCCAGGTTAGGATCACAGTGGGAAATAAATGTTTAAACACTCTCCACCATCCAGGGTCCCAATCCAAATTGGGTAATCAGTGCCTGCAATTTGTATTGCTAAAGGAAGGATAAAGGATCCTCTTTTGCTGTGGGATAAATGAAAATGGGTGGGGTGTGCTTGTGTGTGAGCGGAAGGGGTTTCTGTATGTGTGTCCAAGTGGGGTGGCTATGTTATCTTTTGGCTCAAACCACACCACCACTGGCTTGTGCACCCTGACACACTTTACCCCGCAATGTGGCCCAGGGGGACTGGGAGCAAAGGCTCCCCACCCCTGATGTAGGTTAATATACAGGGGGAGAGGATTCTTCATATCAAGCCATCCCCATCTGCCCCTCTTGTTTCAGCTACCCACACTCGAAAGCATCGGATGAAGAAGTCCCCCATCAAAAGGCAAGTATCTGAGTGAAAGAGTTCATAAAGCTGGAAAACTTGTGGGCTGAACATGGGTAACCATTTTTAGAAGATCAATCTGGATGGGTAAGCTCTGTTGCTAGATAGAACGTTAAGCCCAGGGACCCAATCCAGCCTCCTTGGTCCTGTCCCTTTCCCCTAACCACCATGCAGTTGGTGGTTTCTTGACTTTTGTGTAGTTCCACACTCCCATTCTGAAAGGTTTACATGTTTCTCCTAAGGCTTAGTTATCCATAGCAGGAGTCTTAAGCCACAATAGGCTGGTACTTTTCTCCTGCCCCTGTTCCCTTTGGCCTCAACACTTTGCCTGCATCTCTACCCACCATTAGAATATAGACTCCTAGAGCTCAAGAGTTTCTCCTAAATGTAATTTTCTCTTGGGATGAAAGCAGTTTTGCTCCCGCTATTCCCACCCTACAAAATAGGGTTGGAGAACAGGAAACTCTAGACGGTCTAAGTGGAACAAGAAGGGGGATGTTGGGTGTTGGAGGTATAAGCATCTCCAGGAACTGGGGATGGGAGGTGAGGAAAATCTATTAGAAGGTATTATACATGTGGGTTCCTAGAGCTATATATTCTGGGCTTTGTACCCACCAGTAAAGATCTCAATTTTTCAGCTCCCAGTCAAGCAATTAGGTAATTTTAGATTCTAGACATAATTAATTACTCTCTTTATATGGTATTATATTTCATTTATTTTGTTTCTGCATGTAGTAAGCCAGCCCTACTGGATCTGAGGGCCCTCCTATTGTGTGCCATAGACCTCTGCCCCCACATCTTGCCCCAATGGCGCTTTTGCCAAATGAGCAATCTTTTCACCAGTCTCGGTTCTCCATGGGATAGGCAGTCCAACAATCCTGCAACTAGAATCCCGAGTATCAGGAACTGGGTGTGTAGCTTGTGGTGTTCCTTGATATATTGTTGGACAGTCTATGTTAAATGTATACTTGCCTGTTTAGTCGCCCAAGGCTGCTCATATTAAACTCATACTTTAATGTCTTTAATATTTTATGGTTCTTCAATTCCAGAAGGTACTGGCATGCCCGGCAGAAGAAGCCACATGTTCCCAATGGCAATCTGGCACTCCAAGAAAATGAAGATGGTGAGTTAATGACCCACCTTCTCCCACTCAGACAATCAACAAAATTAGTGTGCTGTGCAGGAACTCATAACTACAGTGGTACCTTGGCTCACGAACGCCTCACTTCACAACCAAATAGGGTTGCGGACCAAAATTTCTTTCTTGCAGGAGCGCCCATCTTTCCTGCAGGAGCACAACCACGATCTCAGCCATCTCCTCCCCTCCAGCATAATCGCACCCTTCTCCCCGCCCCCCCAGCGTGCTGGGGATGATAGGCACGTGCAGGGATGAGGGGCACGATCGTGGTCATGCTGGGGGGGCAGGGAGATGGCCGTGCTTGTGCTCAGGGTGGGGTGGGGGGAGATGGCCATGATTTTTGTTGTACTTTGTCACTTTGCTTTACATTTTTCTGATTTAAAAAAATAGTTACAGAATGGATTAACCTTATTTACATTGAACCTTATGGGGGAAATTTAACTTGGCTCACGACCAATTTGGGTCACAACCAGAGTTGTGGAATGGATTAAGTTCGTGAGCCAAGGTACCACTGTATCTTTTCCAGACTTTGTGGCTTTTATATCAAATAAGGGCATGTTTTTTCCTCTATGCCCCCACAATTCCAATTTTAAACAACATCTAGCCTAATGAAGAGTTCTGGAGAATTAAAAATGTCACTTACATTTTGCTTAGTCCTAATAAAGGTATTAGTAAACAGGAAGTTTTGCTTTTTTCTTTTTTAAATCACCCAACACAACTTTCTTTATTTTTTCCATTTTTGGTCTTTGTACAAGAATAGGCATAAACTGGTTTATCAACTTCTAAGTTCAGTTTTCTCAATCTTTAAAAATATTCTCAGTCTTATATTTGGTTCCTCCCAAACTCTAAACACTTTTAAAACTTACAACTTTATTTTTGTGTACATTTCTCCTAAGGCATGTAACAATTTTGTCCGCATTTTTCCTAATACACATATGTTTGCAAACCATTTTCCTAATATAATGCATTTTGAATGCTGCTTTTAATAATAAGCACATTTTGTGTACTTTGCCCAAAGATATACATTTTATGTGCATTATTTTGATTGAACATTCCAAAATCCAGAGTAATTAGAATTTTGAAAGGTAACTAATTTTGAAAGATATCTAACTAGTGAATTGATTGGAAAGTGTAATGCAGCTGCAGTGATGCTGAATTCTAGAACTTTCCTACTTGAGTCTTTATATTGCTGCAATTAGAGATCTGATTAACCCAGTTTGGGGGAAAACGACCAAAAAGTCTGGAGGCACCATTAAAACTACTTGCTTTGGGCACTGCAGCCCAGGGCCGTCTTCACACATGGGCCTGATGGGCACTTGCCCGTGGGCCCCATATGAATCTGTGTATGTTAACCCTTGGAAAATTGGAAAACTTCCAAAATGAACAGTAGTTGTAGTTGTCGTGGGGGCCCCAATACACTGCTTTGCCCAGGGCCCATAATGCTGTAGAATCAGGCTGCAGCAGGGCCGTCTTATCAGATGATTTTGCACCTTATAAACCCAGTAGCATTTAAAGGATCAAAATTACTCTGTCGTTTTTGTTGTGATTGGATTAACACAGTAGCCCCTGTGGAAGTTGTTACTGGAGGTGAGGGGGGAAAGATATTTCTATGGAGCTTGCCTTTCTCTCCACCTCCCAAGGCACAGACCAAGTGGATGCCTTTTCCTACGAGAATGTGCTGTCCAGCAGGGAGCCAAGGAGTGGTCGGCAGTTACTTCAGAAAGGAAAGATCCTTCCCAAAACCACTGATATGGAAGGTATGTTTGGTCAGAGGATGAATGGGAGGGGTTTTCAGTGCCAGGTTAAGACAGCCTTTAAAAATATTCCTGGGTATTCAAGGGCTTAATGGGTAAAACACGCATCCCAGGTGTTTTACTGGTCAACACTTCATTTTAAGTTGTTTTAAATGTTTTAATTTGCTTTAAAGTGCTTGTATTTTGTAAAAAAATGTATGGCATTTTATTATATTGTTTTTTATGACATGTTATAAACCACCCAGGCTATTGGGTGATACAGAAATAACAGCAGTGGCAGCAACAATAACGTTTGCATGAAAACTGTAAAGGGAAAGCAGAAGTGGTGGTGCTTGATGCTTGAGGGTGGGAACAGGTGTGCCAAGGCTCTCCTCATGGCTACTCTTCACATTAGCTCACATCTTGCACTCTGAAGACTCCATCAGAGCACGAGACCTCCTGAGAGCCATCCAGTCTCAAAATGTTTCACTCCGAAGAAGGGTCTTCCTTCAGAGCGAGGCACAGTGGCCAAGGAAACCATGAATATTACTTGCACAAATGGGCCACCTCATCCACAGTGTCCCAGTCTGAAGAAGGAACCCATCTAAGAATGGAGCATTTGGGACCTGGCTAGTCCCTCTGAGTGACCTTCTGCTCCGAGGAAGTCCTGCTCCAGAAAACAGCCTGCTTGGTGTCTCACTCTGAGGATGCCCTTAGAGCAAAGGAAGAGGCAGTCTGTGCCATTAACCTTGCTGGCTGCTCTCACTGCAGAAAAAACAATGAGAGGGAAAGTGATTTCTGTCCACTAACAGGAGACAGTGTGTTCTGAAGTGCCAGAAAAAGCTTTAATAAGTGCAGCCCATTTCAGAAAGTGATCTCCTTACTCAAGAGTCCCTTGTTTCTTGGGAAAACACTTTGCAAAAACTTTTTAACACCTAAATACTTGCAAACAACAGCAATTTTTAAATTTGTAACCCACCCAGGGAGCCTTATAGCTAATGGGGTGGGCTAAAATGAATGAATGAATGAACGAACGCAGTTTCAAACATGAGAATTAAAGAGGATTGCCTCTAACGTGAGATCCACTGACTTTTGTATGCTGTTGAGTGGGGTGGAATGGGAGACAGTTATTGTCCACGAGGCAGAATCCCCCAGGGATGTTCTCTCAAGCACTACTGAAATGATCAGAGGCCGTGCAATTAAGACACAGTCTAAATGGGTTTTTAGCATTTTCTTACAAATTCCTTGTCACTGCAAGATACAAGCGCAGAAATAGCTATTGCCAGTATGGGAATAAAACTGCTCACTGAAAAAATTGCACTTGTGGTTAGACTGCAAAATGAGTTTCTCTCAAATGAGGGTACAGATGCGAAAAGCAGTTTGAAGAGGAAGGAATAAATCAGTCTCCTGCTCATGTAAGGGGAGGGTTTTCAGTGTGAGCACCTGCTTCTGCCACAGGTGCGCAAAGGCAAGAGGCTTTGCCCACCCTGCGCAAGGAGTCCAGGCACAGGGGCCAGCTATGGCAACATGCAGCTGACCCCTGGGATCAGTGCAAGGCCAGCCCCACATACTGCCTCTAAGCTGAGCAAACAGTAAGCTTCCGCAGCTGGCCCCATGCTGACGGCTGTTTCTTCTATCCACCCCTCATAACCCTTTGAACGCATTTTTATGCAAACAACATTTACTGATACGGTGTTGAGGGTGGGGGAGAAAAGGAAGTTCGGTTGAGCACTCACCAGAAGCAGATGATACAATAAAACTGTTTCACTTAAAACTATGGGGGAAGAATATTTTAGGATCGAATGTTTCTTCATGTGGGATCAGGAGGAAATATGGAGGGAACCCTTCTCGCTGACAAGATAGTTTTCTATGTAAAGGGAGGGCATTGTTTTTCTTATGAATTTTGAGAAGATTTTAATAAGGTGATCCTGCCCTCTCTTGTAGTTAGAAATGCTGCCGTTCAGGAAGTTGTTTACCCCGTGCTCATCCGCTGCGTGGGTCGGTCGCATACAGGCTGTGCGGCCTGTGGCCCCTCCCGTCCTAGCTCCTCAGTTGACTGGTCCCAGCATCTGCCCATTGGGCATCCGAATGGGGGAGCAAAACAGGACGGGTGGCTCTCAAAACCCAAGGGAGATTTAAACCTCCACATCCCTGTATACTGAAATGCAGGATGAATTGATGTGAGTGAAGGAGAGCATGTGAGCATGGGGGGGGGGTATTTTTGCCGGGGGCGGGGAGTCCAGGCCTACCCATCGCTGGCATGCCGCCCCAACCACTCTGACTGCCGTAATAGCTCTAAGGAGCAAAAGGTCTGCCCACATTTGATACAGGACTATGTCTTAAACCATTGATGGAGCCAACCGGAGTGGTATGATGATTTAAGGAAGGCCAGCCCTATCTATCAGATGAATGCTATCAGACCTCACATGCAGCTATTTCTTTCTTGTGTTTTCCTTTCCTGTTTCTGCCTACCAGATGAAGAAGGATATGAGTTCCCAGACAGTGAAACAGAGTTCAAATCAGATGGTATGTGGGGCAGGGGAAAGCAAACTGTGGGCTGAACTTTTGGCCCCCAGCTATATGTGTTGTGGGACAGCTGCCCACTGTGGCCATCTGCATACTTGGCCAACCTCAGCTGATGGACCTTCTTGAGCAGGACGAGTGTGCCTGAAGGTGGCACTGGTTTCCTGTGTCTCTGACTGGTGAGAAAGTTCATCCTATGTTGCAGATAATCGGCTTTAGAGGGATGGGGAAAGGGCAAATGGGAAAGACTGAAAACCTCACCCAAACGGAAAAGGATGGAGACCCACCCACTCTTCCATGGGTTTGTGTACTTTGTGCATCCTGAGAATGCAGCCCTGAATCCGTAGCTTTATTGCAGGCAACTGGATACTCTACATCTGAGTTTGCACTGGGTGCTCAAAAGAGTAAGAATTCAGGCTCCTGTGTGTCTATCAATACCCTATTTGCCTGTAACCGACCCCTTCCCCTTCTACCACTTCCTAGTGCTGCATTATGTTGGGAAATGGATCTTACCAATTAGAGCAATGATGTTCAACATCTTTTAGGATTCACAAGCTCTTTGGGACCATGTTACAGGGACTGGCAACACTAAAGGCAAGTGGGGAGGGGCCAAAATAACAAAAATACCAGCCTGGTTTAGTAGAAAGCTCTTACTGGCATAACAAAGCCTCAAGAGGTACATTCCCGCCTTTTAGATGGGGAAAACTGCACAAAACCAGGAAGGCGCCATGTGATGAGTGGCTGGGGGGGAAGGAGCTGGAGCTAGTGGAGGGGGGTAGAGCCTAGAAAAGGAACATGGCCTTCTGGAACCCCAGAAGGTTACTTTGGGTCCCCAGGAGAGCAACCCCCCCCCAAGTTTGAGGTCTTTCATCCCTGGATTAAAGATCATGACACAAACACTTGGTCCAAAGAAAGATAAGAGCTGAAGTGCTTAGGACAAAGTGGATGTTGAGACTGTGGATTATATTGGAGGAGGGGTGGGATGTCTGCACGCCCCCGCCCCATAACCCTGCTGCTGCACACCACTGAATGGCAGGATAATAATGGGGCATGGTGGAAAGAGGACTCAAGCCATATTGGGCTGAGAGAAAATAAGTTACTCTTATTTTGCTCCAGATGATGAGAACTACGAGAACACACAGGAAGAAGCAAAACAGGAGAATGCAGTTTTGAATGGTACAAATTCCTTTCCCTTACTACCATCCCACATTAGAAAAGGAGCATAGCCCAGTCTAGCTTTCCTATGAGCAATTGCTAAAAGCCCTCTGGCAGGAACCTGTTTTAAGAGGGTTTTTTTAAAAGGTACTGTAGAGGTTTCTTTGCATACGCAGGGGGAGATTGAATTAATCTATAAATTCTTGGTTCTGACAAGAAAAATCAGAGTTGGTACGTCTGGGGGTGTACAATCAAAAGAACATTCATAGTTTATTCAGATATACAGGAACTTCTTTTTTTATAGAAATTTTATTAGAATTTTAAAACTAAAACTACAAACAACAATCATCGCACACACTGGATTTACTGGATCAGCCCCCTACTACACAGATATACAGGAACTTCATGCATTATGTAGGTAGCCCCCAAAGGGACTACCAAGATGGAGTCTATACAAGATGCTTTTATAATCTATTGGTTACATATACAGTTTGGACGAAGCTGTGGGGCGGAGGGGAGGATCATGTAGACAGTTTGCTAGAGGCACACAAGAACAAAACAATAGAGTTGAATGTGATTAAGAGACACAGCACAGAAAGAAGTACCTTCAGGACAGGCAAACAGCTAGTACCTGGGGAGCAAGACTGGCAACATGGTTTACCAGGAATCCCATCTTAAGTCTGATGTTGTTATTACGGTGTCAGACTTGCAGCAGCCATATTACGACAGAAACTTTCGCTCATTTTCCTCTTACAGTGACAAAGGATTGGGGGTGGCGGGGGGGGGGGATGGACGGATGGACATTTTATCTTGGAAACTGGAATAAGTTGGGAATTGGGGGACCATTTCCTTGAAAGGGGAGAATACTTGGGGATGAGCTGTAGGCCCACTGTGAGCGACAGAGCAGTGGGAGAGCAGGAGCTGAGAGGATGCACCAAATTATATAGAATACTAGGTTGGGGAAGGAAGTTTTGACTTTTATAGCAGTTGGCCAAAGTTCTCTGGGGTTGCTGAAAGAAGTCCACTTCCTTCTCAGACCTTTTGCTTGAAATCTGTTTGCCAGCAATTGAATCTGGGACTTCAATTATGTAAAGGATGTGTCCTGACGCTGATTTATGGCCTTTCTCTTCCTGGTTGGCTGGTCCTCTCTCTCTCCATTTCATGAACTGAAAGCTGCTGTTCTTCTTTCCACAGATGCATTCACTTATGCAAATAACAAGGACAAGATGAGTTCTGGTTCCCACAAATGGGACTCCGGTAATAGGAAGTAGGGGTTTATCTGTGCGGTGGGGCAGGCAGGTGTTATGGGACCATAACTTTCTTACCAATTGTTTTCTTGTGATCTACAGCAGACCTATTGTATGCTAACAATTCCCAGGAGGCCCTGAAGAGTCCAGCCCAAGTTTCACCTGATGATGGTAAAGTGTCTGCTGGGTATTAAAACTGGTGCAGCCTATTGAAACAAGAGATATCAAACAGCTCATTGTGTATCCAAAAATCAAGAATTGTGTATCTTTCAAGACAAGCTCTTCCACAATTTTAATTTATTAATTTCAGAATTGTAAGACTATATCTTGTTAGAAAGAGTGTTATCTTGAAATATGTCAGGATTAAAGTACAGGCAGTTCGCAGGTTACAAATGAGTTCCATTCCCAAGAAAATGGAAATCCATCTTTACGTTGAATTGGTATGTAACTGCAATGAATCACACAGAGTCAGCCATCCACATTCATGGGGGTTAGGGGTGCAGGTCCCTGTGAAATCGGATAAAATGCAAATACGCTCAGGGCCTCCCCCAGCCATGCCCAAATTCACCAGTGTTTCCACTTTGCAGCAAGGGAATGCTGGAGAGATTTCCTTCTCCAGACTGGGCAGGCCAGGAAGGAGTGCTTGGAGGCTTCCCTCTCTCCCTGTTCACTTCCTCTCTCTCTATGGTGGTGCTTTGGAGACTTCCCTCTCTCCCATTTCACTTCCTCTCTATGGTAATGACAATTTTCCGCAGCAATTTAAAAAAATTAATAGGCTTTGTGGCAGCTTAAAACCCCTGTTTTAAGTAGGGGTTGTTTGTAACTCAGATATTCACAACTTGGAGGCTGCCTGTACTCTGGAGCAATGCACTTGTGTTGGAGCTGTGCGGTGTAGAGATGTGGGAAGCCGACCCCAACATGGCCTAAGGGATGTGCTACACAGGCCTTATTTTCCATCACTAATCAGCAATAAGGCAGTCGCCCTGCTCTCTGCCCATGCTGTGTTGGGGCATGTTAAAAGGGGTCCAGTAGGAGCAGTTTTCAAGCCTAACTGCAGAAACATGGGAAGAACACTCGGGGGAGCGAATCCTCCTTTCTCCAACACAGTGTCTTCTCCCTTGAAAAATCAGCCCCTTTTCACTGCAATCAGACCTGAAAAAATTTTAAAATCCTGACTGCACTGGGGGAAGGTGCGATGCGCATGTGTTATGTGTGAAGTGGGAGGGCCTCCAAGAGAGGGATTGCTCTAGCTGCTTTGTGGCAGAATCTTGGTTTTCAACTTGTGAGGAGGAAATAAAAAGGTTCGTGAGAAAGATCAAACGTTCAAACCTCTACTGCTTTATTGTTGGAAGCCCCAAGATTCACTGCAGTCTACTAACAATAATGCATTACCAGGCAGAGGCAAGCTCAACTGCAAGGTTTCAATATAAGAAAACAGCATTTTATACTCTCCCGGTTATCTACATAGATACAGAGCGATTAATGACAGAATCCAGACATTACAATGAAATTCTGAGGTTATCATATGCAGAACAGATAAGGAAGATCAGCCAATGAGATTACAATATTTCTAACTGAAGTGTATTGACATTTCAGTTGAGTAAATTCCAGAAACTTGAACCCATCTCTAAGTCTGCTTAGACATGTACATTCAGGCTATTGAGAAACCATTCATGAACTCATGAACTCATCTGTTGCATTCTGTTATCAGGAAGGCTCAGATCCTGAGTAATGGATCCACACCTTTCTGGTGGGCTATAGCACAGGAAATGCTCTGGGCTAGCTAACTAAATACTTCTGTGAATTCTTGTAGACTGTGAATTCCTGCAGGGGCTATGCAGCAACATTGTAGCAGTGATTGTGTATTTGCCTGGCTATCCTGTCTGCTCTGGCTTATAACTAGAGGGCAGAAGAAGACAGAGAGGGGAGGGGAAGGAGTGCCATTTTCTTAAGGCAACAGCAGAAAGCCAGTGCTTTTGAGAAAGAGTGCAGGTTTGATTTTATAACACAAAGGCACATATAAGCAATGTTTTTATGCCAGGATTTATCCAAATTTTCCCAACATTTGCAGCCTGGGCCTGCCCACTGTTGGTTATGTGGCCCCCAATATGTTTGTCCAGAACTAATTTAGCCTTGGGCCAAAAGGGCTTCCCCACCCCTGGTGTGGTGGCCAAGAGGAGATACTTGGGCGGGAGGTGCAGAAGCAGAGGAGAAAACACTGTTGCCATGACAACATCTCCCCCAGCAACTCTGCTGCTGGCCCATGGTGACCATCATGCCAACCCCACCAATCCCTGTTAATAACTTTGCTTGTGGTTACCATGGTCCTGGCAATATCAACAAGAAAACACCAATTGCGTCTTATGGTTTGAAGGGGTTACCCATGACAACAGCTCAAAGTACAACCACCACTCAAAGCCATTCAATCCCTTTGGTGGGGGTCATGTTCCTCTGTTTTTCCTGAACAGATGGTGAGAACTATGAGAACGTGGAAGAGGAATCCCTCATGAGTCCTGGTGCAGCACGACTTATAGCAGGTACTGAATAGGGGCCTTTCCAAAGCACGTTTCCTGTTCCCTTGCAATCCAGTATGTGACATCTCTCAATTTTTCTCCACTGGACTTACCTGCTTCTTAAAGCTTAAGAATAAGAATAATGTCATTTTTCCAAGGAACATGAGACAGCATGTCACACCTGGAAGATCAGTTAACTAGATGATAAAATGATGAATAAACACAGCAAACTTCATAACACCAAGGATCTGCATCCAGGGGTCCTCCATTTGTCTGATATCTTTTCCATCATACAATACTAGATGTAGGAAAGGAGCTGTAAGTGGGTAGGTGCTCATTAGTACCAGCAAAGAGTGTTTCTGCATTTCTGACTCAATTTGGTTTAACCATTATTTTCTCACCTACGCAAGTTCTCTGAAAGAGAGTTTTAGCACTCTCAGAAAACAATATGTTTTAAGATTCTTTGTTATATAGTGGATATATGGTGTTGCTGTATCCATTGAATGTTGAGAGAGAGCAGTATCAACAAGATCAGGAGAAAGGTGTGGGTAGGCTTGTGTTGACTGGAGGCTAATGCTGCATAGTTTGGCTCAGATTGCATGGAACCAACAACCCATGAGTTGTGCAAAATGTGGGTTGTTGGGACTGCAAGCAAGGGATCGAGCATGCTGGCTCCCACAGGCCTGGAACTTCTGTTTTGAATCAGTTGTAATCACCAACCCAGGAATCCCCCATTCCTGAGTAGTCTGATGTTACGTCTGAGCCCAATACTCTGGATTATTCACTTTTACTTTTTTTAGAGCTAAATATTTTTTTTTCAAAGAAAATAAAGAGAATCTTCAAGTGATTTCTAATTCCTCTGATGGCTTCACCCCCTTCCACAAAACACCAGTCAATCAAGCAGTGGTTTCTTTTTGGCTTTTGTGCCCTCCCCTCTGCTGTAAGAGGCTGAATTGCCTCTCCTAACACTTGTATTTTGGCAGTAGAAGCTTTAAGCTAAAATAGGCTGGTATTTGTGGTTCTCACACTGAGTGTAGTGACTCCAAACGGGCCCTTTCAGTACTGAAGGACAAGGAATACAACAACTGACAAAGGATGCATCTGTGGATGCCAACAAAAATGGCCAAGGCCTTTGGAGTATCTGTCTCTGTCCCCAGGTCTGAGACTGCAGCTGGCTCTGGACCCCCCTGTGGACAGACAGGACGGAGGCAGCGAGGCCTCTACAGGTAAGCATGAAAAACAGCTGCTTTGGTGAAAGACAGGAGCCCCAGCTTGATCCTGGGAGCCCTCCAGACCTGCTTGACGTCTCGAGTTTCTAACAGTTACTTAAAAAACCAGCGCTTTCCACATCACATCCTTCCCCTCGTTCCTGCCCTCTATGCCTGCCCCTTCCTCTTCTCCATGTAGTCAAGCTTTGGCATGAAGCTGCTAAGCGGAAGCAAGAGGTCAGTGCTGCAAAGACAGACATGCATCACTTAAGTGGCAACTCCAAGGTGAAAACAGGACTCGGCTTCTGGATGTGCATGCCGTACTAAGCCCTGAGGGCGGGGGGCTTAGCATGTTGTCCAGCCCTCCCCTGTTTTTCAGGGAGCGGTTTATGAGACACCTGGAGTAGCTGATATTATAAACCATGCCAAGTAGACATGGCTTGTAGTGGGATTTAGGAGCCCACCCCCATGGCTTAGCATTTCAGCCAAACTTGGATCACGTGTGAAGCCATGGTCCAGCCAGGTGGCTAGTGAGCACCCTCGCCAAACTGGCAAAAGCATTGCTGCTCTGGTCAAGGGGCTACAGCGAGTATCAGGACTCTGGGCGGCTGTCATCTGTTTCCTCAGGGTACCTGCAAAGTCAGAAGGAGACCAGGGCTGCTCCCCCAGCAGGAACATGGGGAAAGCTGCCAGGGGGTGCTCCTGACACCCACTCAGACACCATTTGAGGCCTGGGGAGATTTAGCATTAATGAACGTGGCCCTGCCTTGAGACTGTTCTGCTTTTCCCACCAGGGTCCCAGTCCTACGAAGAGATGAATGGGTCCTTGTGTGCCACTGAAAGCAAGGCTCTCCAGTTGCAGCCCAACACAAGCAATGAGGAAGGTGAGTGCAAAATGTCCATTTCCCAGGTGGGAAGTAGGATTTAGGAGTCAGAGAGAAAAAAACTCTTCGGTTTCTTAGACAGGGTTAGTAGATTGCAATGTTTATTTATTCAGCCAAGTAATACTTTTACCGATAAAAGCCAGCAACAAACCCTTAGGATTGCTAACCAATAGCACACCACGAGGCGCTGTTGTTGAGTGCCTAGCTTGCCAGTTGTTTATGGTGCCCAACGGAGCTGGGCAGAGCTGCTTCACTTGTAAAAGTTCCATGACAGGTAGAAATCCAGCACGTAAAGTATTTTCCATCACCGCCCTTTTATACGTCCATAGCCAGGAAAGCAGCACTTTTAATACAATCCACAACAACAACAACAAGGCCTGTTTCAACCGAAAACATCCCAGCAAATTCCCTGCATTCCCCAGCCAAGCACTAGAGGTGTGGGTGCAACTGGAAACTGTGCACTGGGATTGTTTTGAAAGTTCAGTTCATCCCTGACCAGGTCCCCTTTCAGATGCAGACTCCTATGAAAATATGGAAAGCCCCAACAGCCTCAGTTTGCGAAAGGAGTGCAACTTGGACCCACAGGGCTATGGTAAGTGGATGGGGGTGGAGAGCTGCGAGCCAAAGGAAATTATGAGGCGACATCTGGGCCCTGTGTGCTTTCAAGCCTTGTTTGTGTCACAGCACAAGCAGCACTAAAGGCACTGAGCTGGTGTACCTGCTGAGCATCTGCTGAGGGCCCACACCCTAGCAAAGGCCCCCCGAGAAGAGGCACGCGGACTTATTCTTCCTTTTCACCATGAATTCTTGCTTGCTTGTCTTTCTCTCGCTCTGGCACCCACGGTGGTGGTGAGGAGCAGTGGGAGATGCCCCTTCATGTTGGGAATTACATGAGCAGAGCCGGCTGGAGCCAGGGGTCAGACTAGATGGCCTGGGAGACCCCTTCTGACTCACTTTGTTTCTGTGTTTCCCACTCGCTCACTGGCTCTCTGCCTTTCAACCGAGCATGAGAAAGGAGATAAAGAGCAATGGCAGCTGGGGGCAGTGTGAGTGGGAAAGTAGACTCACTGAAGGAGAGGACCTCTAGAGGTAATCCTGTTCAAGCACCCTCAGAAACCTGGAACTGGTACTCACACACAGGACTAGAAATGTTGGATTGCTGTCGCTGAACTAAAAGTGGAATTCTCAAGTGGCTGAATCCTGGGCCCAATACTAACATCCATATTTTCGCACTCTACAAAAGGTCTTGGCTATATTTTAAGTGTTGACTCTGGGTTTTTCCAATCTTTCCTGTTGTTACCTCCATCCTTGTCTTTCTTCCACAGGCTCTTCCTTTGGTTCCGTATGGTAACATCTTTCCAGTCCTTTCAAGGTTCAAGGGGGCCTGCGGTATTCAGACTTGAAGAGGCCAAGTCAGAGATCAAAATCAAGAGACTGGCCCTTTGCAACTGGTTTCCTCTGTCAGGCCTAGATGTTTCTACCCAGAATTTGGGACTGTGCACCCTGTTCCACAGAACTGTCTGACGCCCTGGACGCCTTGGAGCAGACCAATGGGGGTGGGGAGTGCTTCTACATTGCTAGAAGAGGATCCCGAGAGATCAGACTCTTAGGTACTCTCTTTAGTGCCAGGGACTGAAGGGATTCCCATGGGTTTGAAGAAGAAGGGGCAGGGCTGGAGACAAGCAGATCAGTTTCTGAGAGTTAAAAGTGGATTGAGAGATCATTTCCAGTGGTATAAACATCCATTCATTTTGCCACACAATCAACTCTAGCCAGACAAATTGGTGGAGCAGTGCAAACCCCTGATTATGGGTGCATCTCTAGACAAGCAACAATTAGAGCACCGAGGCTACTGTGAGTCGCACCTCTTTGACCTTTCTCTGAGAAGCAAGCTCAGGGGAATCCCATACTTAGTTTCAGAAGCTAGTCCTGCAGAATGCCGATTGTGACCCTTGTGACAATTATGAAACTACCTCCTTACACCCCAACTGGCCGTGTTGAATGCTTGATTAGTGGGTTCCCTGTGATCATCACAAAAGCACACTTTGCTCCTCATGGCTGGGAGAGGCATCTCAAAACATGTTAAAAGGCTTACACACACACACACACATGTTGCTGAGTAAACATTGTCCAAAAACACATGGAAAATGTGTTGGGTGGGTTGAGGCTGTGATGCAGAAACAGAGGGAGAAAGAATTGGCATTGTAATTCAGTGCTGTTAAATGAGCAAAGGGATGAGGAAGAAGAGTTTGCAGGGGGAAATGTGCAAGCTTCTTTGTGCAGGTGTATCTGTACACACTGTACCAGAGATAAAAATCTGAGAATATATATACTGAGCCAACCTCTTACAAACCACCTTCAATTCTCTGGAGGGAAACTGACTGTAGGCCTCATTGTTTGTAATTGTTTTCACTTTTTTATATTCTTTCCCATATAAGAATTGCCACAAAGTATGGTTGTTTTTTATTTTATTTCCTTTGCTGCATTCTGCTTTGATAATTTCCATATGTTGAAAAATAAAAACATTATACATTGAACTCTAGTACCCTTGGTCTAGTTATTACATTACTTCCCAATCAATGTGTAACTTAAACGTAAGTCAAGTTGCTACTTGATTTCCCAATTTACTCAGTTAATAGACCAGTTCCCAGTTTTCATTTGCATGTGGGTGAGTGTACCCACATGCAAATGAGTGTACGTGGCTTGTACAATACCTGACAGAATGGCTCTCCTGATTCTACCCAGACTCTACGGTCAAGTTCTGGGTCTTATCTCTGACTGTCACCTCCAAGGGAGGCTCAGTTGGTGGCAACAAGGAGAAAGGCCTTTTTGGTGGTGGTTCCCAGTTATGGAAGGAGCACTCTACTGAAGTCTACCTGGCACCAAGCATGCTATCTTTTTGGCGCCAGGTAAAGACTGTCCTCTACTACAAGGCATTCAAGTAGCTTCTGGGGACTGCTAGCTGTTAAACAGATCTGCATACTTTTTTCTTCTTCTTTAAGCTATATAAATATAATTTTAATATGATTAATATTTGGTTTAAATGTTTTTAAATGATGTTTTAATACAAAGTATCTTTTTGGTTTTTTAAAAATGTGCTTTGTGAGCCACCCAGAGAGTTTTGGCCATTGGGCAGTATAGAAATGAAAGTAGAACCCCTCTAGTCCCATTTTTCCTTTAGGTATGCAGAAAAATAGGATTTAAAAAGTCAATTACATCTCCTAAGGCAACCTACAATTAAAACTTATAAACTATGTTAAACCTTTTAAAAATGATTTTAAAATTTAAAACATTACTCAAAGACAGGAGAAAATCTTAAGAGTGTGAGATGAAGCCAATTAAAATATGAGAAAGCTACACGAAGCAAAATGGTTTTTGCAGCCCTTGCCACTGCATAACTGAAGCCAGTCTCAAAACCACTGGGAAAAAGGAAAGGGGTTTTTAGAGCAAAGGCCGCTATTTCCAAGAAATTTCTAAATCGCTTCTAATACAAAAGTCATTGACCCCTCTGCTGGCCAGCAGGACAGCAAAACAGCCACACAGAGAAAAAGGGGCAGTTTCTCCCTAACAGGAGAATGCTCTCGATATTCCTCAAAATGTTGTTGCTGGCTTCAGATTTTGGTTACATGCCCCCCTTGAGCAATTCCTGAGGCCCCAATATACCTCTGGCTCCTGCTCTGGCTGCTGCTCAGCATCCAGTGGCTCTCCCTTGAGTGCCACCATTTCAGTTCCTAAAATCATGTCTTAGTGCAACCGTGTTAGGGCAAGAGTGCAAGGGTGAATTCTTGATGTTCTACTGCATATCTGTGGTGTGAAGGGCACAATGCCACTCGGAAGGAGGAAAGCTGGGCTCAGGTCCATGTACTCAGCTTGGTTCCCCCGACCCCCAATAATCTTCAGAGAGCATTTTCTTGTCTAAATATGCAAAGAATTGTTTCCTTAGACTGTTAGGCCCCATTGTGTCTGTAGAGTTCTTTCGGGGTGGTTAATTGGTGCTGGTGGCAAGACATAGCCATGCAGCCTTTCTGCAAAGATTTATTGTGAAGGTTTATTATGTTGTGAGCCGCCCCGAGGCTTTGGCGAATGGGGCGGCATATAAATGTTTTAATAAATAAATAAATACATACATACATACATAAATATTGGAAAGCCTTCCACAGAGTTTAAAGGATCCTGGAGGAGGGGGAGGGTATACATGCCATAGGATCTCTGTCCCCAAACCCTGATTTCCTCTCATCCATTCAGAGTGGGAAAACAGTACACACCCACACACACAGAGGGCCAGCCCAAGACATTAGCCCAACTGCCTGGGACCAAGGGCAAGAAAGATGGCTACTGGCTATGCTGGCTGGGGATACTGGGAGTTGCACTTCAACACCTAGAGGGCACCAGGTTGAAGAAGGCTCCTGCAGAAGAACACCTCTTTAGAACCCTTCTGGTCCTATTTCTATAGCACCTTCTATGTACACAGCACTTTATAAGAACAAAATTCCTCTAATTTGTTAAACTGATGAGAGAGCCCATGGGCTATGGAATGGTAGTGAAATAAATATATAAAATAAAAAGTGGTGTGCAAATGTTTCAATTACGCACGTGTTGTTTTTATTAAAACCTGCTTCCTGCTTCAAGGAACTTGCAACCCACAACTTTGCCACGTGGGAGTGGAGGCGTCAGGGAACAGCGAAGTCCTCCGTGCAGTTCTGTTTGGGCCACCACCGTTGTTTAAGCTCGGGTGCAAGCGGACCTGGAAACCGGGTTGTGGCAAACAGGGCAGCTTGGGAAGAAGCTGGGGAAAATAAAGCCTCCAGGACAGCTCCAAGCCGAAGAAATCTCTGAAAAAAGGGAGGCTTTTTTGAGCTGGAAGCGAAGAAGAAAGAAGGGCATATGGGATCAGGGTGCAGCCTTCCCTAACTGCGTTTCCTTCCAGATGTTTCGCACGCCGTTTCAAGGACTCCAAGCCACGCTGGCGGGGACTAACGGGTGCGGCAAAACGGCAGGTTGGGGAAGGCTGCAGCGGAAAGATAGCGGCGAGGGACGGGAAAGCAGCATCGGGGGGCGTCGAAGATAAGAACAAGGCGGCTGGCAGCACGGCGGCCTCACTGAAACTCTTTCCCGCATCCCCTTCCACAGTCGCCCCTGTCCTTAGGAGCAATAGACTGCCCTTTCATCCATTACGAGCGAATTAAAAGGTTACGAAGACGACTCTTCTTCCTCTTCTGACTTTCCGTTGGGTCCCACCCCGCGTTTCGCGCTTTGCGAAAGCGAAAGCAGGAGAGCAAACCTTCTACGACATGTCGGGCTCTTTCGGACGTACGCTATGCTTGCTCCTTCCTATGCTGCCTGCCTGTAAGTCCCCGCGCACGTGCCCGCGTCTCCCGGTGTCGTGGCGCCCTCCCCACGTTAGGCCCCTTTGCGAACTGGATCGAGGGGCGCTCTCATCCCTCCGGTGCGGCGGTGGGAGGGCAAGCAAAGACTGGCCGTAGGGTAAGCAAGGCGGGTAGGAGGAGAAGGGGGGCGGCTTGTATGACTCAGGCCTGATCCGCCTTGCAACTCTGCGCAGTTTAGCTCTTCAGTCCCCGTAAGTCTCCCCCTTGGCCGCCCCACTTGGGGGAGACGCTCGGCGCTGGCGGGAAGGGACTCGTTGGTCGGGCCCCTGTGAAAGGGCGAGATCGACACGCTGCCAAATGATCGAAAATAAACTTTCCAGCTTCAGCTTATTCTTGAAGCTGAATGGTGGAGAAATTGGGACAGACCAAAGGAAAATTATTATTATTATTATAACATTTCTATGCCGCCCCTTGCCGAAGCCTCGGGGCAGCTTACAACATAATAAAATACATTGAAATACAATAGAATATAATAAATTACCATTGAATACAAAAATACAAAAAATACACTGAGTTACAAACATAATAATATTAAATTAAAATTATCAGTATAAAATAAGTAAATAAATAATATAGGAGGAGAAAAGAGAAGGAAGAAGAAGTTGCCCTGGCCAGATCATATGTTTTAACAATTAAAATGATGTTTAAATAAAAAGGTATTTACCTGGCGCCGAAAAACCAGTAACGACGGTGCCAGGCAGACCTCTTTGGGGAGTGAATTCCATAGGTTGGGCGCCACCACAGAGAAAGCCCTCCTCCGAGTACTTACTCTCCTAATTTCTTTCATGGAGGGTTCCCGGAGAAGGGACTCTCCCGCAGATCTCAAAGGGCGGTCGGGCATATACGGACGTAAGCGCTCGTTCAGGTAGCCAGGACCCAAGCCGTTTAGGGCTTTGTAGGTCATAATCAACACCTTGAATTGGGCCCGGGCTTCAATGGGAAGCCAGTGAAGCTGACGGAGGACTGGAGTCATGTGACCATAACGCCCAGTCCCCGTCAGCAGCCTGGCAGCTCTATTTTGCACCAATTGAAGTGTTCGGACTGTCTTCAGGGGAAGCCCCACGTAAAGCGCGTTACGGAAGTCTAAGAGGGAAGTCACCAGCGTGTGTGTTACCGTCGCCAGGCAGTCGTACTCCAGGTAGGGGCGCAGCTGATTAATCAGCCGAAGCTGAAGGAAGGCGCTCCTCGCCACCGCTGTCACCTGAGCTTCCAAAGAAAGCTCCGGGTCGAGGAGTACTCCTAAGCTGCGGACCTTATCCCTAAGAGGGAGTGTTGCACCATTCAGGACCAGGTCGAATCCACCCTCTCTGAAGCCTGATCCGCCAACTAACAGAACCTCCGTCTTGTCTGGAATGTGGGTTGTCACATTTTGAATCAATTATTCTGTGTCCCACACTCTGGCATCAGCAAAAAAAAAACCCTTCCTCTTTGTGACAGCCTTTGAGGTACTTATAGAAGGATATCATGTCCCCCCCTCAGTCTGCTCTTCTCAAGGCAAAACATGCCCAGTTCTCTCAGTCTCTCTCCACAGGGCAGTGTTTGCAAATCCTGGATCATTTTTGTTGCCCTTCTCTGGACCCTTTCCAATTTTTCTGCATCTTTCTTAAATCTTGGTGCCCAGAACTGGACACAGTATTCCAGATGAGGTCTGAGGAGGTTAGAAGAACTGCTACTTCTCATGATTTAGAAGTAATGCTTCTGTTCATACATCCCAAAATAGCATTTCCTTTGGTGACTGCATCACATTGTTGGCTCATGTTTAGTCTATTGTCCAAAATTACTGCAAGATCTTTATCTTTTTCTTTTTTGAGCCACATATTTCCCATCTTGTATTGATGCATTTGGTTTCCTTTTGGACTTGGCACTTGTCCTTATTGAATCTCATTCTGTTGCTTTCAGCCCAGTGTTCAAGTTTATCAAGATCGCCCTGGATCTTCATTCTGTCTTCTAGGGTGTTTGCTATTCCACCCAGTTTTGTATCATCTGCAAATATGATGATCTTTCCTTGTACTTCCTCATCTAAATCATTAATAAAGATGTTGAAGAGCGCTGGGCCCAGGACTGAACCCTGAGGCACCCCACTAGTTACCTCCACCCATTAACCAAGCACAAGGTAGCACAGTGGTGTATCCGTGGTACAGAGTGTTTTCAGCCATTCACAAGGCATATTTTCTGGTTTGCTTTGATTTAAAAGTTAATACCAGATTTTCCTTGCTCTTAAAAAACAGATAAAACAAAAAAGACTGAAAAACTTGGGGGAGTCCCTGGAGGACAACACCATAAAAGAGCCTGGAAGTGTGTGAAGGATCACAAGGCCACCATAAATGTCTCCCATAAAGAAGTTTGTAGTGATGAGCCCCAATTTAGATGGCTTTATTTATTTATATCTCAGCTTTTTTCCTTCCAAAAATTCCTTTCTCGGGCTGAAGGAACCAGCTGAAGGAAGCAAGCATTTGGTGCAGGTTGAAGTCAAGTAGGGGAATTTGAACAAACCCCAAACCCTTAACAGAATGTTGTGTGATCCCAGAAGTCACATCTGCTTTTGCCCGCAGTGCAAAGGTTAGCAGCTGTGGCTAGTTGTGTTTGCCTGGAGCTAAAGTAGGTAAGAAAAAAAAGTACCTGGCTTCCCAGCTGAAGTGGCAGCTGGGAAAGTATAAAAGTGAAGTACGTTGCTATTGAAGGGTAACGTGCAAATAGAAATCGTGCAAAGTTTTTATCATACTTATCAGTATATGAATATCCCTTTCATCATCATCATCATCATCATTATTATTATTATTATTATTATTATTACATTTCTATGCCGCCCCTTGCCGAAGCCTCGGGGTGGCTTACAACACAATAAAATACATTGAAATACAATAGCACATAATAAATTACCATTAAATACAAAAATACAAAAAATACATTGAGTTACAAACATAATAATATAAAATTAAAATTATCAGTATAAAATAAGTAAATAAATAATATAGGAGGAGAACAGAGAAGGAAGAAGAAGTTGCCCTGGCCAGATCATATATTTTAACAATTAAAATGATGTTTAAATAAAAAGGTCTTTACCTGGCGCCGAAAAACCAGTAACGACGGTGCCAGGCGGACCTCTTTGGGGAGTGAATTCCATAGGTTGGGCGCCACCGCAGAGAAAGCCCTCCTCTGAGTACTTACTCTCCTAATTTCTTTCATGGAGGGTTCCCGGAGAAGGGACTCTCCCACAGATCTCAAAGGGCGTTCGGGCATATACGGACGTAAGCGCTCGTTCAGGTAGCCCGGACCCAAGCCGTTTAGGGCTTTATAGGTCATAATCAACACCTTGAATTGGGCCCGGGCTTCAATGGGAAGCCAGTGAAGCTGACGGAGAACTGGAGTCATGTGAACATAATGCCCAGTCCCCGTCAGCAGCCTGGCAGCTCTATTTTGAGCCAACTGAAGTGTTCGGACCGTCTTCAGGGGAAGCCCCATGTAAAGCGCGTTACAGAAGTCTAGGCGGGAAGTCACCAGCGCGTGTGTCACTGTCGCCAGGCAGTCGAACTCCAGGTAGGGGCACAGCTGATTAATCAGCCAAAGCTGAAGGAAGGCGCTCCTCGCCACCGCTGTCACCTGAGCTTCCAAAGAAAGCTCCGGGTCGAGGAGTACTCCTAAGCTGCGGACCTTATCCCTAAGAGGGAGTGTTGCACCATTCAGGACCAGGTCAAATCCACCCTCTCCGAAGCCCGATCCGCCAACCAACAGGACCTCCGTCTTGTCTGGGTTGAGTTTCAGTTTATTGGCCCTCATCCATTCCATTACCTCGGCCAAGCACCGGTTCAGCACAGCCACTGCCTCACCTGGATTGGTGGAAAACGAGAGGTAGAGCTGGGTATCATCAGCGTACTGATGATTCCGCAGCCCACACCTCCTGATGACCTCTCCCAGCGGTTTCATATAGATGTTAAATAGCAGAGGGGATAGAATGGAGCCCTGTGGTACTCCATGGCATAGCTGCCATGACGCAGAGACATGGTCTCCCAGCACTACCTTCTGGAATCAACCGTTGAGATAGGAGCGGAACCATTGCAAAGCAGTGCCTCCAACCCCCAATCCCGCTAGCCTATCCAGAAGGATACCATGGTCGATGGTATCGAAAGCCGCCGAGAGGTCCAGGAGAACCAACAGGGACGCACTCCCCCTGTCCTTCTCCCTGCACAGGTCATCGTACAGGGCGACCAAGGCAGATTCAGTACTGTACCCGGGTCTGAAGCCAGACTGAAAAGGATCCAGATAATCAGTAGAAGCAGAGGCTCGAAGCTTCATCTCCATTAAATTAAAAGTTTTCACATGCTTTGAAGCAGCCTGATTTGTCCAAAGAACCTTTGGAAATCATAGCGTGGTCAGGATGCTAAGTCCTCTACAAAGAACTACAGTTTTCAGATGGAGCCCTGATAGCTGGACTGATTTAAAAGGGGTTTAAGTCTGTAGGCTCAGATTCCAGTCACATCTTTCTAGTTGCAGCTTTCCTTGCTGTTTTTTTCCAGGGTCAGCTCTGACAGTCACTGTGCCTTCGTCCCCAATCCAGGCCAGGCCAGGCTCTGATGTACTGCTCCCATGCGCCATTTCTGGGTCCATAGTTCTTAAACGCCTGGCTGTGATGTGGAAGAAGGATGGCATTACCATTGCTAAATATGAGCATGACTTTACAACGAAAAGGGCAGGGGCAGTGATGACGGCCGAGCAGCTGCAAGTAGGCAATGCCAGCCTCCTGCTCCCGAAGGTGCACCAAGGAGATGCTGCCGTTTATACGTGTTTCGTTATCCTTATGCCTGCAAGTGCAGAAAAGTCACTGGAGCTGAGAATAGAAGGTAAGGAAAGTAGGGGAAATATGGGTGAGACTCATGTTCTTCTACTCATAAACTGCTTGACATAGAACACAGTTTTAAAGTACATCATTTCAAGGTTAAGGAAGTGTTGCTCTTCAGTCCGGATGTGTGAGAAATCTTTCTGGCACTTCTCCCAGGACTCTGGTCTGCTTTGCAGTCCATAATCCTGGTATACGTGCCCAGTATTTGTGGGCTCTTGCCAGGACTCCAGCTCCACATCTTCCGCAAGAAGCATCTCCCATGCCACGTGGAGCTGCTGTTTGGGCAGCTGCAGCTGACGGGTGCAGCTGCCCTAAAGAAGGGTGGTCATGAGGGACTCACCTGGTAAGCTCTTCACAACAGCTGCACAAGCAGCATCCTGGCCAGAAAGGGTCACTGGTTGTGCGGCTGGGAGCACGCGTGCATTCGCAGACTTCCCTTGGGTTCCTGTTACTGTCCCCAGCTCCCCTAACTGAAGGCCGTGGTTGCTGGGTCTAGTAGGATTTTGAGTCCAGCAAATTCCAGAGAGCCACCAGCTCACCTCCCTTAGTTTAACTTTCCTTATTACCACTTCATAAATACTTCATCTTATCTTGGTACCAAACAGATATTACAGGGCATAGTTTTACTGACATATCTTCCCCATCCTGGTATAAAGGAGAAGGTGCTTGTGAGTGTGTATTTTGTGTGTCTGCCTCTTTTTATGCAGTGTGTGGGTAAAGAGGGCAAAACATGATCTTGTCCCCTACCTTATTCTAGCTTTGATGTTAGTGAGCTGAGAACGTATCAGAGGCGAACGCTTCTCCTTTCACATCCCTTCAGGAGAGCAGTGGGCTATCTGGATGGGTTTTCAGGAGATGGTGGGAAGAGCCCCTTTCCCCACTCTACCAAGGGTGGAGCAGGCAAGCAGCGGATTAGGACAGAATGGGAATACTCTGATAGCAGAGGTGGGCTTTGGTTGGGTCACTAGAGGACACCATCTTCTCCTCACTCTCCCTTTCCTCGGTCCACAGCTCCTCCAGTACTATCACTCGAACCAAGAACGCTCCTGTTATTCCAGCGAGGATCGGTGACGTGCGCAGCATCACATTTCTACCCTGACACAATCTCTTTCACGTGGCTCAGGGATGGCGAGCCCGTGGAAGGCCTCCGATCTCTCCCTGCTGTGCAGGGCTCCGACGGCTTGTACAATGCCAGCAGCGTCCTGGACCTCACCCCTAGTGTCTCTGACGCCGGGGCCCACTTCTCCTGCCAGGTCAACCACACTGCAGTCAGAGGCCTCCTTAAGCAAAGCTTTCTGCTGCAGGTGCACGGTGAGTGGCTCCCAGAGTCCTGGCGCTGCCCGCACTCCCGTTTCTGCCTGGCCTACCTTATTCTGCCACAACTTATTCTGCTCCCCCCAAAATGCAGCCGCTCTGCCTCAGAATGCCCAGCTCTAACTGTCTGCTCCTCGCTTCCGCCATCCTCAGCCTGGTGCCTTCCAAGATAAGTGCTTATGCTGGGTGGGGAATGATGGGTGTTGTAGTCCAAAACTTCTGGAAGGCACCCAGGAGAGAATGCTGCTGTACGCGTTGGGAAGGGAAAGGTCATTTGGGCCAGCGCTGCTTTCTTACTGGAACCACCAGCTTCTCTGAGTCCGGTGGAAGTGGGGTGATTCCACACAGCACCGGGCATAGCTCTGTAATTATCACGCAATGACCATCTTGAGCACAAAGGTCTTTGCACATGTTTTTAAATAAGTAACTTTTCTTTTTGCATTCAGGGACTCAATGGAAGCCAAATGGGGCTCACGGGTGTGTGTTGTCCACTGTTCTTCTACAAGGAGGATGCCACTCTGTCCCAGCTTGTCCATGGGAGGGAGGCCTGGCCCTTCTCTCCCTCGTTACTTTCCTTACAGAAGTCACCGCCAGCTGATTCAGCTGCAGTGGGAGCTGTCTTCCTGAGGGAAGTTACTGCTGGCGCAGATGGCTTGCCAGCCCCACAGCACAGAGGGAAGCTCACCCGTCCCTCCCCACGTGTTCTGCTCTGGACGCGGTGACAGCTGACACTTGCGTGAAATGCTGCAGTGCATTTAACGGGATGCGTAGTTGGCTCCTCCGTGCGCTCCCTCTGTAGCAACGCCCCCAGTGGTTGTTTGCCTGTGCTTTGTGCACCCCGGCCTAGTGCGATATTCAGGAGTGCACCTTTTCTTCCCCCCCTCACAGCTCGCCCAGTCCTCCACATCCTCACTGTGCCCCAAGAGAAGAATTTTGGGGCAGCCATCTGCCTAGTGAGTGGGTTTTACCCAAAACACATTAAAGTCGAATGGCTGAAAAACGATATACTGCTGGAAACGCTGAATTCTCGTCTGTACAACTTGACTGATGGGACCTACTCCATTCAAAGCGCCATCTTTCTAAAGGAGAGTGATGCTGAAGTCAGCTATGTCTGCAGGGTATGGCATGAGTCACTGGACACCCCTCTGAAGATGACAGTCAACTGGCAGCCCAGAGGTGGGCATGATGGGATTTCCCAGATGGAGGAAATCATCCCCAAGTTATCGCCTATAACTATTGCATCTCCCAGTGACACGACTTCTGATTCAGGGGTCCTGGTGGTATCTCCCTCCCCCGGCATGAGTTTCTGGACTGGAATTGTGGTATTTGTCCTAGGCCTGCTCCTAGCAATTGCTGCAGTGATCCTCTACTATAAAGGTAAGTGTCCTTCTGAAGGGCTGTGGGCTGTGGGCTGGTGCTGGTGCTGGTGCTGGAATTGTGGACAGAAGAACAGAAGAGCCAGTGCAGGGGCATGTGACTCACTTTTGCTCTCTTTACAGCCAAGCTTAGATCAGCTGCACAAAGAAACGTTAAGCAAAACACTTCTGAAAAGTCTGGATTTGAGAGCCTACGCAGCACCGGTTTAGAGACTAAACCTGCTACTCCAAGACAGAAAAGTGAGCACATCCTCATTAAAAATGAAGGCCAGGACCATGCTATGCCAGAAGCCTGGACAGAAATGCAAAGTGACAGTTGTACTGCAATGCTATAGTAGTTGCTGGGCTCTGCGGAGTGGCTTGTCAGGGGAGGAACAGGGGAGGAAGGCTGATCCACCGTATGAGTACTTGCATGCTGGTAGGTACTTGTAGGAGTGGGGTCTCTGCAATCAAGCAGACCAGCTGCGACCCACAGGAAGCTGCATAAGAAACTTCTCAGTCCTGTCCAGGTCTGCCCCACCAACACTAATCTCTGTGCTTGGCTTTCTTGTGTCCCTGATCTGGCTTCCCCCCCGCCCCAACCCCGGTGTTCCCATTCCTGTCTTGATCCTTGCGTGTTCCTGACTCTGACTTTGCCTCTGGCCCTGCTGTGTCTTGCCTGGTTTCTGACTCTTGTTTGTTCCTGACTCTGACTTTGCCTCTGGCCCTACCACGTCTCTCCAAGCTTACCATCTGCCTCTGCCACACCTAGTCCTGCAAACGGAAGGATGCCATGCCATGGACGGCTCCATGGCGAGTCAGAAGCTCTCGAACATGGAGACTTCTGAGATTCCAGTGCCTGGGATGGGAGGCGAGCTTTGCCTTCTCATCATCTGACCCTAGATGTGTTCCACTAGATAGGCAGTTTCACTTCATCCTGGTGTCTCCCGTGTCCTCCCTGCAGACCATAATGCCCTCCCTGAGGTCAATCTTGCAGTGTTGGAGAAGCAGTTGGCCTGCTTCGCTTTGTCCTACTGTAGGGCAGGTCTCCAACTCCTGTTCTGAGGTTGCAGAGCTCTGTCTAACCTCAGAGGGTAATCTGAGTCATGTTGTGCTTTTAGGTACAGTTGTCCAGGAACCACAGGACGGATCATTAAGTTTGTTTGTTTTTAGTAATCTGTGCTCTTCCAAACTTTATGGTTTTTGTATTGTATAGACTGCACCGGAAGAATGCTGAGGAGGATATTAAGGTTCAGCAGGTAGTAGAGTGAACTTACCCAGTGTCTGAGTACTAAAGATAATGGTCTTTCTTGAGTACTGCTTCCCCCAGCCTTTCTGTAGGCAAAGGCTGCTTTTGCTTTGAAAACAAATCGACTTGCTTTACTGAAGTGGCTTTGCTGAAATGGGGAACAGAGGAACTGTACAGAATCTATGGCAAGCAGGTTTGTCATTCGATTTGGCTTGGGAAGAAGAATTGACATGTCACTTATTCAGTTGACTTCATTTTTTATTTTTATTTTCATTAAAAAGTAGAGTATAAAAAAGAAAAAAATGATGCCACAGGATCTTACACAAATACTGCAGATAATATCAAACTTACCCAGTTGACTTTAGAGGTCATAGAATCATGGATTAGTAGAGTTGGAAGAGGCCATGAATGCCATTAGGCCCAACCCTCTGCTGTTACAGGACACCAATTTACACCATCCAAGTCCAGGAAACCAAACAGCCGTGGGTGAGTGTAAGGTTTGTTTGGGTTTTTTTGTTTGTTTTGTGCTTGTTGATATTCTGTATCCATATTTCATCATTATATTCAATGAACTATATATCCATCTTTACCATAAGTGGTCTGTATATCCATCTTCAGAGCAAGTTTGATTCTGTGTGTCCTTGAATTTGGAGCTGAGGTGCCTTGCCAAACTGAGTTTCTGGGATCAGTCTACCCTAGGACCAGGATGTCCGAAAGCCACTAACTGCCATATGAACCTGCATGAACATAAAGACCATGAGCTTTGTAGAAGATGTGATGGAAGTAGAACCATCAAGAACTGGTTTCTTAAGTATCAACAAAACTACCTATACTTTTGGATTCTCTTTTGGACTCTCATTGCACTTCAAGATGTACCATTATGCTGCGGTCTTTCAGCATCCAACCTGTTCGTGGTCACAGTTACTGAAGATCATATTCCAGCTTGTGTGTACACAAGGGTGCCAGCGAGCTCAAAAACTTCATCCTGAGCAATCATGGATGAAGGCACGGCAGGGAAGGGGCCATAGCCTGGTCCGCATAGGCAAGGTTCCAGCTTCAATCCCAGACCTTTCCACTTTAGACAGATGCAGCAGCATGTAGCAGGAGAGATGGGCTGATTGAAGGCAGCTTTCTTATGTTCCTGGGGAGTTGAAGTTTGGTGTGCAACGTAACATGTAAAGCTAGAAGAAGCCAGAGGACCGTGGGGTCCAATCCACTGCTCAGTGCAGGATTCCCAGTTAAACCCTCCCTCTAAGATGGCTGCCCAGTTGCATCTTGGATGCATTTAGTGTGGGATAGCCCACAACCTGTCGGAGTCATTGGTTGCATTGTTGTTGTTATGCACGCACGCTCAGAAGAGGCTCACGCGCGCAGACAAGGGAGTGGAGGTTCTGGTGAGAACCAGAGCTCCAGGAGGAGTCAGTCATTGTCCCAAGAAGAGTACAAAGCTCTCACCCTCCTTGCCTAGATGCTTTGACTAGTGGAAGAACAGGTGGTATTTTGCTGCAAGCGGGGGAAGCTGAGGTGCAGGATCAAGACACTTGAAGGGCAGACATGGGGCTTGATACTGGTCTGAATTGTGAGAACGAAGGGTCTTGGGATCCGGGGGGCTTCTTGGGGATATTGAGGGTGCTCGTTCACACAGGCACACCTGCAGGCTAGGACAGTTGGAGTCTCAATTAGAGGAACAGCTGCAAGCTGCCTTCACAGTGCCTGCCTGCTAGGGACCATCCCCAGAGGGTTCATAGGAAAAGTGTGGGGTGACGTTAGTCGGAGCGAGAGGTCAACTTTCTATCCTGTATCATGTGTGTTGTGAATACCTTGTAGCTGTTCAGCTTAAAGAGAATAAAGATTTTTGTAGTATTTTCTGGAGTGGTTATGTAAGCCATCCCGAGGCTATGCGATGGGAAGGCATACAAATGCTTGAAATAAATAAATAAATAAATAAGCAAGCAAGCAAGCAAGCTGGGAAGGGGTGCCTGTGATGTGATGTGCTTCATGACTTCTTGGACTAACAGCTTGCAGCTTCGTCCTTTCTGTACATGAAAGATGGTGTCAGAAGTGACTTGAATCTGGATAGAGCCTCTTGTTTGGAGTGCAGCAGCCCCAGGACACAGCACTGATTTGTGAGTTACAGTTTGAGACCGTTCATTGCGCGTTTTCTGCTACTGGAGGGCTGTGAGGCCTACCGACCACATAGCTGCCATGAATTGCATACCTCCCCCAGAGGGGATGAAAATCGGTGGGGACTGTAGCAGCAACTGGGAAACTTTCAGAGCTGAATTTGAGGATTATTCCCTGGCTACAGGGCTGAATGCGAAACCTGCGGCAGTGCAGGCAGCCACTCAGAGGAGTCATGGGCAGTGAATGCAGGCATGTGTATAAGCACAATCTGAACCTCTCAGCAGAGCAGCAAGAGAATGTTACAGCCATTCTGGATGCACTAGAAGCTTATTTCAAACCTGCTAAAAATGTCATTTGTGAAAGGTAAGTGTTTGGATGCTGCAAACAAGAGGAGGGAGAATCTCTTGACAACTTTGTTACTCGCTTATGAGAAAAAGCAGCTATTTGTGAATATGGCACCCTGAAAGTTGAACTAATAAGGGACAAAACTGTTCTTGGTATACCTAGTGAGAGCACATGCAGGCGTCTTCTAAGAGAGCGTGACTTAACGCTAAACACAGCTATTGAAACGTGTTGTACAGCAGAGCTTACTGACAGACATCTGAAAGTGATGAAACAGGACAGACAGAGCGACAGCATAAATGTTGCAATGCAGCGACGGCACATAAGCAAACCGCAAGGACAGCAACACACGCTTAGCGCAAATATGGCCAACTCTACAGCATGCAAATATTGTGGGACTGTGCATCCAAGAATTAAAGAGCTGTGTCCAGCATATGGGAAGTCTTGTAGGTCTTGTGGAAGAGCAAATCATTTCACTAAAGTTTGCTTGTCAAAAAACAAGTGTCATCTGGGAAATTACATGCTATGGAGGATGCGCCTGCATATGAGGAGGAGCCACGCACCGCTGAAATGATACAGAGCTGTGAATCGGTGCTCTGCAATCCAGAGGAAAGAAATGGTTTGTCACATTAATATTAAATAATAAGCCTCAATCCTGCCAGCTCGATTTGGGAGCAACATGTGATGTGATGCGCTTCATGACTCCTCGGACTAACAGCTTGCAGCGTCGTCCTTTCTGTACATGAAACAGTGCCTGGCTCATGACAGTTGTACTGCTCTAACAGGATTTTTTTTCCCCCTGATACCTGGTCGGAATCTGGCTTCCTGTAACTTGACTCCATTATTTTGTATCCTGCACTCTGTGCTAAGTGGTATATAAATGACACTCTTCTTATCAAAAATGTTCTAACCCTGAGCTTCCTTGTAAAGTGCCTGTTGCCCACATGGATACTGGCCACCAACAAGTCCTTGTTTCCAGTCAGAAAGGATCTACATGGCTTCTACAAAGTGGTTAGTGCCACATGTCTTTCTAAATACTTACTACTTGTATCATTTGTAATGCTTCAACCAATTTATCCAGAACAGATATTAAACTAGTCAATTTTCTCCTACAGATGTAGCTCTCTGTATTTTCTGAGAGATGCTTCTATAGCTTTCTTTGTTTCAGCAGTTCAATTGAGGTGGAAAAAGTTTGCTGTTGTTTTTGTGGAAGTTGGAAATCCTTGTTGGTCTGCTGGAATATCGCTCTGAGAGCCATCAATAGATTGCCCTGGTTAGAGGATAGAATTGAAGGAAGGCAGGCAGGCAGGCAGGCAGGCAGGCAGGCAGCCTCACAAGGACATTCTGGGGAGATACTTCCAAGCACTAAGGGCAGCAGGGCAGAAAAACCAGAGTTACTCTTTACTATTATGACTGTACTGGCTTTGTTCACCCAGTTACCCTGCAGGGGCCAAGGACGTACTAAGAGGTTTAATGTATCTGTAGCTCCTCCTTCTGGCCATTTGGGAACCTGTAAAAGTGTAGGGATCCAACAGCATCCATGGTTCATGGCTACTTCAGAGTCTTTACATCATGGTGAACTGCAGAGCCCATTAACTCCAAAACTGGATGTTTAAACTCCTCCAAATGAGTCATTTGAGCCACAACATCATGGCATGAAGGCGATCACACAGTCTGCCTGCTGTGAATTTACAGAGTAGGGCTGTACCGAAAAAGACAGCCTTTGGAGGCAGTAAGACTTCAGAAGCCTGATCCTGAGCAGACGGAATAGCACCCAGTTTTGTATGCACTTGAAGCAAAAGTTTATCTCCATAGCAATTTTAGGTTCGCACTCAGATCCTGGTCTGCTTTGGTCCTCTGTCAAGAGCTGCTCCACTAGATGGAAATTTTGAGACCAGAACTTACCACAAGCCAAAGCAAAACTGCAGGGGTTGGATCCAAGATCCACTTGCAGAGGAGAGAAGCCCCCTCTGCCCATTCAGCAGGATCTGCTGACACACCAAGTGGCATTTTCAGGGATTGGGGTGGGGAGGGAACAGGAAAGTCCGCTGCCACCAGCCTTGTTCCATGTGCCTAAATCTGGATCCATCCCCAGATCTTCTTATGAATGCTAGGATTTAGCCTGGGTCATGTACAAAAAACTCATCCATGGTTATCAGCTCTGAGAACTTGCAAGCAATTTCTCCTTTTTTGATTAGAGCCAATGTGGTGTGGGGGTTAGAGTGCTGTACTGGTGACCTGGGAGACCCTAGTCCCCACTCGGCCATGAAGCTCACTGGGTACCTTTGGGCCAGTTACTCACTATCAGCCTAACTTACCTCACAGGGTTGTTGTGAGGTTAAAAACATGGAGTAGAGGAGAACTATGTAAGCCACCATGGATTCCTCATAAGAAGAAAAAAAAGGCAGGATATAAATGCAATGTAAAGATTATAGTCTGAAAGCTTTTTCTGGGGTGATATCCAATGTTAGTCCTATGTAGAGTAAGCCTATTGAAATGAATGGGACAAGTTAGTTTCAACTAGCTTACATCCTGTCCATTTCAATCAGTCTGCCTTATGTAGGAGTAACATTGGATATCAATTCTGGTAGTATCAGTTTGGTTGTCGTCTAGAGAGTTTAGATACCATTCTGTACTTTCTTACCTGGGAGTAAGCCCCATTGAATTCAATAGTTACTTGCTGATGTCTTCTCAAAACTAACTTCTGAGAAGACATAAATAGGATTGCATTGTTAGGTCCTACTCTGTGAAAAAGACTTGCTACCAAAGATGCAGTAGAGGTGGGGTGGGGGGGATTCAATATTGGGTAGAGGGGGAAAAGGTGAATGCCTTTTTTAAATACAAAAAGCTTTTCTTTAAACTAAATTAACTCCTACTCAATGAAAGAATAATTATTTTCCTTTTGCCTTTTAATGTCTTCTTTGTCTGCGTATGCTCTCTCTCTGTATGTGTGTGTGTATATACACACACACAGAGAGAGAGAGAGAGAGAGAGAGAGAGAGAGAGAGAGAGAGAGAGACTAAATAAATACTGTCAAATAATATTTATATAGAGTTGAAATTACTACATATGAATAGTGAAGAAAACTGACAAGAAGAAAATGGATGCATTTCAGACATGGTCCTGGAGGAGAGCTCTGCAAATACCCTGGACTGACAGACTGATAAACAAGTGAGTCCGAGTTCAAATCCAGGCAAAGCTTTCGCTAGCAGCAAAGACGACAAAGCTGACGCTGTCATGCTGTGGGCAAATCTTGAGGGCAAAACTCTATCGAGAGGACGAGTCGAAGGCACAAGAACTAAAAGAAGCCCAACTACGAGATGGATTCACTCCATAAAGGAAGCCACCGCCTTGAATTTACAAGAACTGAGCAGTGCTGTCGCGGCCAGGATATTTTGGAGGGCTCATTCATAGGGTCGCCATAAGTCGGAGGCGACTGGACGGCACATGACAACGACTAAATTGGAATATAAGTCATTCCCCGCACCAGCTACACTTGGCATGAACAGCTCGGCAGGGTGGAAGGAGGAAAAATAACCCAGCAACCCCGACCCAGACAAACCACCTCGGGCGCCTCTCCCCCGATTTCCCCTCCCGCCTTATATAAACAACAACAACGCGTCATTCAATAAGAGCTCTGAAAGAAGGAAAACTGCAATCCCCAGGATTCCCAGCACACAGCGGGGGGCGGGGCGATCTAACCGCGATGCGTCTCTGAGACGAGACTGGCAGGGAGGTGGCGCCCAATGGGACCGCAGGGAGGTGGAGTGTGCTGGATAGCGAGACCAATGAGAAGGGCTTGCCGCTGTCATGGCGGAGACGGTAAATGTGCGAGTGGGTGAGCTGCATGGTTTGGGCTCGGGGGCTCGGCGCTCGGGTGACGCCGCTCTTCTCCCCTCTTCCCTCCCTCCCTGCAGGTGGATGCCGACTCCAACAGCGACTCCGAGCCGGAGGGCATCCCCAAGAAGCCCCTCCTCAAGCGCCGCCGCTTCTTCGCGGATAGCGCCGTCCCCGCGGTCCCGGTCTACTCGGAGAAGGTGCGCGCCTGGCGGGGCTGCCTCCTCCTGGAATGCCCCGGTGGCTCTCGCCAAGAATGGTCCCCGCTCCCCTCGCGTTGAAGCCGGGGCGGGGGTTGCCTGCGGTTTGGTATTGGGGGTGGGGGGTGGGGGGTGGTGGTGATGCCCTTTTCTTCGTGTTGATTTTGGAGTACAAAAAGAAGCAGGGCACAGGCTGGTAGAATTTTGTCGAGAGAATACGATGGTCATAGCAAACACTCTTTTCCAACAAAGCAAGAGACGACTCTACACATGGACATCACCAGACGGTCAACGCAGAAATCAGGTTGACTATGTGCTCTGCAGCAAAAGATGGAGAAGCTCTATACAGTCAGTAAAAACTAGACCAGGAGCTGACTGTGGCTCAGATCATGAGCTTCTGGTTGCAAAATTTAGGCTTAAATTGAGGAAAGTAGGGGAAAGCACTAGGCCACTCAGGTATGACCGAAATCGTATCCCTGATGAATATACAGTAGAGGTGACAAATAGATTTAAGGAATTAGATCTGATAGACAGAGTGCCTGAAGAACTATGGACGGAGGTTCGCAACATTGTACAAGAGGTAGCAACTAAAACCATCTCGAAAAAAGAAAAGAAAGGAAATGCAAGAAAGCAAAATGGCTGTCTGAAGACGCTTTACAAATAGCCGAGGAAAGAAGGGAAGCGAATCATGGAGAAAGCTAGGGAGTTCCAGAAAAACATCTGTTTCATTGACTATGCTAAAGCCTTTGATTGTGTGGATCACAACCAATTGTGGCAAGTTCTTAAAGAGATGGGAGTACCAGACCATCTTATTTGTCTCTTGAGAAATCTATATGCAGGTCAAGAAGCAACTGTGAGAACTGGACACGGAACCACTGATTGCTTCAAAATTGAGAAAGGAGTTTGGCAAGGCTGCATACTGTCGCCCTGCCTATTTAACCTATATGCAGAGCACATCATAAGAAAGGCGGGGCTAGATGAATCACAAGTTGGAATTAAGATCGCCGGGAGAAATGTCAACAACCTCAGATATGCAGATGAGAACACTCTCATGGCAGAAAGTGAAGAGGAACTAAAGAGCCTCTTGATGCGGGTGAAGGAGGAGAGTGCAAAAGTTGACTTGAAACTCAACATTAAGAAAACTAAGATCATGGCATCTGGTCCTCTCACTTCCTGGCAAATAGATGGGGAAGAAATGGAGGTAGTGAGAAATTTTATTTTCCTGGGCTCCAAGATCACCGCAGACAGGGACTGCAGCCAAGAAATTAAAAGACGCTTGCTCCTTGGGAAGAAAGCTATGGCAAATCTAGACAGCATACCAAAAAGCAGAGATATCACCCTGCCAACAAAAGTGTGTATAGTCAAGGCTATGGTTTTCCCAGTTACAATGTATGGCTGTGAAAGTTGGACCATAAGGAAGGCTGAGCGCCGAAGAATTGAGGCCTTTGAATTGTGGTGCTGGAGAAGACTCCTGCGAGTCCCTTGGACAGCAAGGCGATCAAACCGGTCAGTCCTAGAGGAGATCAACCCTGACTGCTCTTTAGAAGGCCAGATCCTGGAGATGAAACTCAAATATTTTGGCCACCTAATGAGAAGGAAGGACTCCCCGGAGAAGAGCCTAATGCTGGGACCAATAGATGGCAAAAGAAGAAGGGGACGGCAGATAATGAGATGGCTGGATGGAGTCACTGAAGCAGTTGGTGTGCGCTTAAGTGGACTCTGGGGGATGGTGGAGGACAGGAAGGCCTGGAGGAATGTTGTCCATGGGGTCGCAATGGGTCGGACATGACTTTGCGACTAACAACAACTCTCTACTCAAACTTACTGGCTCTCTGAATTGATTTTGAGCTGCCTTGCCCCCTGCCATGCTGATTGGCAGATACATAGGATCATGCCCTTACTGACCCTTTCTTCAAGAATACCTGGATCCTAACCCACATCCCAGTTCCTTATTATAACCCTTATTAATCTGCTCTGACAAATCCGGGGAGAGAGCTGCAGTATCAGCTTCCAGCCACTAATCATCCTCATTCAGAGTCCAAACTATTATATGATTTTATTATCACAGAACTATTCTATGAAAGTCTATATCTGATCCCGTTGGCTTGCTGGATCATTGTTTATCATGGGGACTTTTTAAATAGCTGCTGCTTATTCCAAAGCACCTTTGTTGTATAAACTGCTGCAGGGGCCCCATAATTTGTGCTTGCATTGTTGATTTGCCTCGATCAACCTCCTATAGCTCTAATGTGTTCCTTATATTTTTGTAAGCTTGACTCTGAAACTTTCCCTCTCACTGGAGAGAACCCTGGAATCCTAGCACCCTACTTCCACAGTGGCTAGTCCATCTTTCCTCTTCACCCTAGCAGTCCTGGGAGGAGTCCTGAGTTCTCCACATCTTTGCCTCTAATCCACAGGTTCAGAACAGTCTCCAGCTTTTTTCAGACTCTTTGAAACTGCCAGCGCAAATCCCTGAGCTGTCTTCCACATCTCAGGTCCTCAGTGTATCAGATGATGAGGAAGAGGCACCTACAAAGCATGCAGAGGAAGAAACAAGGTCCGATTTCTTCTTTTCCTTGTTCTCTCCACTTAACTGGTCTTGAAGCTCCAATTAAAACCATTCCTCTATCTATCCTTCCTTCTGCAGATGTAAAGACCTGTCACCTTCATCTCCGTCTCCACCTCCACCACAGCCAAGGAAAACAAACTGTGAACCCCGGTAAAAGGCTGGGATCATCTGGAAGGGGAGTGGATTACATAGAGCATTGCAGGAGAGGGGGACAGTGAGGAAGAAGTAGAGCAGCATCCTTTTTAATTTTAATTTTTAAAATGTACAAATACAAAATAAACCATATAATGAAAGGAAAAAACACAAAATGCACAAAAGAAATAATGTAGAAGAAAATCACCCTTAGTGCACCCCTCAACCAGGACTGTGGCTGTATAGTATTTTTTCTTTCATTTTTCCACTGGTTCGGAAATACCCCCTTCCATCTAAAATTGCATTACATCCATTGGAGGTTTAATACCCTCCCCTTATATTAATATGTTAATAAACAGACCCCATATATTGTTAAAATCAGTTTTCTTTATCAGTTCTTTTTTTCTCCTTAATCTCACACTTGAGCTTATCATTAACGGCTATATTCCAAACTTCTTTATACCATTCAATTAACTGAACGGCTCCTGTTTCTCCTTCCAGTTCTTTGCTATTATCAGTTTTGCTGCTGTTACCAAATATTCCATTTCCATTTCTTTTCACAAAAGTTTAACAACAATGCTATTTCAGGATCCACTTCAATTTAAATTCAATATCTTGCTAAGCTCCTTAAATATCATCCAAAATTTCTTAATATTGATTATCCGTATAAAATAATTTTACTGGCATCATGTGCTAATTCCATACTAATGTATAAATTTTCCTTAATTCTAATTGACATACTTTTTAATATTCTCTAATACCATATTTTCCCCCATTGATCCTCGTCTATATCCTTCTCTAAATCCATTTCCCATGAAATTTTAAAAAGGTCATGTATGGCCTGGCCTCCCTGTCTAAAGTGGAGCAGCAGCCTAGATTTGTTGGGGACCATTATACCTAGTTATTGCAGTAAAGCATGGGTAGGCAGCCTCACTCCAATTTCCCTGACAATTTTCCGCATGGGAAGTAAAAAGAGAAGGAAAGGGGTGATACACCCACTTCATGTCTGGCCTTGCCTACAGCTAGCTTACTGTCAGTTTGAGGGCCCCAGTAGATTCTCTCAAGGGAATACAGGAAAAGGGTTTTCCACTCCTGCAGTAAAAACCTTTTCAGCCTGCTACAGTGACTGACATGAGGTATCTTTAAGGCATCCTATGCTACATCACTGTCACCTGGAAACTGGTGCAAACCCTGGATTAATGTCATTTGCTATATAAAGTCCTAATAAGTTGTGTTTTTAGCTACTTTAAATTGTTCTACAAAATTGTATGCTTTTTATGATGTTTTATTTTTGAGTTGTCATTTTTGTGAACCATGCAGAGAGCTTGGCTGACGGGCAGTTTACAAAGGAAGCAAATCAAATAGATATCGTTCAAATGAAAAGGAGAGAGAGTGTGTCACAGTGGTGAGAGTAGAAGTTGAGAGAACCAGTTTCTGGTCCCCACTCAGCCATGAAGCTGACGGGCTCATTTCAAGCCAGTCACAGACTCTTAGCCTAACCTACCCCACAAGTTTGTTGTTGTGAGGATAAAATAGAAGGAGAACATAAGTCTTCCTCCTCTTCCTTGTTCCCCAGATGGTGTGCTTAGGGTTTTGGTTTTTTACTCAGATTTCTCCTTCCTTCTCAGTGTTTGTAATCAGCTGCTCAGGAATCTGACCTCTACACTCTCGGCAGCTCAGAAGAGCTTGCAGGAGGCAGCGTCAGGGGATGACGTGATTGTGATTGATGCTCCAGGGCCCTCAGAACCCCAGAAGTTGGTGCTGAAGATCCGATGTCGAACTGACCTCTACCGAGTCTCAATTCAGATGGTGAGACACTTTGGTGTCTGCTTCCTTGCCGTGAGAAACTTGCCTTGGCTACCATTCCTTCTGCTTTTGTAGTTGCCACTCAGGCCTGGCTCTTGTTTTCTTCTTGCATTCTCCTAGTTCATTCCCTGCCTCCTTGTTGCACTGTATATTTGGGGCCTCCATCCCCACATCCTCACTATAGACCAGTTTGTCACTATCCTGCTCAAAATCCCTTTAGGCTTTAGTATATAGGTTTTCCTTTTCTGCTTTCTGACCTTCCCCCGTGCTGGTAAACTTCACCAAACAGCTATGAAACAAAAATTAAGCCAAATATTCTTTCTGGGATACAGAAGAGAGGGGCTCTGCCTCCCTGTTGTACTGGCATATGGTGGCATATGGTGTTTCTCCAACTTTCCACTTCACAGACTGACCCTCTTCAGCGGGTGGTCGAACATATGGGGCAGATGCTGAAGGTTCACCCCAACAGAATACTTCTCCTGCTCCGGGATCAAGAACTCGCAGCTGATGCCACTCCTGCCAGGCTGGGCCTGGGTGTGGCTGATATAATTGGTAAGTAGATGAGGAGCCTCACTTCTGCCAAGCCATATTGGGTGGGTTCATATGACACACGAAACCTTTAGGTTCTTGGCCCCAGGGGCTGTGATGCAGCTGATTGTCTGTCAGAAAGATGGGCATATCATGGCCGCCACCTCTCCCTTTGATTCTTCTGCAGGCAGGCCAGGGGACACCACTGGAATATCGAGGTCCCCCCTGGCCCTGATTGCAAGTCACTTCCAGCAATGCTGCTGCACAACTTAAAAAAAAGAGGAGGGGTTATGATTGTGACAGTGGACTGTCAAGCATCTGTGAGGTGTCTTTCCAAGGACCCCCAAGTGGTAACCGCCTTTTTAAAAAAATTTTAGTGAGACTGTGTCTCTTTTGCTCCCCAAATGGCCCCATATGAACAAATGGGCCCGGTAGAGGTGAAACACAGGACTGCCAGGTAAGTACTGGCCTTGGCAGGTGGTTGCTGGCCAATACCAGCAGACACCCCTACTCTTTCCAGTACTTAGGACAGGCTGCAGGTAAGTATCCCCCCTTTACCTGCTTTGCATAGACCTGTGAAATTCAACAGGTTGGGACCACGTACCTCCTTGCAAAGCATTGGTGTGCTTTGCAGAAAAGTAGTTTTCTCCCCCTCTGTAGCATGATCTCCTTTTTTGGGGGGTGGGGGAGATCTGGTGTCCCACCAGCTTTGCAAGTGCTAGCATGGGACAGCCTGCAAAACTGGAGGGGGCCTATGCTGGGATCCCCTATTTTTTAGTCTCTACCTGCTGTATTTGCGCAAACGGCAGTTCAGGTGGGAGAGAAATACACAAGGAGAACAGCTATTTGTGCAAAGAGTCTTGCCATAAAACGTTTAAAAGGCAGGGTCCTTGGAGGGGCATTTTGGGGATTACGTTGGGCTTGACAGACAGCTTTCACAATATCAAAAGCCTTTTTAAAAGTAAAATGGTAGCAAACTTCCGAAGGCTTGTGATCACAGCATGGAGGGGGAAGGTCTTTGCCAGCTGTCTCCTCTGGTTCAGCTACGGTGCTTCCTTCATGGCGGGCAGTGGCAGTCACTTGTTATGTCCTATTAATTAATCAATCAGTCAGTTAATTGGGATCTTTCTGCCTGTCCAATCACTTTTGTCTCTGGAGAACTCACAATGACCTAGTGGGTTGAAGCAGCCTTTCACCACCTGGTGCCCACCAGAGGTGTTAGATGACAGCATCCATAGTCCCCAGAAGGTCTGGTCATGTTGGTTGGGCATGATAGGGGTTCTCGTCCCCATCAGCCTTTGGAATTGGAAAGGCTGAGCTCTGTGTCTGGGAGAACCCAGGCTTAACTCCTCAGGGAGCTTGCTGGGGCCATTAGGCCAGCGTGTACCTCTCAGCTGAACTACCCTGATGATGTAGGCATAGGATAAGAATTTGGGGAAAGGCTGTATACTCTGCCTTGAGTTCACTGGAGGAATGGTGTGGCCTAAATATAATGTTTCCCTGGGTATGACTTACAGATTGTATTGTGGAGACAGCTAGTGGAGAGAGTGCTGACATAGGAAACCTGCAGCTCCGAGTGCAAGGGAAAGATAAGAGCTCCCAGATGGAGATTACGGTGCGGAAGGTAAGGAGCCTGAGGTTTGGTTGAAGGGATGCCTGGTGTGTGTGGGAGTTACTATAGCTGTTGTCCTCTTGTTTTTTTCCTGCAGGGGGAGCCCTTGGAAACACTTATGAATCACTACCGTCAAGCTCAAGGGCTTGGTAGATGTAAGCTTGTTTTCCATTTTGATGGACAGCGTTTGATGGAAAACTGGACCCCAGAAGATCTAGGAATGGAGTCTGGTGATGTCATTGAAGTGTGGATTTAGAAATCCTTCCACCTCTTAGAGGGAGCCATGTCCCTTTGAGCTTTCTCTTCTGATCCCAGCTCCAACATATTTAACTCTGCCCTCCTTTTCATCTTGCTGGTGCTTATTGTTGGAAGTCAGGTGAGCCACTTGACTTGTAAAACAAACCTGAGACACTCTCAGGTTTTTATACAGTTCCTTTCCTACCTATTCTAGTACACAAGGACGAGAAATTATTGCTTATTTCTTCTCCCCTTTCATTATTTTCCTCCCCACACTTGCTTTTTAAATATATTTAATAAAGTTCAATTTTACCAATCCCATCTTGTGAAATAGGGAGAGAGTAACTGCTCAGGCATAATGAGAAAAACATTGAAGGAAGAGTACACAATGCATGCCGGATACATGCTTCTTTTGCATCAGTGTTTTTCCGCCATTATTTTTAATCAAGCTACACAGCTACACATTACAGTCAGTGCAATCCTGTGGCCCCTAGACAGTGTCATGAGAGCCAAGGAATTTTTCAGAGTCTCAGCTTCAATGTTGGAAAACAACTTTTATGCTAGTGCTTAGAATCTGTGTTTGAACTGTGTTTGCTGCAACCCTGGAGGAAGGATTTAGTGGCTACTCCAGTGGGAGGAGAGGAGATTGGCACCATCAGGATATGACATATCCTGGCATTGCCTCAACCTCCATCCCTCCCCTCCAAAGTGCTGCAGCCAGTGTTTTGCAGGGTGCCTGCAATCCTTCGAGTTTGGAGGCTTGGGACCTTAAAATGTAAATAAATTTCTTCCTAAGCTCCAGCTGAACATTGCCTTGGGACTGATGATGTGAAAGCTCATCCATCAACTTGGTGATGGTGTGCTACTGGGGAGCTGTACCCTCTGCCTCCCAGAAAGACCACCACAGCCTGGTCTTAGCAGCATCAAAAAGAGAGCTATGTCAGTCCTCGCTTTTCTCTTTCATCCCTATCCTTTTAATAGTGACTATTAGATTGTGAGACTGTGTGCAGGGACTGTCTTTCAATATTTAGATCATTTCTGAGTTTTGTGTTTACTAATAATGTTGGCCTGTTAATTCTGTAAAACTCTGCACTGCCTTCCCTTTTATATGTATTGTCTGTCTTGATGGGTATAACTTTTAACCCTGTTTTCCATTGTTTGAAATATTTTCAGCAGGTTCTGTGATTTAAGGAACAGTTTTGAAATTTTATCTTGGAGTAGACAACCTGTCACTGTCCAGATGATTTGACCTACAATTCTTACCACCAGCCTAGCCAAGGGTGAGAAATGAGGGAGTTGTAGGCCAAACTATCTGGAAGGCCAGAAATCTCTGACCTCTGCTTAATCCAGAAAACTAAAAGACAACACAGAATCCTGACTGGTGAGCAGCATTTTGCTTAATGGGGCACAAATTTTGCATGTTAAGTAGCATGCAGCCATTTGTGGGAATAAGAAATAATGACATTCCAAAGGAGTCTGTTTGCAGTCCAGCAAAATAGTACATTATGAAGTATACACAGAAGCTGCAGCAAGATATTACACTGTGGAATGATTAACAATGGTAGCCAGTGATGTTTGTTGCCAGTCTGGCCTGCATTGTTTCCCCCAGGCACAGTATTCTGTAGCTACTGAGTCCTCTCTGGGCTGTTCAGTATGTTACATAATTTTGCTGTTTAGCAGAATGCAACTCACCAGCCACCTAGACCTGGTAACTGATGACTGCCTAGTTTTTGCCCTTACAAGCAGGCACGAAATGCAGGAGATTGATGGAGACTTCGCCAGTTTGCCAGTTGTAGCTTGTGAGCTGTGTGGAGCTTGCCAAGGTGTGAGTGCTGTGGATCTGGTTAGAGCAAGGCTGCGACCCTACACCTACTGATTTATGGGATTATATAAGATGACTATAAAACGTACTTTTCTAAGTGCTGTGTGGCTTTTGAAATACACTACAATAGATCTGTAAGGGAATTAATGAGAAGCATTGGTTTTCATGGCAGGAGGAAAAAGCAAAGCAAAGATAGTAGATCATGGGGAAGGGCATTAAAATTGCAGGTGGTTTGGTCAAAGCAAATATTAAATGATGTATGTTGGGGCCTAGTGACAGATTTTATTTTCCTGGGCTCCAAGATCACCGCAGATGGGGACTGCAGCCAAGAAATTAAAAGACGCTTGCTGCTGGGGAGGAGAGCTATGGCAAATCTAGACAGCATACTAAAAAGCAGAGACATCACCCTGCTGACAAAAGTGCGTATAGTCAAGGCTATGATTTTCCCGGTTGCAATGTATGGCTGTGAAAGGCGGACCATAAGGAAGGCTGAGCACCAAAGAACTGAGGCCTTTGAATTGTGGTGCTGGAGGAGACTCCTGCGAGTCCCTTGGACCACAAGGCAATCAAACCAGTCAGTCCTAGAGGAGATCAACCCTGACTGCTCTTTAGAAGGCCAGATCCTGGAGATGAAACTCAAATACTTTGGCCACCTAATGAGAAGGAAGGACTCCCCGGAGAAGAGCCTAATGCTGGGACCAATAGATGGCAAAAGAAGAAGGGGACGGCAGAGAATGAGGTGGCTGGATGGAGTCACTGGGGCAGTGGGTGTGGGCTTGAGTGGACTCCGGGGATGGTGGAGGACAGGAAGGCCTGGAGGAATGTTGTCCATGGGGTCACGATGGGTCAGACACAACTTCGTGACTAAAAACAAGAACAACATGTTGGGGCCAAAAAAAGAAAAACAACAACAACAACAATTTTCCCTCTGTGTTGATGGGATCTGAACAAGTGGTGACTGATGATGAAAGAGACTGGAGCTGTGGCCAGCAAACATTGACTCAGTGTGCAGCTGCTGTGAGAAAAGCAAAATCTATGCTAGGCAGAATTAGAAAACGCATAACCCTCCTGCCAACATCATATTTCCCATGTATAAATCCATGTTGTGACCACACTTGGATTACTATGTACAGTTTTGGTAACTGTTCCTTAAAAATGGTATTGTAGAGTTAGTATTGGTTTTAGAAAAGAGCAATCTGAATGATCAAAGGGTTGGAACAATTCTATGAGGAACGATTGCAACATCTGGTACTGCTTAGCTTTAAAAAAAAGTGAAGAAGAGTCAATGTGGAAGAAGTGCGAAATTATGTGAGGTATGAAGGAGGTGGATAGGGTTTCTCCCTGTCTCATAATACTAGAACTTGGGGTCATCCCATGAAGCTGAATGGTGAATAAAAGGAAGTACTTCACAAAACTTAATCCATGGTATTTGCTATGTGCTAACACAGAATATAGCTACCAATATGGATGGTTTTAAAAGGGAATGAAACAAGTTTAGGGAGGATAAGGCTAACCATGGCTACTAGCCATGATGGCTATGGCCTACCTATGGTGTTCCTCTGTGTACTGGTTGCTGGTAGCCCGAGTGGATTGATGCTACTTGAGGATTTTGCACAGGCAAAATGACAGAATGCTGAATTAGGTAGATCCTTGATCTAATTCACTATGTCTCTTGTGTTATGAAGGCAATGGAGGTTTATGGCTGTAAATTTAAGAGGGGAAGCCATGTTAGTTTATGGTTACCACAGTATATACTCTTATGACCCCTTAAAAACCACTCATATTTAATGTGCTGTCAGCTTGTGCAAACTAGAATGTTGTGTGACCTAAAACAGTGGAACCACAACTTATTCATAAGGGAAAAAAGTGGGATATAAATAAACTCAAAGCAACTTAACACCATTGTCTTCCTGCTGCTTTCAATCTTATCCCCACACCAACAACCCTGTGAGGTAGGTTGGGCTGAGAGTCTGTGACGGGTCCAAACTCACCCAGTTGGCTCCATGGCTGAGTGGGGACTTGAACCCAAACTGCCTGACTTCCAGTCTTGTGCTCCAGCACGCTGGTTTTCATATCTGTTAGGATTTACGGTTTCAAAAGATGTTGTTTGTGGTAGCAAAACGAAGGTGCAGCATAACCCTATTTAACTCTAACCCTACTCAGAAACATCCTTGCCTTGCTCTCTTGCTGTTGCTTCACAAGGCTGGGGATGGTCCTCCTCCCCACACAGATGCTGTTATAATAAGCTGCCCTGTTGCTGTACAAAGCAATAGGTATGACTTTCGTTAATTAAATCATGCAATCATTGACACATAAACAGGCCTGAGAAAAGCCCTCTTTTCTAGAAATCAACATGTGCGCATCCTTGAAATGTAGCTGACACTAGCCAGGCACCATTCCAAAGAAGGCTAGCTGGCACTTGCCAGATGACATCATCTCAAACAAAGGACAATTCACACCAGCCCAGCCCGCCTCCTCCTGTTCCTATGTAATAGCAGCCCATCTTCCCCGCTCCTTCAGAGCATCTTCTTTGGTATGCAAGTGGGAAAGATCACACCGCTGCAACATTTGACATCTGTAACCTCTTGGAAAGTGTTAACTATGTTACACCTAACCTTACAATGATCAATGTTTTAAAGGGCCAACTGAGGACTGCTCAGGGTTGCCATCTGGAATGATTCATTGGCAGCCAGTTATTCTCAAGAATGTATCTTTTAAAAGCAAACCTTCTTCCGTTGTGTAATTTGGGCATATGCACACCAGGACATGGACCGTTCAGTCAACACTCTGAGCAGCAGGGGATAGAGACGTGAACTGTCACCAACACCACATCTTGGAATCATCTATTCTTAATATTTTAGGCAACAATCCTATGCATGTTTAGATAGGAAAAATTGTAGGAGTTTCTTTTTCCTATCTAAACCTCCAGCACTTTCTTGCATGCCACACCTGAAAGTGTAAACCTGAAGGCAGGGACTGTCATGCTACTTCAGCTGTTCCGGAAGCCTTTTTAGCTAAGGGTGGAGAATGCATATTGTACGTAAATAAAACTTAAGCCTCCCTAAGTCTAGCCTTCCAGATGTGCTAGACTACAACTCCCAGCTGTTAGGGAAATTGTAGTCCAGGATACCTTGAGCATACTGCATTGAAGAAACCTGTTCTAGAATCCATTGCCAGGTGTCTTTTTGGTTTATGGTGGGGCACAGCTCTTTTACCAAACAATGGCATTCAAGATGGTGACCAAGGAAAGAGGGAGAAAGACATCACAGCCACAACTTGGGTTTGCTTGCTAAGAGGAGAATATAGTGGTTATGGATTTAAATATGCGGGTGACATTTCGAGATATGACTGACAGTTCACTAGTTGCCATGGAAACTGGGTGTTGGTGGTCGTCAATAGATGCTGGGTGTACTGGTGGCTCCTGCCTATTGCCTGCCAGGTGGAGAAACTGGAGCATAGTCAGCAATGAACTGGTAACCATGACAACTAAGGAGGAGGGCAGGTGGTCCCTCGCGTGAGGCGGGGGGGAAGGAGGCGCCGCCGCTTAGGGACGGGCTACTACCCGTACCAACCTAGCTACGCTCTCTTCCGATAAAAGAGGGTTCGCCATTGGCCTCTTGTTGGTGTTGTGACGCGGAAGAGAACGCGCTGCGGAATGGGCGGCTCGGTCGCTATGGCATCCACGGCCGCCTCTCAGGTGGTAGCGGAAAAGGCGGGGAAGAAGAAGAAAGGAAAGGAATCATGTGACAGGCAGGGTTTTAAAAAAGACAACAACGCGGCTCACGTGACCTTTCCCGGCTGCTCCGCCGAGGCCGGGTACGTTTGCCGCGGGCGGGCTGGGTGGCGCGGAGGCTTCCCGTTTCCTCGGCCGTGATGGTGTTCAGTAGATGGGCCGGTGCTTGGGCGCCTGTCCTGGTCACGCACTAGAGTTAGAGCTGGGGGCGGGGAGGGGGATTTAAGGCTTGTGGGTAATTACCGCCTTAGGAGGCGGTCAGCCTGAAGCTCTTCTTGGTGCGGGGTGGAAGTTTGTGGTCGACGAGGCGTGTTTTTCCCTTTGTAAGGTGTAGTTTATATTTGCTTACTTGACTGGATCTACGCTTGAGGGGTGAGTGGGCATTTTGCCGTTTCTCGGATCACCTTCTTGACCACTTTTATTTATTTATTTATATGCTACCCGGTAGCCAAAGCTCTCTGGGTGATTTACAGCGTTTTCTAGAACAGGACCCTAAACATACCATATAATTCTTACAAATTACAAAGTTCTAAAACAACAGCCCAAACAATGTTTGATACAAAGTAGACCTGTTAAAAACACCTGACCCTGATACCCGGTATTCACATTATTCACTCCTCTACAGGGCTTAGAAGGGGCTGAACCCACCCCTCTCCACACTCTTTGCCTCTCATCTCTGATCGTCCGGGTGGACCCACCTTGTTCCTGGCCATATGGCATCACATTGGCAACCCTCCATTGATACAGCCCCCATTCTGGCCCAGGCTGATGACACCGAGGAAGAGGAAAAGGAGGGCCTTCAGGCCGGGTGCAAAGGGGACGAAGAGGTACAGGTCCTCACTGGGGTTTCCTCTAACCATGCTGTTCTCATTGTGGTAGTCCTTTTCCTTGTCAACCTGCTGAACTACATGGATCGCTTCACTGTGGCTGGTAAGAATGTTTGGGGTGGCATGGGATGGTGGCTGGACTGAGGAGTTTTTCTTCCTAGCAATGTTAGGTGGGTGGGCATGTCGAACTTAGAGCAAGGAAAAGTATTTGCCCTCCCCCATTCCTCTCTAGTTTTCATTACAGAGTTATGGCCCTATGGTGCTAGGTGTGAGGATACTTTGTCTCAACTCCTCAGTGGTAATTCTGTGAACCTTTTGCTCTATATCAGGCGTTCTCCCTGACATTGAGAAGTTTTTTGGGATTGATGACAGCAAATCCGGACTCCTACAGACAGGTGAGGCGCAAGGTCATTGGGCTTGACCCTCTTTTTTTAACTCCCCCACCCCAGATTTATTGTTAGGGACAATGTTTGTTGTAGTGGAGTTAGAGTGTAACCCTTGGTAATCATTAGTTCTCTTAACAGGTTTTTTTCTTGGCAGTTTTTATTAGCAGTTACATGGTATTGGCACCAATTTTTGGTTACCTGGGGGATCGACATAATCGCAAATACCTGATGTGTGTTGGGATCTTCTTCTGGTCAGTGGTGACTCTGGCAAGCAGCTACATCCCCAAGGAGGTATTTTTTTATGTGGGAAGGGCTTCTGGGTAGCTGAGAAGATTATATGGGCTAGTTGCCATATGAGCATGGAATTCATTTTGGATAGGTCTGTCTTCTCTCCTAACTGAGAGAACTTGGCACCAGGGAAGGTCTGGCATTGCTGCCCACTGAGGGAATTAATATTCCTGATTTTGCCTTGAAGGCTGCCTTCCCTTCTGAGTAGAGTATATGCTGCATTTAGCTGTGCCTTTCAAATACATTAAGAAAACTTAATAGCCAAAACTTTTGTTAAGTCTTCCTGTCTGGTTACCTAGAGGAGATTCTTGCCACAGGCAATTAGGAAAGGGGCTATTTATAAAAGGCATCTCAACACAGCTCAACTCTGATAACTCATGGCTTCCTACCAAGAAATCCTAGGAACTGTAATTCAGAGAAGAGTCTTGGAAACATTTTCTAAAGAACTTGTGATACTTGCTTATGACTGTAGCTCCCATGATTTTGTAATATGATGTTCTAGGCTTGTTGGACAGGTGTTTTCTCAGTGGTGTCCTTTCTGTTTCTTGCTTTGTTTGTTTCCTCCAATATAGTGGTTCTCGTTGTTGCTGCTGACTCGAGGTCTGGTGGGTGTGGGAGAGGCCAGCTACTCAACCATCGCCCCCACCATTATTGCAGATCTGTTCGTAGGTGACCGGCGTTCCCGCATGCTTAGCTTCTTCTACTTTGCCATACCTGTGGGCAGGTATGAACGAGCTGTCTTCTGTGGTAAGGAGGGAGGCGGTGTTCTCTGAGACTGGTTGAATTTGGCTGGCGATGCTTGTTTATTGTAAATTATTATCAAAGTCACATACATATATTTATAACGTGCAAAATAAGCTATGCCGGGGTCCAAAGCTAAGTAAGTGTTAATTTGTTCTAGTAGAGATTGGAAAGCCTGCTGGTCTTGAGTCTGATCGTTCTTCCTTTTTCTTCTTCAGTGGACTGGGATACATTGTGGGATCAAAAGTGAAAGACTTGACCGGTGACTGGCATTGGGCTTTGCGAGTAAGTAGGGTGAAGATACGATGACATTGTTAAATGTCTGTTGTATTTTGAATATGTATTCCTTTTTATACTTCTCTCTGCAAATCTCTTTTTCACCAAATGGTTAGGCATTGCTTGCCCTCTACCCACCCACGTAGGTTTTGATTTTCCTTTGGTTCAGGATGCCTTGCAGTGAAATCTTCTTTTCCATGTTCTTCCTTGTAGGTGACTCCAGGCCTAGGGGCTCTTGTTTTGCTGTTGCTGGTAACTGTGGTGCGTGAGCCACCTCGGGGGGCTGTGGAGAGATGCTCTGATGTACCCTTGCAGATTACTTCATGGAGAGCTGACCTGCGGGCCTTGAGCCGCAAGTGAGTAAGAAATGAGAGCCCCTGTAGTATAATGATTAGCATGTTCAACTGGAACTTGAGAGATCCATGTTCTAGTCCCTGCTTGGCCATGAAGCTGACTGTATGAGTTTGGGCCAGTGACCGATTCTCAGCCCAGCCTATAAAAATGGAGAGGAGGACAGCCATCCAAACTATCTTCAGTTCCTTGGATGAAAATTAGTCTATAAATTTATTAAATAGGAGGCTGAATTTTTTGCCACCATGTGGGCCAGATCACACCTTCTATTTGCATTGATCTGGAATAATCTACCTTAGTTTCATTAATTCCAGATCAGTGTACTTATTTTCCATCTGTGATAGCTTAAATGGCTCTGTATTTAATGTCTAGTTGTCTGGTGATGAGGAATTCCATATGTTTTATTATTTCATCCCAGTAAATGAGAGGATTCAGGGTAGGTCTGACCTTTCTTTTGACAGTTCAGTTGATTTCCAGGGTGGCCTTGTAGAAAATTAAAGCTCGTCTCTTAAAAAAAATGACATGGCAATGCAAAGGGCTGTTGGCACAGGGCTGGAGCACCGTCCCATTCTTTCACCAGTCCACTTGGTGACATGCACTGTTCTATTTTTACAAGACAAGGGCTGAGAAGCCTATTTTTCCAGAAGGGCTGTGGAGGATAGCATTTCCAAACCAGCATGGAAATGCAAGCTACTTGCCTCACAGCAAAATAGATAAAAATAAAAAGGCAGGCCAGCTAGTAAGTTCTGTGGTCTGTCTTACAAGGGTTGCTCAAGAGAAACCAGGAGAAGAGCAAAATAAGTTGCTTAGGGAAATCTCTGTCCTGGGGCAAGGACTGACAAGCAAGACGGACAGGCATCCATCCGTGGTGGTGTGTGCCCATGTTTTTTCTGCTGCGTTCCAGGAAAACTTATGGATCTTGACTGCAAAGATTAGCCATGGAGAACAAGTTTTCTTGTAGGATACCTTCACCGCTGTTATAATTGAACTGATGTGGTTGCAAGGAGCTGTTCAGTATATTGTAGCCTGTGCTCTCAACTCACATAACCTATGGCCTGGCCAAGCCCAAACCTGAATGTCTTTTGAAACGAGTCCAGGATCTTTGCGACATACTCGTAGGAGAGAAAACAAGTCAGGACAGAAAATGTTCCTTGAAGGCAGAAAGTTCTGCAAGCTGTTGCTTTAGACCTGGGTCATTTAGTCTTTTTAATAATTGTGTTTTTTGAGGTGTCTTCTTTATAAGCAAGTGCCACCTGCACATTGTGCTTCATGAACAGCCCCCAGGAAAGTCACTTGGTGCGGGCTTTGCCTTTAAGCCATGGGGCTGGAGAGCAGGCAGCCCTGCAGTGTGGAGAGAAGGCAGCTATGCCACTGCTAGGGCCGCTGACGCTCAGACTCTCTCTGGATGTGTTTAGTTTTCCTTGCTTCTTGTGCTACTTCATGGGTACGTTCATTGAACACTCATGGGTCCTAGCTAACTTGTAATGGGACAGCTGTGTGAGCCTACTACAGTATTCCCTAAACTGGTGCCCTCCAGGTGTTTAAAACTATAGCTCCCAGGATTCCTCACTGTTGGCTATGCTGTCTGGGTCCGATGGGAACAGAATGTCACAACTTCTGGAGGGACCAACTTGAGGAAGACTGTTTTAAGGGCTGGTTCACCCTTGGATATATATGCAAGTTGATTCCTCTTGTCTGGCAGGTGTGTGAACCAGATTCATTTTAGAACATTACATGTGACGTGATGAGAGAGTTCCGTCTGGTGGTCTAAATGTGTGATGGCTCAGATGTAATCAGTTCATGCTGTGATCATCAACAAACCTGCATGAATCCTCCCTCAAATGTCATGCTTTGAATGGGGCGAAGGGCTTCGCTGTAGGAATCCTTAGTGCTATAATATATTCTCTCTCTCTCTCCCCCTCCCTCCCCCTTTGTGTCTGTTCATCTGGCAGCCGAAGTTTTGTGCTCTCATCACTAGGCTTCACAGCTATGGCCTTTGTAACAGGTGCCTTGGCTCTGTGGGCACCTGCGTTCCTCTACCGCTCGCGCCTGGCAGCTGGAAGCCTCCAGCCATGCCCCCCAGGGAAAGTTTGCCGGGGTGATCCTGATAGGTGAGTTAGCAGTGGAAATGGCATTTGTTTGTGGCTTCCAGCTGTGCGCTCTCTCCCAGGGAACATCTGGCTCAGCACGGGCAGCTCCACTGCTGCTCTCTCTTGATACCACTTTTCCTCTCTGAGTTGCTGTAGCTTAGAATGAGCCACAGGTTGCAGGACTTCCCCGGTACTGAATGTTGTCCTTGCCTGACACTCCCTAGGCAGCCTTAGAGACACTGTTGTGCCTCAGCCTACCATCTCCCACATGCGGCCGATAAGTGTTGAATGGCTGCAGGGCTCTTCTAAAGCAGCCTGATGGTTGAATTCTGCCCTGAAGAGGCTTTCAGGGGCTGCAGCAGGAGGGACTAAAGCAAAAGGGACTGGGACCAAAATATTCTTGTTATAGTTACTGCCAGTAACTAAATATTTTGATGTTACAAAATTTGGGGAAGGGACTGCGCAAAAGTCAGGGAACCACAAAATAGTAGTTGGGAGAAAAGGAGCGGGGCTCAGGGAAGAGGGCATGGCCATCTGGGGAACCTTGGAAGGCTGGATTGGGATCCCTGGGAGGAATATATCTGATTCCTGGGCCCAGTGTTCTGCTCCCCTGTTACAGGGATTGCAAGATACCTTTTAGGAAGCATCTTGAACCTTTCCCAACATGCCACATAAATATAAGTTGAGGAGGCAGCTTTGTAGTTTGAAGGAGCAAGCTTGTTAGTTTGGGGACTCTCCTGGAGCCATTGCTGCCACTTGAGACACAGGTGGCCTCCGTGGCATGGAGTGCCTTCCATTACCTTCAGCTGGCAACTGCTCCACCCATACCTTGCCAGGGATAACTTGGCTTCAGTAATCTATCCTTTGGTAACCTGCAAATTAGATTACTTCAGTGCACCCTTTGTGGGGCTGCCTTTGAAAAGTACTGAAATTGCAGCAGCTGGCCTAGTGACTGGAACCAGAGGATGTTAATATGTCACCTATTCTGGCCCACTTACATTGGCTGCCTGTATGCTTCCAAGCTGACCGAAGGTGCTGGCTTTAACCTGTTGGGGCTTGCATAGCTTGGGACCAGAAAACCTGATGGTACCCAAATTTATGCAGACACTATGATCGGCCTCTGAGGCCTTCCGAGTGCCTCCAAGGGGGGCTTAAAGGGTGGCAGCAAGGGAGAAGGCTTTCTTAGTGGTGGCGCCCTGATTTTGGAAGGATCCTTTCCCACAGAGTCCTGCCTGAAGCCCGTCTTGTTATATTTTTCAGTACCAGGTTAAGACTCTCCTGTACTCCTAGGCATTTAATGGTATTAATGGCACATTGATCTAGCATTCATGTCATGGCAGTGTCCTTTTAACATGCCAAATATTTTTAAAAATATTTTACTTAAGCAAAATATTTGCTTATTTAAAGCAAATATTAAATAAGCAAAATTTAGGCATGTTAAATAAGCAAAATATTTGCTTTTAGCTGTTCACATTGTTTTAAACTTTGTACACTGGAATGTGATGTCGCATTTTATTATCTGTAGTTGTGACTTGTACTTTTATGAACTTTCACAATCCACCCAGAGCGTTTCAGATATTGGAAAGAATAGAAATTAAATAAAGTCATGTATTCTTATCCCCGCAGCTTCATCTTTGGCATTATCACTTGTGTGACTGGTGTGCTGGGTGTCACTGCCGGGGTGGAGATTTCCCGGCGCTGGCAGCGCACCAACCCTCGCGCTGACCCCCTGGTGTGCGCAGGTGGGCTGCTTTTCTCTGCCCCCTTCCTGTTCCTGGCGGTGGTGTGCGCTCGGCAAAGCATCGTTGCCACTTACGTGAGTTTGCTTCTCTCCCCACCTTTCACCTGTGACTTCGGCGCAACGCTTGTGTGCTGCCAGCTTTCCTTGGCAGTTGCTGTGGTGGTGCCTCTCCTGTCCAAGTAAAACAGATGTCCTTAAAGTGCTTTGGGGTCTTTTCAAGAAAAGCAGTATAGACACGTTTTAAACTTAAAGTGTTTTCTTCCATTTTCTTAGGTGTTGATTTTCATTGGCGAGATCTTCCTCTCCCTCAACTGGGCCATAGTAGCTGACATCGTTATGGTGAGAACCTGGGCACAGGGGGAACGTGCAGCACTGGCATATCTTGTAACGTTTGCAGGATCACGCCACGTACCGCTCTCCTTTAGAGCGGTTGGCAATTGGAGAGGATCGGCCCCTGCTTCACAGCTGCCTCATCTCCTGTGGCCTTAACGGGCACACAGTTGTAGGTCTTTGGTAACCTTTTTCAAGAGCGGCAGAATTCTGCCACAAATGATGCTAAATGGCTTTGGCAACCCAGCAGTCCTCCCCACCCCCACGTCTAAACAATGAAGCAGGAACATTGGCTGGCCTACCTTAGGGAGCACTTTGGAGGCACTCTTGATAGTCCTTCTAAGTGCTGTGGGCCATATTAAAAAAAACCCTCCTTTATCCTCCTCAGCTTGCAGTTGTTTGACGCACTCTGAGGAATAACCAGTTTAGTCTGTTGCAAACCAACAAATGCAGCATGGTTTAGTTAACTAAACAATCCTGTACATTGAGAGTGAGCAGAAAGGAGATAAGGCACTAAAGTGAGGTATCAGATTGTTCTCTCCTAGATCAGTAAGTACTTCTGCCTCCAGTTAGTTTAGTTTAGCAGGAACATGTATAATTTCAAAGCAAAGAACAATGCTGCCAGGAGGCCAGACGCTCACTGTTGGCTCCTACCAGGATCACCCAGGTGGAATGGTCAAAGCTGAGACACCAGACTAAGATTCATCCGCTCTGTTCAGGAGTAACAGTCACATTAGCAGATGAAAATGAATATCTCTAATAGTGAAGGGAGCACAGAAACCCTACTGGGCAGCTGTGGTAGTTGAAGGCAGTATGGTGGGGGGATCTTTCACAGACCACAGCAATGGTGCTCAGGCTAGCTCTAAAGTTTGGATCATGGTGCTAGAGGAGAACTTTATGAATACCTAGACTGAAAGAAAGATAAATAAATGAGTCCTAGATCAAATCAAGCTAGAACTTTCCCTGGAAGCGAAAATGGCGAAACTCAGATGTCATACTTCGTATCACAAGAAAGCAAGACTCCTTAGAAAAGGCAGCGGTGCTAATGAAAGTTCATGGCAAAAGAGAAGGAAGACCAACTTTGAGATGGATGAATTCCACAAGGGAAGCTACAGTTTTAAGTTCCCAAGGGCTGAACAGGGCTGTCATAGGCAGTACATTTTGGAGGGTGTGGATTCAGCAGGGTTGCTGCAAGTGAGAGATGACTTAATGGCATGTAACAACAGATTGCTCAGCTGAGTAATGATGTGATGGGTTGTGTTTGACTAGGTGCTTTTGAAGGTCAGCTAGGCCTGTATTTCCACTGGTCGCTTGCTGGATAGCGTGCTTTTTCTTGTTATGTACTGCTTTCCCAAAGTAGACCATCTAAGCTTTTGTGGGCTGGAGTCTCTTTTTTCATTAATTTTATTATTATTATTTATTTGTTTATATATATATATATATATATATATATATATATATCAGCCTTTATTCCTTCAAAGGAGCTCAAGGCAGCTTCATAATCCTCCTCTTCCTCCTCTCAGTCTTATCCTCACAGTAATGACCCTGTGAGGTAGGTTGGGCTGAAAGTCTGTGACTGGCCCAGAGACACCCAGGGAGCTCCGTGCCCAAGTGGGGACTAGAACTCAGATTGCCTGAGTCCCAGTCCCACCCTCTTAGCCACTACACCGCCCTGGCTGTCTGCCTGTATTCATGAAGTGTTATCTTCCCTTGACTGTAAATGAAAATTAGCACAGGGAATTCTGTTCCATCTCCAACAGGGGGCGCTAGTAAATCAGCTTTCTGCTTTTCGCAGTATGTTGTCATCCCTACTCGCCGTTCCACCGCTGAAGCTTTCCAAATCCTGCTGTCGCATCTCCTGGGTGATGCTGGGAGCCCTTACCTCATTGGTCTGGTAAGTACTTGCAATGTTACAAGAAGCTGCATTTTAATTTTATATGGTGTTACTGCACTTTAAAAAGAAGTTAAATTGTTTTTCATCTCTGATTTGCCTTGGGAGCATGTACACACATCAGTCAACTTCTTAGCACATGCCCCCTTTCTTCTAGGTTATGCCGTGTTGTTGGGTTGAAGATGCAGTGGTTCTAAATCAACATTCTTTCTGTTGTGAGAAAAAGAGAAAGGAGAGGCTAGGTTTTGCCACTCGTGGCAGTTGGGAGCATTTGGTTCTTGCTGTAGGCTCTGTCCTGAGGCAGAGTTCAGGCAGGATAATAGATGAAGGCCAATAAACAGACCCAGAGCAGATACACTGTTTGGTTTGTCTGTCTGGTTTAGAGGTGTTTATCTGGAGGGAATTGCACTTCCCCTAAAGGATCAGGACCATAGTTTATGGTGGTGGGAATGGTCTTGGATCACTGTCAGTAGAGGCATAACTGGTACTGGTGGGTTGGGGTTGTTTTATGGCATTTTTTTAAATACCTCTGATACACTATCTATAACTATGCCTATGTGGAGACATTCTTGCAACAGTTATTCAGTCTGGTAACCACCCATTTGGATTGTTGCTGCGTATTATTTGCTTTTGAAAAACAGTCTGGAAGCTTCAGTTAGCCCAAAACTCAGTGATTAGACAGTTAGTTGTGGCTGGCCAAAACGTAAACCACTTTCCAGTCCATCCCTGGGCCCAATGCAAACCCTTGGTTTGAACCTTCTAAGCCCTACGTAGCTAATGTTCAGGTGATGCAAAGAGTGCGTTTTCTCATATCTAGCCACTTGGATTCTAAGACCATTGTCTGAGGTTGTCCTTCAGGTTGCTGTCGTCCTGCCAAATGAGATGAGGCAGGTGACTACAAGAGAGGTTTTTTTTGGTGACGATTCCTCATCTGTGGAATACTCTCCCCAGAGAGACTCACATTATGCTCTTCGGTGCTAAATGAAGACTTTTTTTTCTTATTCAGTTTTTTAACTATTTATAAACCTTAGTACCGCTTTTCTGCTGGATTTTTTTAAACTTTGGTTTTTGTGCTGCACTGTGTTTACTGTTTGCTGCTGGTTTTTATGTGCTGTTTTTAGCTTTGTATATTTCACATTGTAAAGTATTGTGTTTAATTGTAAACCCCTCAGAGAATAGTCATTGAAGTTCTATAAGCAGGCAAGCATGCAAGCAAATATAATCTCTTTTTGATTCCAGTGGGTTCCCTTTGGGCTATGCCTATGTGCTGACCTTCTGGCTAGCACATCATCATTTTTATGGCCTTTATATTTGCCCCAGATCAGTGACCGAATCCAGCGCGATCGTTCCACGTCATTCCTGTCACAGTTCCGAAGCCTTGAATACGCACTAATGGTCTGTGCTTTTGTGGCAGTGATTGGTGGTGCCTTCTTTCTTGCCACGGCCTGCTTCATCCAGGCAGACCGCAAGCGTGCCGAACAGTACAACCTAGGTAAGCCTCCAGCTTCACAGAGTCAAGAATGAGCTCCCAGGAATGTTGGTTTAGAGCTGTCGTACTGTAAATGCACCCCAGTAGCAAAAATGGAGGCCCAGCCTTGGGGAGGTATGGGCCATGGGCATGTCCCATGGGGCAAGCGACTCACCTGCTGTGCAGCAGTGGGACTTCTGCATTAAGTATATCCTTTTCTTCAAGGAGCTCAAGGTGGCTTGCGTAATCCTACTCTCCCTGTTCGCTTATCCTCACAACAATCCTGTGAGGTAAGCCAGACACACAATAAGCAACTGGCCCACACTCTCCCAGTGAGCTTCATGGCCGTGTGAGGATTAGAAGCCAAATTTCCCAAATGTTAGCTGAACCCTAACTCTAACCACTGCACCACACTTTCCCAGGGAAGGAGAGGATCTGCTGCCATAGGTCTGCCATAGTGCCATTTAGGAACCAAAAAGGAAAAAAACAAGGGAGGCGGTACCAAAACAAATTGACGAGATGGTTTGGCAGATCTTTGGGAGTCGCCATTACAACAATTTGCAGGGCACCTGTCCTTTCTGAGACTGCCAGGTCCATTTCTGTGTGTGTGTGTACAAAACCATGCAAGATACAGTTCAACACCAGAAAACTATGTTCCTTTATTAAAAAAAATCTGTAAAAAAAGTTCTTGCAGCCTATGGGATGACAACCCTGGGTAGGTCTATTACCCTCCTGCAGTGGCAAGCCCATCAGGAAGAGGAGGAGAAGCCAGGAGATTGGTCTGAACCAGCTTCTCCTGACTCAGAGGCTTGACCCGCCTGCGCCCGCGAGCTGTGATGCTCACATCCTGTTCTTCTTCTCTTCAGGGCAGGTGCAGGAGTCACCCGAAGACGAAGACCGCATTGTGGTTCCTCAGCGTGGGCGATCGACAAAAGTCCCTGTCTCCAGCGTCCTGATCTGAGGCTCACCCACACTCTGTCTCCTCTAATCTGGGAAAGGAGAATGGACTTCTGGGCGCTCTGCTCCATTGCTACCGGAAGATGAGGACTCTTGGAATGGACTTAGGCAAAGGGCAGGGGGTCCTGTGAACGGCAGGGGGAAATCACGATTTGCTTGTATTTGGGATTTTTATAAAACACTAACTTTATTCATCGTCCTGTGGTATTGTTCATTTTTTTAATGTGGGTTGAGATGGCAGAACCTCTCCTTGTCACTGCCCCCTACTTACACTCATTTTATCTAATTCCATGTATCTTTTTCTTCATGAAATTCAAAATGGGGTATGTGTGGTTCCCAGGCAGTTGAGGTTCCCAGATAATCTCCCATTCAGCCACTGCCCAGATCTGGACCTGCTTAGCTTCGGTAAAGTTGCCACCTCATGTACTTTCAAGCCAGATGAGGATTTGGAGAGGTTCTTTGTAGGGTGGGGAAAACATGACTTATTGGCATGTAACTGTCAGAAGGACAGGGTGAGGAACAAGAAATCATGATGTTTGAAGAACTGCTATCAATCAGCCATTAAGAAATTTTAGACAAGAAATTAGAAGAACGTTTTCAGCTTTAAGAAAACCCTTGAGTTTTACAGGGCAAATCCAGGAGAGAGTTAACATTATAAGGAATACCTTCCCCCTACCAAAGCCCCTGGGTTTCTGTTGTGACCCACTGTGTGGGTTAAATGGATCACTTTTGCCCTTTTAAAATGGCATCGTCTTCCTCTGAAGCACTGGAGATTTGCCTCAGCAGAGGGAGATACTGAATATAATAGGACAGGCTTTTGTTGGTGACTAGAGGATAAGTGTCTGACTTTGACACACGCATGCAATCGACCCGTTAAATCATCTTGCTCAATGGCTTGTTGCCACTGAACATTGGAAACTGTGGCTGAAGAGCGCAACAGGGAGGCAGTGTCCTGTGCTTGGATCTGATATGGCTGCTTTTGCATTTGAAGCTGCAGCCTGTTGACTGGAGGACATGCATATGTGCGAATTCTGCTGCACTGCAAGGTTGGTGGGAACTTTTGATGACATCGGGCATGGAGTCATTTGGCTGGCTTTATTTTTCTGCTAGAATTGCCACGAGGTGATGTTTTTAGCTTTTTGTGTGCAAATGAGTGTAAAAATTGAGACGGCTTCCACAGTGGCATTCCAAGGGATGGTTATTTGTTGTGTTTTTGTAGCAACAGACTAAGGGTCTTGCAGCAACTTAAAGACCTGCATTGCATTGCTCTGTGTAAGCTTATAAGGGCTACTGCCCTTTCTGTCAAGTGCAGGATTGATTTTTATATATAACTATATAAAATCAAACCCTAATATACAGACACTCACATGAGTAGAGGGAGGAAATACAAGAAGGTGGCTGCTGTTGTAAATTATCATGTATTAAGTTAATATCACGTATTAAGTATTATGTACTTAAACACAGAGAAATTTCCCCAACCTGATGTCCTCCATCAACCCCAGCTGGCGGGACTTGTGGTTCAAAACATCCAGAGCTCAGGAGAAGCTATTTTACCTTTTCTATTTGATGGCCACTTGGCACTATAGTTTATTCGTTTAGTTTTTGAGCAGCAGTTACTGAATTAGATGTGTTTCTTTCTCCAGGGTTTTAATTTTGGGAGCATTTTGTCCCATAGGATAGATGATTCAAGATGGTGACTTTTGGATTCCGTTTATATGATAGGGGTCAGGCATATTCAGTCTTGCTGAACAAAGGCCAAGTCTAGTACTAGGTACAGAGTTCAGCCTCTGCTTTTGCTTGTCTTTAAAGCAAGTTTTATTTATTTATTTATTTATTAAAACATTTTTATGCCGCCCCATTCGCCGAAGCCTCGGGGCGGCTTACAACAATAAATTAAAAGTAATTATAATATAAATTACAATAAATGTAAACATTAAATTAAAAATACAAAAATACAGTATAAAATAAGCCGCCCTGGCCAAATAAAATCCAATAATATTAACAGTTAAAATGCCGCTTGAATAAAAAGGTCTTCACCTGGCGCCGAAAAACAAATAATGATGGCGCCAGGCGGACCTCTCTGGGGAAGTTTCTAGGCCTTGAAATGGCAAAGATGAGCTTGGAAAACATACAAACCTTTTGGTGATTGGATTTGTTGGGTGTCGTTCCTGTGGTGTCCTGCTCATCTCTTCTGTGGGGAGCTGAAACAGATAAGCATGCTAAATAAGCCAATATATTTATGCTAGCCTTTTTGATCTCCATTTGTGTCTTGCTCAATGTAGGTGTTCCTTGACATGTTAATTGTCTTTTAGTACTGAACTCCTCCTTTGGTTTGCAGAGATGGCCTCCATGGCTCTTCTAACCTTGGAAACAAAGGTTGGTTTAAGAGCTGGGCTGTATAAAGTAACATTTATACCTTCCACTCCCTGATGAATGAGATTTCATCAAGAAAAGGAGCAGGCCAAATGCTTCAAAGAACCAGGCAAGGTGTGAGACAGCTATTGCGTTTTCTCTGTTCACATAATAGTGGAAGTGGGTTCACTTCAGAAGTGAGTCTGAAGGAGAAAAGGGAGCAGTGAGAAACAAAGAAGATGGGTTTCTCTTCCTCCACAAACTGTTTGTCCTTTTAAACCGCCTTCCCCACCTGGTGCCCTTTCAGATGTGTTTAACTGCAGTTCTCATCATTCCCAGGTAGTTTAACCAATCAACACATCTGGATGGTATCAGGTTAGGGAGGCTGCTGAAAATCAATGGTAGGCAGAAAGTAGTCCTGTAGATGTTCACTCCCCAGCATTGTTGAGCACTGGCATTGCTGGTGGGGCTTCTGGGAGTTGAAGTCTAAAGCACCAGGAGATTTACCTTCTGTTCACTCCGGATCCAAAGAATAGACCTACTCCATAGCGTTGAGTATTCATGAACAGAGGAGATGCATGGGTGAAGTGCACGTGGCTCCCCCCATTTCATCTACTTCACTCCAGACAACTGGGTAGGTTTTTGTTTTTCTTGGAGGAGCACTGAAATGAGCAAAAGCTCCTCCCCAGCTTGCAGCCTGAAATGGTACAGTCCAGGAAAAGTTTTACAGCTTGATTCTAAGTATACCTTTGTTCCTCTATTCATGCCTGGATAGTCCCTTATATATGGCAATATATTAAGAAAAAAATCTAAATGAAACATCACTGACTCTGAATGCTCCTTATCCACACGCAACTGGCTTTCCTGGGTTTTGAGCATCTTTTCCTCGTGCACTGATTCACCATTGCTTTCTTTGGAAATATAAAACTTCTCTCTCCTGAGCATCACAGCTACAGTCTCTTTCTCAGGCCTCCTAAGTTGCTGTTCCTCAACTAAGTTGGGGAGGCAAACCACCACTATGCATAGGAATCTATGTAGTATTTTGCTTGAAAAAATGCCATTCAGGTTAGCCCCACTCCCACCCATTGTAGTACATACACAGAGCTGGAAGAAAGCATGACTGGAACAGAGTCTACACCAGCTGGGAAGACATGGAGTGGAGGAAAGCTAAAAGGAGCGCCTCGGAGAGTACATGGAACAGTACCAGTTGAACTAAAAATCTTTTGAGCTACCTGTTAAAAGAACAGTTCCCTAGCCTCGCCACTTTCAGTTCACATTGCCTCTGGCACTCAAAGTCACCAGCTTTGCAGAGAAGTTCTCCAAGTTCTTGGTCCACAAAGTGCTGTTGTTCATTGGTTTTACTTGTATTAGCTTGTGTACACAGCAATGTAAGTAAGTGTTTCGGATAAAACACCCGGAAAGGGGATACAGGTGGTTGAAACTGTTCATAGGTGGTTACTTCAAGCTGACTAGCAAATAATCCAGTGTGTCATTCCAAGGCATTCTTGAGCATGGCATGATTTCTTTGGCCAGATTGCAGTGCTCTGGGTTACATCTGGATGGATGGAGCCTCTTGGAATTGGCAGAAAGCTGGTACCTGTACAGTGACTTATTGTATTCTCAGGAGCAAGGCATGGTCTAAAGAAGGCTTAGCAGTCCCTCTTGATTGCTGGGTATTTTTGCTTGTGCTTCTAAATGAGAGAGAAGTTGTTGGTACGTGTTCATTTCTCTCTCTCTCTCTCTCTCTCTCTCTCTCTCTCTCTCTCTCTCTCTCTCTCTCTCTCTCTCTCTCCCCTTCCCACCCCATCATGTTTTAGTGCATCTGCCCTTTGACTTCCTGCTGGCGGCAGTGGTGCTTCCTTCCTGCTCGAGTGACTGAACGGCAGCATCATCTGTGCCACAGCAGAGAAGACCTCATCCAAGCGCGATACTAGGAAGAATCCTACATGTGAGTTTGCACATGGGGGCACAGGGGGAGTTGGGGGAAGTGCAAAAGAGGGTTGTGGTGGGATGCCAAGCATTTAGGAACTGACCCCTGCCCTGACGGTGCCATATTCTGGGTTGTCAAGTTACAGATCCCATAGAAGGGGTGTAATCTCAGATCAGGACTTACCTAGTGAATTGGGACCAAGAAATGAGAAAACGGGAGCAGAGACCCAAGTGGCTGAGCTGAAAGAGAACTATGAGGCAGGATGAGGAGATTTGTACTAATGTGAGCATTAAAAACATTTTATTTTATTGTTTATTTATTTGGATATTTTTATCCCGTCCAATACATTGCGGGTCTCTGGATGGCTTACAAGGTCAACTCCAATAAATACATGTATGCTCAAAAAATACAAAATAATCCATGGCTGAGCATAAAACATACTTAAAATATTAAACATTAAAATTACAGAAGAATAAAAAGATCTTGACCTGGCGCCGAAATCATGTAATGTCAGTGCCAGGCATATATCCTAAATTATGCAAAGTGCTTCCCTCCACCCATGTTTGATTCCCACACTTGCTGCTCTGATGCAATCTGTTTTTTTCTCTTTTCGTAAATTCTCTTAAAATGAGTTGGCTTGAAGTACGTGAGAATGCGAGGATAGCAACGCGTTATGTTATGGCCAAGGACAGAAGAATCAGAATGGAGTGATGAGTTATTCGTGTAAAGTTCCCCCTTGAATTCGACCAGGGTCTTACTCCTTCCCTTCCCAGTGTCACAGCTTGCCCCAATTCTTTCCAACAACTTCTCTGCCTGGTGCCCATTTCCGCACTGTAACGAGACCTGTGGGTTGTGGTTGCTTTGGCCTGTTGCCAGGGCTCCAATCAAGTGGAATGACTGTGGAGAGCAGACCAGGTGTCTGGCTGAATCTGTCGAATGCAACGTTGCCCAGAAGGGTTTGTGCTTTCAGCTCAGGGCCTCTTGCAGGCCCGGTCCCTTTCTCTGCTCTCCCCCTCCCCCTGCCACTCAATCATTCTGGGTGCTGAATGAAGGGATGTTTCAGCACCCTTTCTCCCCCCTTGCATGAGCAAAACGATGCAACTTGCCTTGCAGCTGCAAAATTCTCGCTGCGTATTCCCTCCCACAGCACCCACAACACAGAGCATGGCTTTTGTTTGCAGGCAGCCAAATCCGGCTGTGGGTCGCTATCACTGGTGTGAGTCACCCGTGCTCCCGCTTCTTTTCCCACACTCTGCTGCAGTGAGGGGAAGGAGGGGGCAAGGACCCCCCTCCCAGAGAACATGGGAGCTCCGACACCCGAGCTGCACAAAGACAATCTTCTGTGTTGAATAGAGCACCTTTGCTCATTATGTCACCCTCCAGATATGCTGGACTACAACTCTTAGAATCCCTCCACCAGCACGGCCAGTGGTTAGGAATCCTTGGAGCTCTGGTCCAAAACCCGTGGCGTGCATGAGGTTGCAGAAGGCTGGAATAAAAGCTCTGGCACAACCTCTGGGTGGTGGCATCCCATGGGGCGCTTATCCCAAGTGTGGTCACCCCTTTATTGGCATAAGGGACTCTGCAGAGCGTGTGCTTTGTGTGCAGAAAGACCCAGGCTCCGTTGCCGGCATTTTGGCAAAAATGTTCATGTGAAGAGACTTCAGCATCGCCCATGTTGGCTGACTTTATGGGAGCTGTGTCCCAGCACTTCTGTAGGCCATCTGGTAGGGGAGGGCCGAAATGGGCCGTTCTGGGCTATCGAGACAAGCCAAGTGTGAGAAGGACTAAAAGAGCTTGTTGAAGGGGCATGTCTGATTGACTGGGAGCAACTTCGGCAGGTTGGGCAAGCATTTGCCGAGTGTGGCAAAGAACATTGGGAACTACTGGTTGGTCTCCAGGTGATTTGCTATTGACCAGCAAGGATTTCCAGATTCCAAGGGTCTGACAATTGCAAAAACGAAGATGACTTCCTGAATTAGGTTGCTGAAATCAAGAGAGCTTGCATGCAGGTGCAGGCAGAGGGAGAAAAATGGGAGTAGATTCCAGTATCCGTATTGATGTAATATTTGTATAAAAAATGAGCAGGCTTTTCCGATTATTTCAGCAGGATTATGTGTGTGTGATGATTATTATCTGTGTGCAAACTCTTGTCTAGGTCCTGAGAACAAATTCCCGCTCTACTAAGCTTGTGTTCAAAAGTGCCATTTCTGCCGATCTCTGTTGGCCTTTGGTAGACGCCATTTTGCAGACAGATCAGTTGATGGCCCTTGAGGTTCTAGCGGAAAACAAAGCAGATTCGGCAGACTTAAATCTAGCCTGGCCTTGAAGTGTAATAGTGTCTGGTCCAAGTAACCGCATGATCTTCCGACCTATCACGACATGGTGGTAATTGGTCGATGCGCCGATCTGACAAACACAGAAGTTCATAGCCCACAGCAAACTTCCATTAGCCTTCCTACCTTGATGTATGTCTGTGCCCTGTGGACAATAACTTATGTCTTCTCTTCCATTTTGGAATTCAAGGGAGTGTACATGAGATTCTGGGTGGTTTCCTGTCCAGTGACTGGTAAGAACTGGACCTGCATAGTTTCAATAAGGGTGCTTTCAGACTGTAGCCACTGGCCTGAAAGAGGACCTATGTGTGGAAGCGCAGCGGGTGAATGGGAAAAATAGACCATTTCTCTCTTAGCAATTGTCTCCGACTTCTCCCCGGCACACTTGCTTTTGTGGCCAGGCAACATGCTGTCCCTCAAATCCAGAATTATCTGCACTTTCTCACCATGGAGAGTGACATCCATTTTAACTGTGTTGAGGATTATAGCCTGTAGCCCCGTTTGTATCTTGCTTATGCCAAAATCTACTTCAGCTCCTGAAACCACGAACCCAAACCCATGCCTGCCATTTTCTCGCCACCTCGCCTCACAGAGATTCTTTTGCGTGGCTAAACGCCTCCCCCTGCCCCATGCAGTCCTCCATGGATTGAGCTGGATGAGCTTCAGGCCCCTTTGGTAGGAAGCAGTCTCTCTTTTCACCTATCGCTGCTGTTTTTCCACCTCGTTACACGATTGCTCTCCATGCTTGATTTCAATAATTTAGCTACTGCTATCCCAATGTGGTTTACAAGAAAATTAAAAAGTCTCTCATACAGCATGCTGTGCATTAAATTACACCATTACTAACACATTTATATAAAATATTAATAAAGCATTAAAACGAATTAAAGACCACTTCAACACATGGTTAGAAACAGGGTAGTAGCTTTGGGAAGAAGTGGGAATTTAACTGGTGCCTGGAACGTGTTCTACTTGTCGCCTCCCAGATTTAGAATTCCTCCAGATTATAAATTAGGCGCCACCATGAAGGAAGCCCACTTCCTGGGTGCTTCAAGCTGGCAGCAGGTCACTGGGCAACCAGCACGACTTCTTCCAGTCACCCTAACGATTGCACAAGTCCGTATGGGAGAAGGTGAGCTACCAGCTCGCCCAGTCATGGTTGGGCAGTGACACCCCTGAAAGACAGCTGCTTCCCCACTCCGTCCCTCACAACCCGCATGCTCTGGTCTGCCTTCCCGCTGATGGGCAAGCGCAAGGCATGGCTGCCTTTGCATAGCAGCTCACTCTCTGTGCAGAGGAATCACGAGGTCCTGCAGGTCTGAGTGAACCGAGCCCGTTCCCCTAGAATGTTTCTTTGGCATCACAAGCCAACGGAACGTGCCTGCAGCCCCAATCTCAGGAGCACTTGCTTAAACTTCTGTAAATATCTTGAGGAGAGAACTTCTGTAGATACTTTGGAGGGTTCTTTTTTAATTAATTGTATAAATGACATCGTATCGTATAGATTCTTGGCACAATAGGTGGCAAAAGAAGAAGGGGACGGCAGAGGATGAGGTGGCTGGATGGAGTCACTGAAGCAGTCGGTGTGAGCTTGAGTGGACACTTGGGGATGGTGGAGGACGGGAAGGCCTGGAGGAATGTTGTCCATGGGGCCGTGATGGGTCGGACGCGACTTTGCGACTAACAACAGCAACATAGATGACATGGGATTCTAACTCCAGGATTATTCTAGTCCTGCTTACGTTGGGGATGAAGGCATGGTTGCATTACTGAAACAAAGCTGGAAGTGAAAAGAAATGATGTAGACTTGATTTGCTGTTTTCATGCTGATTTGAAGAGGGCACGTTCTCACATGCCTCATGACAGAAATGCCTTTATTAGGCCTGGCCAAAACATCACAAGAAAAGGGCCATATCTCCTTAGCAGAGAGAATCTGTGCTGCAGTCCTTGGTATCTCCAGGTAGGACAGGAGAAATTCTGTAGAGCTGCTACCATTTGACCATACTGGGCTGGAAGGACCAAGGACCCGACTCAGAAAAGGTCAGCTTTGTAAATAAATGGCAAGCAAGCTTTTTAGGTTTTAATGTTTCTCTTAAGGCCGGTTATGGACCCAAGCACTTGTCTCTCTTGGCTTGCTCAGACATGGGGAACCAGCCAGTCCATGTGTGTTTCTGGTGTCCCAGCACCATAAAAGTGCAATAATTCGAACAAGGCCTGGTGCAGTTGGGGGCTACTGCTAGACTGGAGTGCCTTCCCCAACTTTGGTTGCTACATCGCCATCCCTGGACAGGTAGCATTGAGACGGCACTGTAGAAATGTGCTTCACATGAAGCTTCCTGTGAGGAAGGCCCAGAAGCTCTGGCTAACGCGAAGTGCTGCAACTGGGCTGCTGAGGAGGACAACCTCGTGGGATCACACTGCACCGTGTTGCACTGGCTGCTGATGAATTACCAAGCCATGTATGAAGGGCTTGTGCTTTCATGCAAGATCCTGCACAGCTTCGGACCTGGAGAGCAGCTGGAGTGCCTTTCCCCTTGTTTATTCGCCTGTACATTAAGATGGAGTAGGAATGCCCTCCTGACAGCGCTGTGCTTGCCCGGCGTTCGACATTCAGCGCTCCGAGGGAGGACGTTTTTGTACAGGTCCCCTGCCTTGGGAGTCCCTCTTGCTCCCAAATGCGCTTGGTACCAAGGCTTATGTGCGTTTGGTGCCAACTACAGACCGGTCTGCTCACCCTGGCTCACGAGGCAGTGTGCTTTGCTGCGCCACAGGACAGCCAGTGCGGTCTAGTGGGGAGGTGTGTGGTGCTGGGTCTCGGGAGATCCGGGCTCTTGTTCCCACTCGGCCATGGAGCTCACGGGGTGACTTGGGGCCAGTCACAGACTCTCGGCCCAGCCTAGCTCACAGGGTTGTTGGTGTGGGGATACAACTGAGAGGAGAAGAGGAATTATGTAAGCCATCTTGAGTTCCTTGGAGGGAGAAAATGTGGGATATAAATAAAACAAAAAATAAAATAAAATTGTGCATACTGATGACCTGTGTTACCTTGCTCCCATTCAGTTGAGGGTTTTGGTTGATGTATGATTTTATTGTGTTCTGTTTGTTGTACTCTACGTTGGGATTTTACAATGAAAAGTACACAATAAAATTAAACAATAAAGCATTGGCTATCTCTTCCTATGCTCTGCCATTAGCCTCTAACTAAAGTAGGTGTTAAGAGGAACTTGGAGGCTTTAACTGCTTAAAGTTTTAACACCAAGCCAACTCATCTTTTTCTCTCTATCCCTGTCTGGCACTTGTACTTAATGTTCAGCCTGATGACGAATTCTGAAGAACTCTGGACCCTGCTTGTCATTTAGTGATATTTTGATTGGCCCTAATAGGTATTGCCCTGCTGTGCATTTTGGCAGAATTTTTGGTTTCTTGTTTTCCTTCCTTATGGGCAAACATGGCTGCCTTTGCTTTCAGAGTACAGTAAGACACAAGTAGAATTGGGATTTTTACAGTACCCAAAGGAGCAGAACAAAAAACCCCTTGTGTTTCCCAGAACCTTTTATAATATGCAGAGGCTTCACTGGCAGGTAAGAAAGGATCCTTGACTGATGGATTCTAGAAATGGAAGGATTCCCTGATGCTGAACAGTTCGGAATCCACTGTCTCAAGGCAGGCTCGGGTTGACTTCACGTCTGCTGGATCTGCTTTGTTTTCTGGCTAGAATCCTCCAACTTACAAATACTGACTGATGGGGAAGAGACATCTGCTCTAAAGCATGCGCCAGAAGGATGAGATCTCAAAAGCTCTTTCCTTTCTGCCTCAGGGGCCAGGAACTTGCCTATCGAGGGATATATTCCCTTGGAAGCAAATCTGTTGGGGGCAGCGGCTAGAGGGAAGTGTGGGGTCCCCCACTCTTGTGTATGACTGTACCACATCTTTTCTTCCTCTTACTTCTACCCTTGTGTGCTCTCTCACCCTGTTCCTTCCTTTCTGCCACATCCTTTCCCTCCCTCCCTCCCTTCCTCATTCTTGCTCACTGTCTTTGCACCACCCCCTTGTTCTTCCCATACGGTGGAGTACCAGATAAGCAACAGATGAACACTGTTTCCAAAATCCTGAGCTGATCACTTCAGGAGGGCAGCCCCACCTCCTCACCCCCATCTCCTTTCATTGCTTCGTCTGTTTTTGGCTCTTCTTCCCTGTCTTGCTTCTCTTCCTCTGCACTCCCCCAACCAGTGAGAAATCAGGAATGTGTGCTGCTGTTCTGTAGGCTGAATTCCCAGAGCCAGCAATTTTACTTGTATTCTTGCATACCAGCACTCAAACACCCATTGGGTCAAGTCAAGAAGCTACTGGACCACGATAAAAGCGCCCCAGCTGAACCCTGTGCGTTGCTCCTGATACTTTTGCTGGAACTCGGGAGGGGAGGGCATGGGGCTTATCCATTTTGGTTTTACCTGTTGCCTTGTTTTATCCACTCAATGCACCAATCACAGAATCTGGCTCTTTCCCACAGGGCTGTTGATCTATTGCACTGCTAGCCTGCTCGATGCGGTGTCTCACCCGGAGTCTGCACGTGCCCCAAGTCCACAGTATTTCCACCGTCCTCCTGGCAGGGGCCATGGATGCCTTCCACATGGGTGACATCTTCTGGGTTTTGGCGCTGATCCCAGTGCTGATCGTTCTACTCGCACTTTGTACCGACTGCCGGGATCCTGAATTAGACAGTTAGGTCTCACTCTCCTTTCTGCACCTTCTCAGCGCTGGGGGCTTTGCTAGGCTATGGGTCATCCCATTTCAGCCCCAAAACTATGCCACCGAGTGCCCACTGGTGCCAGTGGATGACTGTGTGTGGAGCAGGGTCCCTGGGCATTAGGACCATGCGGCAGGGGACTTTCGAGCCAAACGGCAGCTGGGGAGGCAAGGGGTGGCAAGATGCACACCCCAATCCTTCCTGCATGAGAATTAGACCTAGAAAAAGGCATCCGCTTGTGTCAGTTTTCTAAGCCCGGGCAAGTTGGGAAGGGGATTTCTATCTCTGGCATGTGGCAATTGAACTTGTTGAACTTTTCACTGATGCCAAAGGAAGCATAATTCCTAAGCTAAATGGCTTGTGCCGGGGCCCCTAAATCTTTTAAGTATCTAGTGACAGCCTGCCTCAAACCTCTCCTTTCCTGGGGAGCCAACAATTCCAGGTTCCTTCATTCTTCACTCTCCAAGAACTTAAAGCAGAAATGGGGAGTATCCCCCCAGCTGGTTTTGTTGGAGTACTACTCCCATCACCTCTGGCCAGTGACATGCTAGCTGGGGCTGGTGGGATTTGGAGTCCAGATCCCATTTGGATGGCCACGGTTTTCTCACTCCTGGGTTGTGGGAATCTGTTAATGGATGTCTTTCTTTTGCAACAGCACCACCTGTTGATGATTACCAATACAAGTAAGTCCTTCACTGTCTTACCTCGAGGCAAAGTGGGTGGCCGGCGGGAAATCTGAGCTTGGACAAATTTGGAGAGGTGGGATCTGTGGGCCAAATGCAGCAGGTGTGTGTTTGGCAGAAACAAGGAGCTATCCTGATGTGGGCAGGTATCTCTCCGCATGTGCCTGGTGGTCCCATTTTATTTCATTTCATGTTGTAAAGGCAATTTGTAAGCAAAACACAAGTGTTTATATATATATATGTATATATATATATATATATATATGTGTGTGTGTGTGTATATATATATATATATATATATATATATATATAAATAAAATTTATTTAGAAAATTTGTAGGCTGTCCATCACTGTCGTCTCTGGACAGCTTACAACATTATCTCAATCCTCAATAAAATAAGTTTACTGTTCCGCACTGAGCATAAAACTAATCTATTTAAAATAAACAAATCTAACATAATTAAAATTACTATATGTTAAAATATTGGTCAAATAAAAAGGTCAATATACTGGCGGGACATGCTGATATTAGGGTTTGAGCTGCATATTCTGTTAACATTTATTATTCTTGCATTTATATCCTACCTTCATTCTACTTGTGAGAAATTCAAGGCATTTTATCCTTACAACAACACCCTTGTGAGGTAGCTTGGGATAGGAGTGAGTGGTAAACTTTGTGGCCAAGTGGAGACTAGTACCTGGATCTCTCAGGTTTCTAGTCCAGCACATTAACCACCCCCCCAACTCCCCATCACATTGGCCCTCAGTATTTCAAGGGTCTTACCGATAGGCTCCTTTGTGAATTGCCTAGACAACTTTGGCCCCAAGTTGTATAGAGACGGAACAACAGCAGCTGTAGTGACAGGCAGAACAGAGAGGCCACTAGCTCAGTAGAAGAGCCCAGTAGGAGTGCAGAAGGTCTTCAGTTCCAGTCCCTGCACAGGAAGGACCGAGTCAAGAGGGAAAGAATGTTGGCCCTGCATTCTGGCTGCTACCAGCTGATGGACATCACCTTCCCTCCTTGGATGCCTTCCAGCTGTGTTGGGTTGCATCAGTCCACCAACATCTGGAGGGCACCAGGTTGAGGAAGGCTGGCATCAGTCAGGCACAACTTAACCACGTTCAGGACACCAAGGCTGCCCTGCTGGATCTGACCAACAGTCCGTCTAGGCCAGGATTCTGTTCACACTGTTCTGATCGCAGTGGCCATCCAGCTGCCTGTGAGAAGCTTATGAGTGCAGCAACTCTCTCCAGTTCCTGTCTCCAGCAACCCATATACAAAGCTCTGCTGCCCCCGGTGCAGGTGAACTGCCGGTCTGACTGCCGCCTAAGGCAGGATGGAAATCTTTGTTCCAAGAACTGCTTTGCTGGTGCAGAGCAAGGCACTTCCTGGAATTTTTAACTTTCTTTGTGGGGCCTGCTTCTGGGTTCTGAGCACCTGCTCTTCAAAATGTGCCACTACACCACTGGGAAAAAGGAGAATGTTTTTAAAGGACTGGAAGGAGGAACACTAGATGCAGAAAGCTAGACTAACAGGGTTTTTCTTGTTGGGTGTCCTGTAGACATAGATTTCTTCTGAAGTATGAGAAGTAACCCCTCCTAGTCTTAAAGTGGCCCAATTACAAAACAGTTTTGCTCCCGTCTCCTATTGTCTGAACTGCTGTTTGAATCCATGGATCTCCATTTCCTTTTAAAGAGAAAGGGTCTTCCTTGGCTTTAGGATGGCCATATGTCCTACTTGACAAAAGATGAACCTTCGCTTGCAGGGCTGCCCAGTTCTGGTTTCAGCATAAAGAACCAGAAGGCGAACCTTTGGTGGTCTCGAGGGCGACACAAGTCACCTGCTCAGTCAGCCTCACAAGTTCTTATTTCTGAATATGCACCTGCTACAGAAGAAACACCTGTAAATTAGCCTGTGCAGATCCATGATCTCCTGTAGCCTTTTTTTGGAGATGTGTTTCTTCTCTTTAGGCAGTGTTTTGAGGTAATGTTTCTAGGCACTGTTTCTAGGTAGTCAAACCTCCAGGGTATGGCTTGACTCACTTCCTTGAGTCACAACCTCAATAGGCATGCTCTGGGAACGCCTTTCTCTCATGGTCGTGGCATACTGCATAGTCTGACTGGTGTGGTTGGGGAACCATTCCTTCTGGCAGCTATTTTACTTACAAAAGAAATAATTGAATTATAGGCAATTTTCACTTCTGCAGCCGGGCAGCTGCAATTTCTATATTAAAAACAAAAAGAAATAAAATCTGGTTTCCTGAGCAAAATGCGTCTGAGCCCAGGCAGAATGAATTTCCTTAGTACAGGGAACCAGCATCTGAGAAAGATGTGAGTGGCATACAGAGAGATGTGACCCCATAGAAAAGCGCAAAACATGCTTGCAATTAATGTTCTTCCAAGGACATCCTGCTTAAATGAGGCACAGTGTCTGACTGTGAAAAAATTCAATCTTTTCTTTAAAATAAGTAGTTCCCCGGGTCATAAGATGAAGATAGTACACAAAAGTCAAGTTGTGAAACAACAATAAAGAAAAACTGCTGGTGACAGTAACACTAAAACAGCCTTTCAGACAATGAAAATTCCCATCTCTCATACCATAAGTAGTGCTCTTAAAGAGGTAGAATTCCAGGTTCTGAAATTTTAACTCCTAGAAGCCTGTGCCTCCATGGCCAGTGGCCAGGAATGCTGGGAATTGGAGTCCAAGATATCTGCCTTCTGCGCTCCCTTAAAGTACATTTAAGTTGGAAGGAAACTCGAGGGGAAGGATGTAGCTGGTAGAGTTTTTGCTTTGAGTCTCGAGGGTCTTCAAGTAAAGCTAAGAAAAACTCCTGTTGAGGGTCAGTTAGCCAAGATGAGAAGTCCAGAATCTCAGACCAGTAGGCTAAATCTGACCTTCCAGAGGTCCCTAGATGGGCAGGCCCCTTCCCTTTCCCCTGGTCCCTGGCCGCCTTTCCACATCCTCCCCTTTGGTGGTTCTCCGGCTTCGGTGCATTCCCCTGCCTCTTCTCCCAAACTCGGTCTGACCCTCTGGCTGAAAGAGCTTTGATCTCCCTTGGTGCCCATGTGGTCGAGCAAGAGGGGGCAGTGGTCCGAGTAGGCAGCTCCTGATGTCCCACCCAGAGCTATGGGGAAGGGAGGAGAAGAGCAGGGGCTGGTTGGTGGGGGCGCCTCTGTCAAGCAGAAATGCTGTGCTCCCCAGGAAATCCGTATTACTCTTTCCCCAGGCCCTCAACCAATGCCCACACCAAGACCTTCAGGGTGCTGAGACGTCCTCCCTGTGAGTATCTGTCCCTTCCGTCCTATTTGGAAATCCCGCTTTTCAGAAAATGCAGCTGTTTCACAGTCATCTTCTCTTACTCCCATCCAAATCTCCTTCTTTATACACCTGCCTGTCCCCTAAGATCCGGGTCAGAGGTCCTTCTCCGCATTCCTCTTTGAAGGAGATCAGACATTACATTCATTTTGGTGTCAGGCCCACCCCTGTTTATTTTCCTGAAAGTTTAAGATCTGGTTATTATTTTGATAGTGCTTTTATTAGATTATTTTTTATGAATGCTGCCTTTGTTTGTTGTATGAGATCTTGTAAAGGACGGGGTATAAATGCCTTCAATCAATCAATCAATCAATCAATCAATCAATGATCGATTTCGGTGGGAACCAAGTACAACTAACAGCATCCAGATTCAATTGATAGGATCAGAAGCATGGCTTTCCTAAGCCAGAGGTGGGCAGGCTTCAGTCCTCAGCCCGCTCAGCCCAGCAAGTGGCCCCCGAGTGAAGATGCCCTCAGCGGAAGGCTGCTCATCCCCCGTCCTTCCTCTGCTTAATTCCGAGCTTTCCTTGATGAAGAAAGTAATTCACAGCCAGATGCTGGGCCCCCAGCCTAGACCTTTGATATGACTTCACGTTGTCTGAGCCTGTGCTCTCCTTTCACCATCTCATGCTGCCGCTTCCCTTGGGCATGGAAGGTGAGCAGAAAGCTGGAATCTTGCCCAGGCCTCTTGCAAAGGCTAACGGTGTCCTTTTTCTGTCTCGACCCTCCACACAGCACCCCCTTGGACTGCCATCCAGTCCCAGCCGGACCCACGAAGGTGAGCAAGCCCTGAATGTTTGTGAACACACCTTGGAGCAACGCTCCTTCCCGTGCTGTTGTGCAAGTGTGTTTGTGAGTGAGCCAATATGCCTTCCAGCCATGCGCTTCAGTCTGCCGGTGCCTTTCACAGCTTTCTCCACCTGTTTGAACAGAGGAACTGTGATCTAACCCAGCCAGGTACATTTAAAATCATACACCAGCCTTCCCTGAACCCACACCCTCCAGATGTGTGAGCCTGCAACTCCCATAACCCTGAGAATCATGGGAATTGTAGTTCAGTGCATCGGAAGGCACCAGGTTAGGGTAGGCTGACAGTCATAGTGAAGACAGGCAGACAAAGTTAAAAAAAATCAGATGGCTGTGTTGATGCCTTGTTTAATCTCTCTCTCTCTCTCTCTCTCTCTCTCTCTCTCTCTCTCTCTCTCTGTGTGTGTGTGTGTGTGTGTGTGTGTGTGTGTGTGAGAAACAGACAGACAATGTATTGTTTGGATCATCTGTAAAGTTTATGGATCTTAATCATCCATTCAAGACCAAGCCAGCTGAAAATACTTTTCATGAGCACAAACAGCTCACAAAAATATACTGCTGTTGGGAAAACCCATTTTCCCTCCAGCTATTGTGAGGTTCACATGTAAACTCTGAAGAATGGATGCTCTGGGGGAGTGGAGGGGATATGGAGACGGATGATACGTACCATTATCCTTGCTAACCAAAAAGTCCTGGTACTTGAACCCTGCACTGACTGTATCTCGAAAATAAAGCAATGTCGGCTTGACCATTAGACAGAGTGAGTTGGCTGCTGCAGGCAGCAGAAGCAGGGAAATTCCTGGCTACGCTGGCCGGAAATTATCAGGGTTGCAGGTTGAAGAAGACTTCCCTAGGTCTTCATGCCCTTTCACACAAGTATTAACCTTTCTCCCCCCATCGCCCCATTTTTCACTGCAGGGGCCCTCCATACACTCTTACCAATCAATCGGCATCGTTCATCAAAACCGAAGGGGATAATGGTGAGTAGCAAAATGCATGAGGGCGGCCATTTCGGTGGGAAAGGGTGCCCTGGGGCGTCTTCTCCTGGACGGTCCCTTCCCTGGCCACTTAGGCTTGGACGTTCCCCTTGTTGGAATGCGTGACCCTTGGCAGACCTGGTCCCATGAAGCAGATTCGGTGGGAGGGCACAAGGAGCATGTCTGGGGGGCGAAGGGCTGGCCTTCCCAGCCTGCTGGTGGGGAACTCTGCAAGTTAGTCCAGCACATCTGGAGCACAGGCGGTTAGAGGAGGCTGCTTGTTCGTTCGGTGTTGGGTGGCCTTAAACGGTGACCTCTTTGTTGCCTTTTTCATATTCTTCGATGCACCCTCTTTTCAGAAAGTGTTCCCAGCTATGAAAATGAAGGTAAGTAGTAGCAGGAATCACCCCCTTCCTGCAATGCCTTGGCGAATGCAGCATGGCTGGCTTGCATGAGACATCTGAGGCGACGGGCTCAGCAGGCACTTTTCCTGCTGTGCTCTTGAGTTCTGCCGTGGTGTGTTTTGGGCCAGCTTCTGTGAGCAGGGCTATGATGCTTTCCTCCTGGGGGTCAGCGGGACGATGTTCTGTGTGCCTGGTGGGGCTTGGGGGTTCTGCGCTCTGCTCTGCTCTGCTCTGGGGACTCTGCTCTGCTCTGGGGACTCTGCTCTGCATGTTGAAGTACATGCAGGACACCTCTCTTGGTCTCTTTGATTCCAGAGCAGGCCTGTACCATGGACAATGAAGAGAACGACATCGACAAATACATGTAAGTCCTGGGATTGGGACAAGCCTTACCAGGTCGGTGTTTCCCTGGCCCTTAAGTCTGCAGATGCCAATGGACTACAGTTCTCATCAGCCAGGAACATGGGCCAGGTTGTCTGGGGATGATGGGAGCTTGGGGCCTACAGCACCTACTCCCAGTGTCTCACTCCCAGACTGGCCCATTGTTATGGCTGATGGAAGATGTAGTCCAGCAGTGTCCTGGGGCCAAAATAATGGATCAGAGCTAGGAATAGGCATGGCAGTTTATTGCGTAAGTCTGGGGGACACAATGGCCAGTATTCCCAACTACTGACCACCGTGGCTGGGGGTGAGGGGTGTTGTAGTCCGGACCATCTGGGAGCTACCTCTGAGCTTACAAGGAGGTGCTTCACATCAGTGACAGTGATCCCATCAGCCCCAGCCAGGATGGCAGGTGGTGAGGAATGCTGGGGGTTACTGTGCCACATGTTTGGGGGGCACCAGGTTGGGGAAAGTCAAGACTGTAAAATCCCAGGCCGAGACTGCAGTGCTCTGCAGCCTGAACTTGCCTCTGTTCATTCTGAGCACGTTTGCATGCACCGTTTTTGACAATCAGCCCCAGACAGTTCACCATCCAAAAGTAATGGCTTATAGTTGAGTAGACAAGATACAAAAGGGAAACTGGACGTAGAGAGCAGAGGAAAAACTGTCCATTCAGGTACAGCGGCAGCTGATGCAGGCAATTCTGGGGAGGGGGCGACTCGGTGGCGTTTCGGCTCAGCCTGGTCGAGGCTCTCAGCATCACTCCTTGGCCCAGGAGAGGGGCTGCCAGGCAGCGTCAGGGGTGCCGGGAAGCGAGGAGCCTCTGGGCCCAGCTTGGGACAAGGCGGCTGCTTTGCTGCAGAAGCTAAACGGGTCTCTTCCCCCACACAGTGAGGTGCTGCCTGACGTTCCACTGACAGAGCAGAGAAAGGAGGACCATGCCTCCTCAGGTGAGTCAGCAGCGGGAATGGCCCTGGCCCCCCTGGCATCAGCCCTGTGCTGCCCTCTTAAATGGTGCTAGGTTAATCTGCCGCAGCAATTTTTATCCTCTAAAAACTTCTCACCTAAATGAGAAAATAGATTGGAGGACGGTGGGGTGGGGTGGGGGGGGGCAAGTGTTTCCTGCAACATCTTCCTAAGATGTCATCACCTGATCCTTCCACCTTACCTCCAAACCTTGCAGTGGGATTTCTAAATCCCTCTTCTTCGCTGGTCCAGTGTTGTCCTCGTCTTCCCCCACACTCCAAACTTTCTAATTAAAAAGAAACTGCACCAGGTGGAAGATTCTGCAGCAGGCGTTTCCTACAAAGGCATGGGTTTTTCGCAAGGAGCTGCTAAAAAAAGAAGTTGCTTTTGTGCCCCTAGAACAGTCTTTCTGTACAACCCAGCCAGCATGGCCAGTGGTCAGAAATGCTGTGAATTTTAGTCCAAAACATCTGGCAGAAGGCAGGTGGGGCGAAGGTAGTCCTAGAAATCCTGGAAGGCCTTTGCAAGTCCAAAGCATTTGCTTGTGATTCTTTGCGTGAGTCCATGCAATGGGCTGCCCCACCTCTGCACTCAGTATTTCCTTCAGGGAACTCAGAGCAGCTCACGTCATTCTCCCCACTCAGGTGCTTCTATTTCCACAACAACCCTGTGAGGTAGGCAAGGATGTGGGTAGGCTGTATGCTCAAATCCGCCACAGAGTGTTTCATGGATGAGCGGAGAGTTGGCTTCTGGACTCCTCATTGGATCCTGGTTGGCTAGGAGAGTGAGGGTTAATCTTGGCACATGGCTGGCTGGGGGTGATGGGGCTTGTAGTTCAGAACATCTGGGCTGTGCTAAGTTGGGAAAGCTGCACTAGCCACTGTGGCATTCTTATGAATTTCCCCCCATAATAAAGTATTGCCTGTACTGGTGACAACAGATACAGTAATGTGAGGGGGTGGATAATTCTTACTCTTGTCACAACTGTTTTAAAAGTCAACTTTTTCTAGCACATCTCTGTCTTAACCCACATGCCCTCTTGCATCCCATCACACCTACCCACCCAAATACCTGATCTTTCTCTTGCAGATTCTATAGTGGAGCAGTATGAGAATATACCTGAGTCCCAGCGGCATTCCCTTGGTGAGTGGGGGAGGCGAAGAGGTCACAAGATGCTGAGACCGCATCTAAAAGGAAGCCTCGTTTGCACAGAATAACAGCATCAAAGGAAGGACTGTGTACTTTCAAATTGTGACTGGGAGAACAGTCTTGAATGAGTTGCTACATTTCTTTCTATTTTTAAAAGGACTGAATACCTGTTGCAAAACAGCCACTTTTCTTTTCTAGGCATAAAAGATAAATATCAGGATTCAGAGAGGTGCAGGGATAGCATCCTGGATGGAAGTTGTTTTTGGAATTGGCTTCACTCCTCAAGTGGCCTATTCTATCTTATTATTTATTTTTATTTATTTATTTAGACAACTTATATGCTGCCCCATCTCATGAGCCTTGGGGCGGCTACAATTCTCTTGTGCACCAGCTTTCTCCAAACTAGGTCCTTCCATTTATGTTGAACAACAACTCCCATCTACAGGTGGTTGGGGACAATGGGAGCTAGGCACCGAGGAACACGCCTTTTTCCAAGCAGTCCACGGTTTTGCATGCTGATGGGAGGTCCTGGCCAAAACATCTGGAAGACCACAAGTTGCTCATCCCTACCTTCAAGCTTGCATTGGTCACAGACTTAAGATAGTGGACTTAAGAGATGACTGATGCATCACTTATTAAATTGATACCTGTTTTTTATTATTCTATAATCCAAAAGACTGAATACTGACCCCAGAATTAGATTCCCCATGTCACTTATAAGAATAAAAAAGAGAGAGAAAAGAAAAAAAAATCAAAGAGCCACCAAGAAGTTCTCTCCCCAAGATATTTACATCGCTTTAGGCAGGTACCCCTGGGATTTGGGGCCTCCAAGCACCTCCAGTTTCTCCATGAAGCTGAGACCTTCTGCATGCAAAGCGAGGACTCTGTGCTGAGCTACAGGCCCTTCCACTGTAGATCAAAACATCTGGAAGGACCAAGATGGCTCTGCACTGTGCTGACAGTGCTAGGATGGGGGACGAGGTGCTGATGTAGCGCCACTCAGCCTTAAGTGTAACAATCTCTCTTTTGCTTCTTACCACCACAGGTGAATATGTCAACGTGCTAGAAGCAGAGGCTACTGTCTTAGATCCCTGTTTTGGTGAGTGAAAAAAGCCAATAAAAGTTGGAGATGAAGTTCTTCTTTTCAGCAAAGCAATAATTCCCCTTCAGATCTCTTTGTTTAACTTCCTGAAGGGAGGGAGGGAGGGTGTGTGTTGTGTGTGTGTGTGAAGTGTTCTCCCCTCCCCTCCCTTTACATCATTTTCCATCTTCCTACAGTTAATATCAGTGATCGAGAAAGTGAAGATGACACTCCAGACTATGAGAATGTCCGCCCTGGCCTTTGAGGTATCTAGATGACTTTACCTGTGACCAGGACAACCCTGGAACATGCATGTTAATACCACCAACTCCTTCTGAAAAATTTATAGTAATTATAAGAGTGCCTTTGAACGTGTGTGGATCCTTAACTACCTTCTCTTTCCTTCCCTAGGTTGCAAGGTTCAAGGCAGCATTTCTTGGTGACTCCAAGTATCCCTGTTCGGGATGGATCTCCGTGGAATTTGTTCGCCTTCTCCCCCAGTCACCCCAAATGTCACCATAACTTATTGTCCTCCTTTGCACCTTGACTGACGCATCCTGAGAATTCCCCATGATCTTCGGCACCTGAGATTTAAAAGCACAACAGGCCAAGCGGCTTCCCGTTTCTCCCCACTTTCCCAAAGCAATCTGGGTTGTTCGGCTAAATTCTCTGATTCATTGTTTTTTGAGCTAAATAAAGGACCAGGAATTGGATCATCAGTGTGCTTAAGGGGAAGTTGGGCAGGGTTGGGGAGGCTTGTAGTGGGTCAGCAAAATGTAACGGGAGTCGTGCCAGACCATCCTAGCAGATGCTCATTTTCTGGTGTGGATGCTTTGAGTATGGTGTGCTCCCCACTTCCCCAAGTGAGTGTGTGTTTGAGGTTTGCTTTCTTCAAACGAGAGGTCTGGAGGCATATGACACATTTTGTAATAGTTGCTATGATATTTGCAAACGTGCGAGAAGACGAGCAGCAGGCACAACTACACGTCTGCTCCCGTGTATCAGATGGGAAGCCGCCTTGCTGTCAGTTCCATTAGCTCTTGACTGGCAGGCAGAACTTACTCTGTCCTGTGCTGAAACAGAGGGGCACCCCCGTGACTACTGTCTCCTCCTCCTAACGGGAGACACTAAGGATGGAGCCAGAGGTCTTTTGCGTGTCAGGCAGATGCTGTATGCCTGAGCCGTGCAGAAAAAGGCCCACGCTCTCTTGCCTTCTGCAACTTCTGGATTTCTCTCTTCAGAGTTGCCAGCTGCTCTCCCCTTCCCACATACACACAACTTCCCCAATCTCTGATTGTATCATTTCCTGCCATCAGCTGGCCATCTGAGCTATTGCCTCCTGAATTATCTAGCTAGCCAGCTAGGGGAGGAATTGCTAAGTCACACCCAGATGCACAAAAATGGATCTATTTGAATGAGAGGGTCCCCCCCACCTGTTGCCTCTCCTGTGGGGCAGGAGTTCGGCGTCTCTGACTTCTTTTTCCCTCCCTCTTCCATCACGGCTTCTGTTACTGTGGATGCTTCATTTAGTCCCCGCTGTTCTTGAAACACATACGAATGGGGCATGAGTAGGTTGTGCTCCTAACGCTATTTGCTTCTGTTCATAACATCCAAGACAAAGGCTTTCATGAAAAGCATCAGTGTCCTCTTCTTGGGCCTCAAAGCATCTGCATGTGTTGATCCTGCATTATAGTACAGAACGGCCATCACTGAAAAAGAGGACAGAAGGATACAGGGATGCATGCAATGTGCACAGGTTAACTCAGAGGCTGAAGTGTAGAAATCATAAATGAAGCAGGCATACAATCAGTGGGTTGACTTTATCACATTGCAAACTAGAAAGCCCCCCCACCACACTCCACTCCCTAAGTAAGGCCATCAAGTCTAGAGTCTTAAAAGTGCCTATTTGCATTACTGAAATCGACATATCTTGCCAGCTGTAGGGGAACAATTCTGGAGGCCACAGTCAGCCCCCATTTTATTATTACAACTCCACTGATATCTATTTTATTGTGCTTCCTGTGTTACATAGCTATACCACCTTTCCTTTTGGACTGTAGACTTAATGGTCTTCTGGCGACCCTGGTGGACAGTAAGTAGGCAGGGGTAATTATAGTAGTAATAATAATATAGTAGTATAATACAGTAGTAATAATATATTATTTCAAACTAGCTTGCCAGCCGTGTTGCTCATTCTGCCCGGTGTAGCTCCGGACATCTGCCCCAAAGTCCTGCTCGGATGGCACCACCAGTAAGCAGATGCTGCTGCCAAGAACATTTGTGTTTTGTCTGTGTGTGTGTGTGCACGTGCGTGCGAACAAGTGCGCATAAAAAAAAAGAAAACCACACAAAGGAAGCAGCCAATCTGGATTCCGAAAGCAGAGCAGTAGATGCTTGCTTAATGGCCAGTTCCACCCACCTTTTTGCAACTTTGGTTCTGAGGGAGATGAGGGACAGTGGTGAGGTGCACAGTTGTAACTAACATAACGTTAGGGTAAGAACACATCCTACAGGTTCAAGATGTTCCCCACCTGACTGGCCAGGCTAGTAGGGCCAGTGCGAGCCACACGTTTCTGACACGGCTTGCTGCTTTCGCCTTCCTGCTTTCTTCCCGCTTCTTTTGCCTCATGCTCCTATCCTTCATGAAGCAAATTGCAGAACTTGCAATTCACCCCACAGCAGGGCAGGCTCTTGCACAACCCCACAGAATCAGGATGCAGAATGTTGTAAACGCTTGCAGAAAACAAACTCAAACAGGATATGTCAAAGATACCATACTGATATCTGAATTTGCAAGTTCCTGCGGAACTTACAAGCTCATGCAGAATGTTGGAGAAAGATTATAAATTCTCTTAGTTCTCAGTCTTGGCAAAAAGCAGTTATATGAAAGTAGGTAGTGTGGGAAATGTAATATCAGAAGGTTGAATAATTTAGGTATAGCTGGAAGCTGTAAGGGTGTTGGTGAGAAGATAACCACAGACATTAAAGGGTCAAGGATGAGTCTTTGATCTATTTATCTCCATAAATTTGTTAATTAAAGTTATCTAGAAATGAAAGTGGGGTCAGGGCAGAGAAATTCCAAGACCCATGAGATGTGACCAAGCAGTTGTAGAAAGTTACGAGGCAAGGAGTTATGGCGAGATGATGATAAGTTTATTGAGAAAGCTTAGAAGAAGAGCCAACTCTCCCTTCCTTTCTGTTCCTCCATCGTTTGGGGCAGTTCCTTTGCATTCACCCTGTGTACACCTGGTTTCCTTGACTTGCCTTTTTTTAATAAGGTGCTGCTGTTTATTTTTCCATTTGAGATATTTGTACCTGTGCTTTTCAAGACTCATCTTCCTCCATGCAGTGATTGCATTAACTTACATGAAGGGAGAGGTAATGGACAAGTTAAGAGAAAATATAGTGTAAACACCAGGAAGTACATGACTGCAATATTTCCCCCTTTTGCATCACAAAAAGGTTATTAAGGAATACTGTGAACAAGAGAAAAAGGTGTAAAACAAATAAAATAGCATATGCTATGACTACAATGTTAAATACTAATGTGGATTTTTTTCACCAAAAACTCTGTTTTGATCCTATATCACAACCATACCAGCACAAACCACCATGACAACATAGGTTTTCAAAGCAGAGTATATCCTAGTGTAACCATAGTTGAGTATTTAGGGGATTTTACTACATTAGATATTACAGTAATAATTTGAGATACACTGATGAGATAAAAGAGACGATGCAGCTCACATCCCATTTAGAAATGTTTCCTTCCCTGATTGCCTTCAGGAGGTAGATATTTGTCATCGGGAACCAGAAAAGCAGCCACTCACGAAGACACATGAAATATGGAGTGTGAGGAATGGCACATACTCATGACACTCCTTTTTAATTCGGCACAGCAATTCCAATTTGGAGAAGTTGTACAGCCGGAAGTGTCTGTGCTCATGGGTGTGTACACTGAGCCTTCCTCAGCCTGTGCCCTCACAATGTGTTGGATTCAAACACCCATCATTCCCAGACAGAATGGCCATTGATGGGAGTTGCAGTCCAGCACATCTGGAGGGCAAGAAGTGGTGAATCGAATGTACGTTTGTGCGCAAACAGAAAAAGCAGAACACGGGAGCAGGTATATCCCAGGCCTCTCAGTTTTAGATTAATACTTGTACGTGTGTTTTGTTGGTGTGTGATGTGGTTCTGATTTAAATATCATTGCTAAGGAAAGTTCCTCTTTCATTTCCCTGCAAACTCCTTGCAGAAATCCAAGGAAGATCTGGGAGATTCCGTTTCATCCCCGCTGTGTCTTGGCCATTTGGAGGTCTTGGGCAAGCGGGCTCAGATCACAAAGGCCACTGGAGGCAAAGCTGCAGGAGTTCACGAGTAGCGAGTGCAGGATGCTGTTTGGCTGCAGCCTCCCACGCGTCCTCACCCCAGTTGCATTTCTTCATATTATAAATTGGCTTCAGCCCTACTTTGCCGAAAGTCCTCTGACCAGCCAGTGAACACTGGCAATAGTTTTGTTACCGAATTCAGCCAGTCAGCTGCTAGGGCAAACCCGGCTGGACCCCAGGCCTCCGTCGAAAGGAGCCTGAGACAAGACTTAGAGCCAAAAGCAGCTTTATTCTAGTGCACTCTAGAATAAAGCGAGACGAAAGGGGATGGTCAGCCCAAAGCAGTGTCCTGAAACTTGCACCTCAGTACGTGAGTTTGATGCTCTATGTAAGCGATTAGGTCACCTAATACTGGACACATCTAATGCATTAATACATCAATGCATGAACATCCCCCTGCAGTTAGCCTCAAAAAGACCTTTCTTCTGTCAAGGACCAGACGTTTCCCATGTCTAGTTCTTATCTGCTCGAGAGTCACACAGGTTGGCCATGTTCTTTCTCCCTGCACAAAATAGCTTTAGCAGGACATCGACCTGCCCTGCTTAAGCCGGCTTCAACAACCTTTCTTCTTTCAGCCCAGAGGTGTAAGTAGTTTAGTGGGGACTGTAGTAAGGGGTCAGAAGCACGTTGAAAAGCACTCCTGATTTTTCAGGGCACAAACCTCAGGGCGGTACCCTGGAGAGGGCAAACAGTTTTCATCCTCGTGAATACACAAGTCTATCCCTCTCCACCCCCATTTCATGAAGAGGGGAGAACCTGCCATGAGCCTTGCGCTTTAAGACCCTCCCACTGGATTCTGGCTGGGGTACAGCGGGGGCGTCCCCTGGCTTTGAACGTGCTGAGGCAGCTCCTGGAACGGCGGACGAGCGGACAAGGAGAAGCCTGTTGCAAGAGGCTGCCTGCAAGTGGGGGACGCGAAGCCATCGCTACTACCCCAGCCACCGCCATGGACGCCTTGTAAGCAGCTGATCGCTTCCTCCCGGAAAATAATCATCATAATCATCATCCCCTCCGGGATAAACTTCCCTACCCCCACCGCTCAACTCTGCTTGCTTTTTGAAACGCGACTCCTCATGCAGGGTGGGTGTAGAGGGAGGTACTACCATAATAAGCCTAATATCCGCACCAGAAATAGCATACGGGAACTAACAACGCCAGTGAACACGATCTCCGTCCCTCTCCCTGCCCGGTGGGTCGGGCGAGACTTATTACCGTAATGAATGTAAGGAACAAGCATCTTATTTGCTAACTCGAAAAATAGGTTGGGCAGCGTGGGTCACGTTTGCCAGCAGAACAGAAAAACACACGAATAAATAAAAACAGCCTTTCTTGCTCTTCTACGTTCAGCAGAAGGGTTGTTTGTGCAAATCAATCATTTCACTGAGAACTGCTTTATCATTCTCTTATGCGTTCCTCAACCTGGCGCCCTCCAGATGTTTTGGACTACAGCCCCCTTCACCTCTGGCCATTAGCTGCACTGTTTACTTCTGAAGGCAGCTGCAGCGCAAAACATCTGGAAGGCAACACGTCGGGCAAGTCGGCTGTCTGCAAATGAAGGTGCTGTTAAACACAGAGGAGCGAGCCCGGGACTGGTGAAAAGCAACCGGGTCTTGGATTAGAGAGAAGCAGCAGGGTTGGAGAGAAAGGGCGGGCAGCCTCCCCTTCTCTCTCCCTGGGGATACCTCTGCATTTGGAGCAGCTGCATGATGGGCAGAAATTCAAGAGATGACAAGTTCTCCAATGCAGAAACGGACGTGTTGCTTGCCTGCCTACCACGTGGTTGTAAAAGGCATGAAGTGAAGGAACAGGAGAAAAAGGAGGCGCAATGGTTATAGTCTTCTCTGGTAGAACTGGGTCTTATTCTGGAAAGGGGTATAAGACTGTGAGGTACATCAGTCTGATCACAGTGTGAGCCTATGTGCACTTACTTGGAAATAAATCCCATTCAGTTCAATGAGGCTTACTCCCAAGTAACTGTGCAAGGCAAATTGCATTATTTAGATCAAGGGTTTAGATTACTGTAGATCAAGGTGGGGGACCTGAGACTACAACGCCCATAATTACTGATCGTTGGTCATGCTGGCTGGGGATGATAGGAGTTGGGAGTCCAATGACATCCGAAAGCCCACGGGTTCCCCAACCTACGTTAGATTGTCTGGAGCCACTAATCAGCCCAGAAATGTCAGATAATCTGTCTCTTGCATTTTGCAGCCTTTCGGTATCAGCGTTTTACCATTTTTATCTCTCTCTGGACATAAAAATATGCGTCACAACAAACTGGGTAGACTTTAAGTTGCTACAAAACTCCATTTTGTGTGTGTGCTGCAAATACCAGATCTGTGGTCATCCTGTGATAAAAATGCTCAGTCTCCATTTATTGTCTGGTCAGGAGTTTTGCAATGAAGGGATGGCAAGAACTTTGGGCTCCCGACTCCACATGCCAGAGTTAAACATTGCAATTTATTCCATGTCGGTAAATGGATTAGTTAATGCCAGTTGTTGAATTCAGATTCTGGTGCTGCAAAATTCTTCTAGTTTGTACGGAGCATGTATGTGTGTGTGCTTGAAAATACACATAAAACTTGTACTTTGCTCTCATTTTGCATGCTCCACTGCAGGCCCCACACCCCCTCCAAGGAGGCCTATCGGGCAGCGATGGTGCTTTCTGGTGCCGGGGACGCCCTTGGGTATCGCAAGCAACGCTGGGAATACTGCACTTCAGGGCCTCAGATCCACCAGGAGCTCCAGGAAATGGGAGGCCTTGGGAAGATCCGTGCGGCACTTCCCGACTGGCCGGTCAGTGATGACACTGTGCTGCACCTGGCCACAGCTGAGGCCCTGGCGACAGGTGAGCAGCAAGAGAACGTGCTGCTTTTCTGTTTGCAGGGAATTTTGACCTACGAATCTGTCGGACGTGGTTGGCCTCCATCTGTTGTTTCGAGCGGTATAGGCCTTTCCACCAACTCCCATTTTCACCCATCTCATTCTGCCGCATGTAGAGACTCAGCCTAGGGCAGAGGTGGAGAACTGATGGCACATGTGCCACAACGGGCATGCAGAGCCCTCTCCGTTGGCATGCGAGCCGAGTCGCCCCAGCATCGCCCCAGCAGTCGAGCACCGGATAACAGTGTACATATGGGCCATGCTTGGAAAGGAGTAGTGGTGCCAGGCAATGACATCACGAGCCACGAGTCATTAGCCACAGCTCATCCAAGCCTTCACAAGGCTGCTCAGTGAGCTGACAATATATATATATATATATATTTGCATGGATGAGCTGTGAGTTGTTTTTTTCTAAATGAAAACCTCAGCTTTCAGTTTTTATTGTAGTGTTGACACATTATGATTAATAAGAGGATTTTGGGTGGCAGTTTCAGCACCATCACAGGGTTAGGGTTAGAAAAACAAAGTGTCCTGGCATGATATGGGTGGTTGGAATGTGCATAGAATGGGCAGAAATGATGAGCTGTGCAGAGAAAGCTACTCAAGGACGGTTTTTTCAAAATCGTCCATTTTCCATGGAACTTGACCCCTATCTTAGGGTTAGGGGTGTGCACCAGGTTAGGGTTAGGGTTAGG